ATACGGCTATGACGGTGGTCTCGACAACAACATCCAGCTTGATACTGAAGACGGATATTGGAAGTACCACTTTACTTCGGAATGGCCAGCTGTTGGTCAGCTTAACATCTGGGGCGTCAATCCCGATGGAAAGCCTGATCAAAGCTGGGTCCTCGGAGATGCAGACGGCGACAACATATTGGATCGCATGCCTCCGTCATCTCTGACCAGTACCTTGCTCAACATCACCAAGCCTCCGCCATCGCCATACCTGTCATGGAAATTATACGTCAACGATGCCACCCAGCGCTACGATCTCATTCCTGCTGGCAAACAGACGCCTCAAATTGTTATGTTTGTCCTCTTCTGGATCATCCCGGTACTTACCGGTGTTGGATGTGTATACATCTTTATGAAGTCATTCTACAAAGTCAAGTTCAATGAGAATGGTGTCACCGAGAAGTCGCGACTTGGCCCTATGGTATTCTTGAAGAAGCTCAAACCCTCTGGCTCAAGCGACCGGGGTAATTATGTGAACCCTCTAATGCGCCTCGCAAACAAATCTGGTTTCATGCAGAGTACCACTGCTCTTGGAGCCGCTGCGGCTTCTGGCAAGCGACGCATGGTTTTGATCGCAACCATGGAGTACGATATCGAGGACTGGGCGATCAAGATCAAGATCGGTGGTCTCGGTGTTATGGCACAGCTCATGGGAAAGACTCTCGGTCATCAGGATTTGATCTGGGTTGTTCCCTGTGTCGGTGGTGTTGATTACCCCGTCGATCGGGTCGCAGATCCAATGACTGTCAAGATCCTTGGGAGTGAATACCAGGTGCAGGTTCAATATCACACCTTGAAGAATATCACATACGTGCTCTTGGACGCCCCCGTCTTCCGTCAGCAATCGAAGTCCGAGCCCTACCCAGCACGTATGGACGACCTGGACAGCGCAGTATACTATTCCGCCTGGAATCAGTGCATTGCCCAGGCAATCAAACGTTTCCCTATCGATCTCTACCATATCAACGATTACCACGGCTCAGTCGCACCTCTGTATCTGCTTCCTGAGACTATCCCGGCCTGTTTGTCGCTTCACAACGCTGAGTTCCAGGGTCTCTGGCCGATGCGCACTCAAAAGGAGAGACGTGAGGTCTGTGATGTTTTCAACCTCGAAGAAGATGTTGCTCGGCGCTACGTCCAATTTGGTGAGGTTTTCAACTTGCTTCACGCCGGAGCCAGTTACCTCAGAGTCCAACAACAAGGTTTCGGCGCTGTTGGTGTTTCCAAGAAGTACGGAAAGCGATCCTATGCTCGCTACCCTATCTTCTGGGGTCTCCGCAAAGTAGGAAATCTCCCTAACCCTGATCCATCGGATGTTGGAGAGTGGACCCGTCAGCCCATCAAGAACAAGGATGAGGATATTCTTGTCGATGCCGAATACGAAGCCGGTCGTGGAGAGCTTAAGCGTCAGGCCCAAGAGTGGGCTGGACTTGAGCAGAACCCGGACGCCGACCTCATGGTGTTCGTTGGTCGTTGGTCAATGCAAAAGGGTGTCGATCTCATCGCAGACGCTATGCCCGCAGTTCTAGAGGCTCGTCCCAACGTGCAGGTCATCTGTATCGGACCCGTGATTGATCTTTATGGAAAATTCGCTGCTCTCAAACTTGCTCGGATGATGGAGGTTTACCCCGGCCGTGTCTTCTCCAAGCCTGAATTCACTGCCCTCCCGCCATTTATCTTCTCCGGTGCCGAATTCGCTCTTATTCCTTCTCGTGACGAGCCTTTCGGCTTGGTCGCAGTGGAGTTCGGAAGAAAGGGAGCCCTCGGTATTGGAGCCCGCGTTGGTGGTTTGGGTCAAATGCCAGGTTGGTGGTATAACGTGGAGTCGACCTCGACATCTCACTTGCTGGTTCAATTCAAGCTCGCAATCGATGCTGCGCTCAGCTCGAAGGAGGACACCCGTGCTATGATGAGAGCTAGGTCTGCTAAGCAACGTTTCCCTGTCGCTCAGTGGGTAGAGGATCTTGAGATTCTGCAAACCACAGCCATCGCAGTCCACGACCGAGAGGTTGCTAAGGGACATGGACGCCCTTTGACTTCTTCTGGAACCAGTACACCTAATGGAGCGTCCATCCAGCGGGACGCACTGTCAATGAGTCCTCTTCCTTCCCCTGGTATGACCGGCATGCATTCCCGAGAGGCCAGCTACTCGACCCTTAACCAGATCAACGGTCTGGATTCTCCAAGAGTCGTGAGCTATAGCAGAGATCTCAGCCCGCACGAGACCGAGAAGCCTCAGTCTAGTCTGAACCGATCCCTCTCTCTGGGTGTTCGTTCTGGACCTGGTCACCGCAGTCGCCGTGGTCGTCGCAATCCAGTGGAAGGCGTCGTCGATGAGCACGAGAATGAGAACTCCACCTCGTCCAACACACCCAGCGACAGCAGCGATGACGAAGAGATGGCGCACAGCATTTATGGTGATGATGAGTACACTATGACCCCAGCTGAGGTTGAAGAGGGACGTCGTCGCCAAGCGGCTGAAAGACAAACGCCGGCGTTTACTTTGCCTTCGACGCGTCGCAACAGCCAGGAATCTACGCATGCTAGATTTCTCATTCCTCCTGGTAGTCCTGGTTCCCCTAGACCCGATCAGCTTCTACTTCCTCCATCCAAGCCTTTCTCCGAGTCTAACCGATACAGCAATGCCTCTGTTCTCTCACTTGATTCCGTCGTGGGTAACAAGAAGGACTTCAAGCTTCAAAAGGTTGATCCATTCTTCACTGATGGCACGGGTGAATACTACCACAACTTTGAGACAAAGCTTCAGGATCTGAATGGATCCAACTCCGAAGCCGACCTCTGTATTGAAGAGTTCTTGATCAAGAGTGAGCAAGAATGGTTTGATCGATTCCGCAATGCCAAACTTGGTCGCAACAACCCCAAGTCGCCAACTCCCTCCGTCTTCCGTGGAAGAAACAACGCATCGCCAGCTGCAGAGTCTTACAACGATGAGGCTCTTTCCCACATCGCTCTCAGTGAGAGTCACGAAAGCTATGATGATGAGTTCCTACTTGGAAAGGACTACGTTCCTCCCACTGGTCTGAGAAAATGGATGCAAATCAAGATCGGAGATTGGCCAGTCTACTCAATCTTCCTCGCCCTGGGTCAAATCATCGCAGCCAACTCTTACCAGATCACATTGCTGACTGGTGAGGTCGGTGAAAGTGCCGAGAAGCTCTACGGTATCGCCACTACATATGCCATTACCTCTGTCTGCTGGTGGCTCGTGTTCCGTTACTTCAAGTGCGTCGTTTGTCTATCCACTCCTTGGTTCTTCTATGGTCTCGCATTCCTTCTTATCGGCTCTGCTCATTGGCAAGCTGATGAGGTCGCACGCGGATGGATTCAAAACATCGGCAGTGGATGCTACGCCGCTGCCTCTTCCAGTGGATCCATCTTTTTCGCATCGAACTTCGGTGACGAGGGTGGTGCCCCAGTCGAGACTTGGATATTCCGTGCCTGTGTTATTCAGGGAATTCAACAAGCCTACGTTATTGGTCTTTGGTACTGGGGCTCGACCCTTACCAAAGCCTCTAGTGAGGGTATCTTGAACTCCGACTCCATGATCTCGAACACCTGGAAGATGTCCGCTATTTGCTACCCAATCGCCATTTTCCTCTGGGGAATGGGTCTACTTCTTGTCTTTGGATTGCCTAACTATTACCGCCAGAAACCTGGTAAAGTTCCTTCTTTCTACAAGTCGCTTTTCCGTCGCAAGATCGTTCTCTGGAACTTTGTCGCGGTCATTCTGCAGAACTTCTTCATGAGTGCACCATACGGTCGTAACTGGAGTTTCTTGTGGAGCTCCGAACACACCCACGCCTGGGAGATTGTGATTCTATGCATCGTCTTCTTCGGTGTTGTCTGGTGTGCCTTCCTCTTCATCGTCAGCAAATTCTCCAAGAGGCACAGTTGGTTCCTCCCGGTCTTCGCCTGTGGTCTGGGTGCCCCTCGCTTCATCCAAATCTGGTGGGGAATTTCGGGCATTGGTTACTATCTGCCTTGGGTTGGCGGAGGATATACCGCCGGTGCTCTTGCATCTCGGAGTATCTGGCTCTGGCTCGGAGTGCTCGATTCCATCCAGGGTCTCGGCTTCGGTGTTATCCTCCTTCAAACACTTACGCGTGTCCACATGTGCTTTGCCCTCATCGCCTCGCAGGTCCTTGGTTCGATCGCGACCATTTGCGCTCGCGCATTTGGCCCCAATCGGGTGGGCCCTGGTCCCATCAGTCCCGATATGACCAAGGGCGCTGGTGAACTTGCGAATGCCTGGTTCTGGATTGCCCTGTCGTGTCAGCTTCTCATCTGTGCCGGCTTCCTACTCTTCTTCCGCAAGGAACAACTCTCCAAGCCATAATCTCTTCATTATGCGCGACTGACCTCACGAGCGATACTTTCAAGTTTATCCACACGATACCACTTTCTCTTTTTATTTCCTTGATACATTTCTTCCATTGCGGAACGGCGTTGTTTGGGCATACTCCACCTAATCCTGGGTTTGCATAACTATGATCTATATACGCCCGGTCCGCGAAACTGCTCGACCGATAATATCCTGTCATTTAGTTCCTACTCTTGTCCATACCTTTTTCATTTTCTCGCTGTATAGAATATTTGACTTCACTATTCCAACCCTCCAATTAAGCCTACCTCTTGCGCATAGTACCGATAGTTATAACTTACGCCGAGTTTCCTGCTACCAGTGCTCGACTGGCGTACTAGTAATATCCATGGACTGAAGGTTGCAATTTCTACATTATTTCATATAATGAGAAAGCCTCCGGGGCATGCCAGGCAGAGCATATCGCGTAGAAGAACGGCTGTCTCGATTCTTGGCTAGTGCTTCTTTATCCTGACCTCTTGCAAGTCTAGAGTGATTTGTCCATCATAGCTCTCTTTGTGAATCTTAAAAACTCCAAGAAAAGTCCACTCAGCGCCATCCATCACCCCATCTATCCCATCTATTCCTTGTTCCAGAAGATCCAAGCAATAACAATCAGCCCTTTCAAGAAAGCAGCCGTCCACAACGCCCCCATCATGCCAACATCACTATGTGCCCAGAATCCACCAATGACAACTCCAATAAGCAAGAAAACAACAGCCCCAATCCTGCGCATCTGCTCCGTGTTCCTAATCAACTTTGGCGAAAGTAAATCCGGATGGGAAAACAGGTCACAGTAAACACTGGTCAGCACGACACTAGTGAGAGCATTATACTTCAAGACGCGACTGGTAACCGCCTGCCCACTACTCTGAAACGCAACGAGAACAATCGGAACCAGAACCAACCAACTCAACGGCTGATTCCGCGACGAGTGGAAGAGAGTCACGATCAGCGCCGCGACCACGATACAAAGTAACTGAATCGTGAAGGAAGCAATCAGTACCCAGCGCTGTCTCGGCGCAAACGCGCGATGAAAAGCCGCAAAGCATAGCGAGCCCAGACAGAATCCTGCAATGGATACACCGGATTTGATCCAGCGATCATCGTCGGTGCCGACGAGGCCAAGACCGAAGTAGACTGTGTTTCCGGTTTGCATGCTCACAAAGGAGCCCCAGATGAAGACGGCAGAACTGTCGAGGAGACCGGTGATTATGTAGCAGAAGAGGAGGAGTAGATCGCCATGGCGTGGATCGAGGGGTTGTTTGAGGTATGTCGATAGTGAGCGATGCGACCGTGGTGAACGCGATCGAGGGGAGCGATCCCCATTTCCGAGGAGGGGGGATGTTTCTGAGGGCATTTTGACGGTAGGGAGAAGGTGCTAGCAGTAATGAAGAGAGATGATCAAGGACGAACCTCTGGGGAGGTCCAGTTCAACTTCAAGTTGGGGTCTCAAGGTAGTGCGGAGTGCGGAGTTGCGCGTCGGAGAAATGCGCATTTGCCGAATCCCCCGCACGGCAAAAATGGAAAAGCATCTGCAACTGCGTCATCGAGGGCCCGAGAACACAAAACTGGCATTCAATTGACCCTCAAATGGTCAAAAATATCCAAGAACATGTGGACAGTGCATTGTGCACCAGTCAGATTCGATTCAGCCGCGCGGGAATCTCGCAGCTGTCAGTGAGAGTGCTTGGCGCATTCCTGCGTAACATGCATTCTACGGTTTAGTACTAGTATATCATGAGATATATGTATGAGGGATGGCTACTAGTATGATATCTGGCTGTGGAATAATCGCAGAATGGTATATTCGTATCAATACAAAAGAGCAGAACATGTCTCATTGGGTGCGAAACCCGGTATATACAACTCGCCAACTGTCAGGACTCAGGAGACCGACTTGCAACTTGAATTACTTCTCATACGGCTGCACATTGCGCATACGACGCAACGACCCTGAAGCAAAAGTGCGGATCCCTTCTTGGATCCAGGTAGGCATGGCGCGCACCAGACTGGCGGCGGATTGGCTAGCCGGCAGGATAATTTGACCACTAGTTTGGGTCAGAATCTGCTTGCAGATGGCGTCGGAGACAAATTGAACGGTCATGATGGGTTGGCGGAATTGGGTTTCGTGGTCGGTGAGCATCTTGATCATCGGAGTGCGAACCCACATGGGGTGAATGACACTGGTAGTAATCGCATTAGCTGGGGTTTCAGGGGGTGACAAACAGCAATAGGTACACTCACCTGGTGCGCACATTCGGCGCTTTGTACCAGTAGCGCAGCTCCTGGCGAAGAGACTCGTGGAATGCAAGAGCACTGGCCTTGGAGCAGCAGTAATCGGCCATCTCTCCGAGGGCGACAAAGCTGGCCATGGAAGCAATCGTGATGACATGACCGTGGTTGGCCTTGACCATGGCGGGAAGGAACTCCTTAACCATAAGGAAATGCGAGATGGTGTTGACCTCAAAGGTCTGACGAATCTTAGCCTCAGGCTCCTCGAGAATAGTTCCATCGTGGCCGACACCAGCGTTGTTCACCAGGACAGTCGGCTCGCCGTGGTCGCTGCGGATAGCCTTGGCGACCTCGGCGATATTGGCGGAGGAGGTGATATTGGCCTTGTAGAAGAAGACATTGGATGGCAGAGTGAAATTGGGCTCGTTGATATCGAGAATGATGACGCGCACGCCCGTCTTGGCCAGATCCTCCATGACTTGCTTGCCAATACCACTGCATCCACCGGTCAGCAGGATGAGTTCACGGGAGGAGACCCATTTCTCATTGCGCGTCCAATTTTGCAAGGTCCAGGCGGAAAGAGTCTTGTTGACATGGCGCACCAAGCCCAGCGCGACGACAGCGGCCAGCGCCTTTTGTGTGATGGGCTTGAGCAGTAATTGTTGAGCCGGTTGGGGGAGCGCCGCCAGGGCGGTTTGGGAGTATTGCTGGAGGAGATCGAGGTAGGCGGCCATGGTGAAATATGCTCGAGGATGCTCTGTTTAATCTGTTTACGTCGAGATCATGATCTACTCAGGGTCTGGGGTAGGGGGGATCTTTCCTTTTTAAAAGATGAAGATGAGGAGCATCTTGCACACCCAAACGAGCCGAGGTCAACGCCAATCATACCGCAATCGGAAACCTTTGCGACTATTTTTTGAATAACGTAGGGACCCGTAATAAATCCACTTTAATCCCAGGATTGGATCAATCATATTCTACCCCAGCCAGGCACAAGCCTAATCCAAGGTTAGCTTCTTCACATGCCCTCCCCCGCATGCTTCCTTTCTGAGTAGTATGGGCCCGGCAGCAGAGCACCGAACAGACCAGAGCAGATCATCCTCGGTGATCCACTGTTCACACCGTTGTGCTTACTACTAGTAACCCCGTACTTCATACGTACGTTGCTTCAGACTCCATGAAAACCACCCCTCCAGACCGGCCCCATTACAGTATAAGGACAACCTCGGTTCACAACTTGAATACCCGGTCGGGACCCCTTGACTCAGACGAAGTAGTTCAAGTTCATTTCATGTTTAAAATCAATAATCTGGCCAGGTTAATATTCAAAGTCTGGTACCACGATCATAATGGAATACAATGAGAGTTACATACGGCCGTATGAACAGGTTACACGCGAAACCCTTGCCTAGTTGAGTAACCAGAATTCCAAGGTGATAGATAACTCATTGAGGCCCCCGGTCGGAGAATGGGTTAGAAGATAATATGAATAGATGACTTAACGATACTAGTGCTAATTCAGCCCTTCACTCAGTAGTCTACTGCCCAGGTGCGTTATCAACCACTCGCACCTCAACATTAAAGTACTTGGCATTCTATCTAGCTGTACAGCACCCGGAATCGCTAGGATCAAGCAATTTGTATAGTAGAATAGATTCACTGCGGCAGATTCTTGCAATACAGGGAGGACTAGTAATTTTGGGACGCTGCGGCCCCGCGAGAAACGCTCCATCAATTACGGCTATGGGGCGCCGTACATCCCAATCAGTAAGTGCAAGTAGCTTTTCACTTCCCCGAAAGATCAATCGTAGGCAGGTCAGACATATGCAGCTTCGCACTTCCGTACGGGCGAAGCGTAGCCTCAAACGTATCCCCGAGACAAGACCGCTTACTCTTTGGAATAGGTGAATCCGGCACACCTCTGAACAGAGGCCAATCGATCAAACACGCTTTGGCAGTGATGTACATCGGCAACTGGCCATCTTCAAATGTCGGCGATGGTAGCGACCCGCTCGAACCGGCGTGATACTCCAGAGTTGAGGGATCGATAGCCACATTCCACTCGGTCGAGTTCAAAAGCACATAATCGTGTGCCTCGCTGGGATAGGTTCCCACCGGATATTCCTTCTGGGTATCGTAGAACTTCGGAGGCCCGGAGGTGCTAGTATGAGGAATGTGGAGTGCGTAAAGGAGGGCTCCACGGTATATCGCGACAGTGTCATTGGCTCGGTCGGCTGTGACAAGGTCCATGTCTAGTTCGTATGTAAACTTGGTCGTTCCGGATGGGATGTTGACTTTGATAAGGTCTGTTTTGGGGTCCTTGGAAGCGCCGTCATCATGAGCTGATCCTTGGACGTTGGCCTGGGTGGCCCATCCTGGAACGCGAAGGTATAGTTGGAAGTCGACATCGCTGTCAACAGTATAGGACAATATATTTTCAAAGGGATAATCAGTTTGGCAGTCCACCGAGACCTTTTTCCCTTGAATCTGCGTCTGAACACGCCCTGGGCTCAGCAAGGAATGAACGATACCACTACCTCCATTCTTGAGGAAGCTGTACATTGCAAACTTTGGATATCCTTGCGGGTGATTCACGGTGCAGCATGGATAGTCAGGCTCAACTGCAAAGGTCTGACTGAGCGAACCGGTATTCCAGAACGGCTCGTCCGTGAGATTCTTCGAATATGGCTGATTGGGCTGGGTCACATATTGATGGGCCCACCAATCTCCAGAGAGAGCGGCCGGAAGAGCATTAAATGCGGCCAGCTCGGCCCGATCTGCATACGAGGAATCGCCGAGGGCGAAGTAGTTGTAGGCGAGCGAGTAGATGGTTTCTACGTCGGTACATAGCTCGGAGCCATAGTATGGATTGAGGCCGTCTAGACGCTCATCGGCAAGGATAGTACCGGATGCCGCGCCGTGATATTTGAATGTCCAATCCACCTGAGATGAATTAGTGATAGGCATTCACCGATCCCGAGTTTTTGAGCACCTACCCCGTTCTTTGCGGTTGTGACAAGACTCTCGTTGGCATTTGAACGCCGGTAAACAGCTGCAAACTTCAGGCCTGAAGGATTCAATTTAGCATGAAGGCGACGACGAACTGTAATATACCTGACTTACTCTCGGCAACGGTAACACCATGCAGGAATTGCCATTGATCAGTCGTCACAGACTGAGGAAGATCGTTGAGATCTTCCGTTATGTAACTGCCCTCGGAGTACCATCCCTCCCATTTAGAAGCCCAATGGTGGATCATGTCAATATTCTCCTTCAAGACCTCGGTCTGGTTACCAGGGTGATAATCCAACAGCCACTGCAGGCTGACAACCATATCTTCGCTCCGAGCCTGGAACCAAACATAGTCATCGGCAGTTACCTTATCACCCTGATGATAGATCATTCCAGTTCCATTATTCTTCAGCATAGAGTGCATCAGGCCATTGAAGCGATGGAGAGCGTCAACAATGGGCTGCTCGTATTTTGGATCCGCATCAGCGAGATTGATCAATCCAAGGAAGACGAGAGTTCGCGCCCAAATCATTCGCTCGCCGCTTGCAAGCGTCTCAGGTCCAATCCATCCATCTGGCTGGATACGGTCCAGAATGGAGTCGACAACGGTGGAAATTTGATCTTTCAGACGATCATCCTGTAGGGTATAGGCGAGTGGGACTAATCCATTGACCCAATATGGGAGTGCCTCGTTCAATGAACTGTATTCTCAACAGTCAGTTCAGTGTTCAAAGTCACAGTACACGCCCAATTCACCTGTACTCCTGATCGCCACCGATCCATGTAGAGTTCTTCACAAATCGGAAGAAATCAAAGAGATGACCTGCAAGACCATCGGCGGATGCCTGGAGCTCAGTTCGTAGCCATCCGTTCGGGGTGATGCTGCCGAGTGGGAAAGGTTCATATGTAAAGGGGAGCACTACATACGCTGATTAGAACCGATCCTTTGTTGCAAACACGGTTTTTTACTCACGGCCAGAAGTGGTTTCGCTCGTGCTCGCAAGGCCAATGCTCGCCAGTGGGAGCACAGCAAGGACAGCGCCACCGCGAAGCCGCATCTTCGCAAAACCCGACTGTTTTGGTGCTGAGATGGAATTATCGACGCGATAAATGATTTCACTGTCATCGACTCATGGTCATTTATAAAGCTCTGCGCTTTGAGCTTAACAAATTTCCTAAATGAGATAATTGCAAGGGGTCTGATGGTGAGGGGAAATGTAACATTGACGTGAGGCCGTGCGGTAATTGCCGATATCTTCAGGTCTTTGGTATGCAGATCGGTGGAGCAGACACTGAGCACAGATTGAATAATCTCGTGCCATCGGTATTTTGCCTAAACGAATTCTCCGAGAAGATGTTGATTTCGATTGATACGGAACGGAGCGACGGGGCCGAGGAAATTAAAGTTGTCAACCTTGGAACGAATAGATTCTACATGCCGGTCAACCTCTATCGAGTTGAATTGACGGAGACGATTTCCATAGCATACCTCGTTCGAATTGTTCAGGGTAGCGAGAAGATCAATGTTGCGCTTGCTTATATGGTGTAGATTTGTACGCAAACTTCCAAAAGATTAATCCCAAAAACTCTTTATTTCTATAATAATAGACAAATATTTAAAACCATATACATAGCCGACCGATACCGGCATTTCTCATGTTCATAAATTCGACGTGAATCAAACATGAATGACGGTGCTATTCTCCTTGCGGGAAAACTCAAGGAAGTCCTTGAGATCATTATGCTGGGGCTTGCCAACCACAAAGACCGCAGGCTTACCATAAGGAGCGGCAACACGAATAGTCTGGCCACCCTCGTACTTCTTCCCACTCCAAACGTGGGTGAAAGTCTCCTTGCCAGGCAGGTAGACCTCAACGCTAGTGCGACCAGAGTCAACAACAGGAGCAACATACAGATCAGCACCAAGATAGAAGCTCTCATAGCTAATGCTCTTCGCCTTGACATCATTAGGGTGGTAGATGACAGGCATACGAAGCAAAGGCCAGCCAAGCTTCTTGCTCTCGGTATCCAAGATTCTGCGGCGGTAAGTCGCCAGACTGCGGAACATGCGAGCATTGTACGCGTAGTAAGCGTAGGTGGTGGAGTTGGAGTAGAACTGAGCGTTCAATTCGGGGACATTTCCCTCGTGCGAGCGGAAGACAGCGCTAGAAACGGCGGACAATTCTCCCCAGCGACCCAGGAGCTCGGCGGTACGGTTGACAACCCCACCCTCGAGCCAAGTAGTAGTGTATCCACCGATCTCGACGTGCCCATGAGCAAAGCCGGAAAGACCCATGTGGCCCATGACAGTGATGGAGGACTTGATTCCGTCGTTCAGGCCCCAGTTGGTGTTCTGGTCACCGGCCCAGTAGAGGTTCATGTAGCGCTGAGATCCCAGAGCGGACGAGCGCTGGAAGAGGATAGACTCCTTGAAGCTCGAGATGCTCTTGGTGAGTGAGTGGTGCAGCTTGGGCCAGTCGCGGGGATACTGGTTGTGGTAGAACATCGGATCGATGCTCTTGTTGTAAAAACGGGTGTCCTTGGTAACGGGGGTGTATTCACCAAAGTCACACATGTAGCCCGAGACGTTCGCGCTGAAGACCTGGTCAATAAGAACATCGCGGAACCAGCTGCGAGCGGCGGGATTAGTGAGATCGACAATTCCGGCATCAATACCGGGACCGCTGGACACGATGGATGTGTCGTTGGTAGTGGCGTTCTGGATCATGTATCCCTTCTCGCTGGCCTCAAGGAAGAGGTCGCGGCGGTAGCCGTCGGGCTTGGTGCTCACGTTGGCGAGGAAAGGGTTGATGTAAGACAGAGTGCGGACGTTGTGCTGATCGCGGAGGTCCTGGACGAACTTCTTCCAGGTTGGGTAGAGCTTCTCGTCGGACTCCCAGTTCCACCATAGGCGGGAGACGGTGAGAGACATGTAGGAGACACTCTGGGAGTGAGTACCAGACCTATTTGCTGTTAGTAGGGAGGTATTATCTACCTGATCAAGGGGTATCTTACCAATCCTGGAGCCAGACGGCGGCGATAGGGCAGTCCTGCTTCAGACCCTGGTCGACAATCTTGTTCACCTTAGTCTGACCACCCTGAATACCGAGAACGGCACCTATTACATGATTAGAACGTCTTCAAAAATATTGTAAGAAATCGGGAAATGACCCACCAGTGTCCACCCAACGGGGAAGCTCGGCCATTCTTCCGGTGTACTCAGTCAACTTGGTGATACCATCCAGCATGTTTTCAGCTTGGATGATGTAACCGTCGACGGTCAGAGCCGCATAACGCACGGTGACAGCCTTCAGATCCTTGAAGTCAAACTTGGTGTAGGCAGTGCTCTCCTCGGCGAGGTGAAAGACACGGGCGAGGGAGGAGATGTACTGAGGAACAGCGGAATAGGTGGTGAACTGGTCACCACCAGAGAAGTAGCTATCCGCATTCTCCAGATCAGTGGTAGGCTGGTCACCACGACCAACACCCTGCTCACGCGAAAAAATTGGAACAGCCTGGTTCTTCATCGAGGCAAAGGAACCCTGGCCACCCAGTCCGTAGAAGTCCTCGGAATTTGATGAGGCGTAGGTGAGGAACAGCTTGGTGGCGGCATCCTTGGAGGAACCGGGTTTAACGTCGATATGGAAAGCAATACGGTCTGACAGCTCAGCAGGCACCCAGACAGCAAATTTGAAGTCAACCGACTCGTCACCACAACCAGAAAGAGTTCCTTCCACGACGGCAGCCTTGTCGTTGACACTACCACTCCAAGCAGACTGAGTAACACGACGAATGTGCTGGTCGGTGCACTTGTCGTTATCAACATCGGTGATGTTGAATGCACCACTTGCGCCGACGACCTCGTCAACTCCAGAGGAGGCACTCAGGAATGGCTTTCCAGCGACAGTCTCCCAAATGGAGCTGTTTCCACGAGCAATAGACAGGTGGTTAGAGTCTTTGTCGACAGTCAAATCAAACCCATTACCCAGGTTCACCGAGGCTTTCGCCGCCAGGGTGGGCACGGCGATAGTCGCCCAGATCCAAGCCTTTGGTCCAAACATCTTGCAGCGGCAGTTTTGGTTAAAGAGCAATAAGCAGCGCGACCCTGGTCGTAGTATTTAACTGCAGCTCACGGCTTCGCGCAACCTTCCATAGTTCCTCCGAAACTGCCGAGATCCCAACTACACGCCGGCCCACTATGGAGAAATCTCCGTCAACGGCGTTCACTAATCTCTGGATGACGGACAGGGACAGACAATTTCGGAAGGTTTTCAATGACGATCGTCTGCACGCCCTGGCGTCGTTGGCTGTTTCTCCAGATTTATCCCCACTGCTTCGGATCCACTCGGGTCGTATCGAGCAACCGCTCGGTAAAAGTCCGGCTCATCGTCTAAACGCATTGCCGCACTCCGCGTTCTTCAATGGATTTCGGGTGTAATCGAAGTGCAGAATATTCCGTGAAGAAGCTGATCGCGAATATATACCCACCCAGATCTATTCCTAGCCACGATTATGCGGAGGAAAGGATCGAGGAAATCGGCATCTCGCCTCGTGCCGAAAAACTGTGGGGACTCCACACTCTCGACTTGGCGGAGCGAAAGTGACGCACAAGGCACGCTATAAGCGCTAAAATGGCAAAGGAAAGACCCGACAAATGAATGTCGACTAAATAATCCCGATGGACGCGGAGGAATTGACTTTGCGGCGGATTATCGGGCCTGCAGCTGTTGCCTCATTCTTGCCGGGGTGCCGACATCCATGCTTAAACTAAATCACGCCATCAGATCGGCCCATTGACTTTAATTGGGCAAGCTATATGTAAAGATGGCCTCTCATAGAAATGTACAGGTGGTTGGTTATCTGGGGTATTTGATCAAAGTCGTTGCTTATGGTCCTTCTTTGTTCGGACTAGCGCCAGGTCCTGTTGAATGTATTGAACATTCTCTGGTCTGGGAACTGGTCAAATGATCATCCTCTGTTTGACCAGGCAGGGCGTGTGCCCCAGGTTGTTGGGTCCCCGCTCATCTCAAAGTCGATTCGGGTCGCGCCGACAATATCACTGTGTTTGATAATAGGCGAGGCAATGTGCTTCCCATCGATCTTGAGGCTTCTGATATATGGCTGGCTGGGGGCTCCGGGCGCGCTGATGACCAGAACGTGCTCCAGTTGCTTGGTTTCCCTACCTCCATTTGCGGCACCGGTTGGTAGGCGGATCGATACCTTCTCGAAAAATGGGGTACCGATAACATACTCGTCGCTAGCAGGATTGACGGGGTAGAAGCCGAGCGCAGTAAACAGATACCAGGCACTCATCTGACCCAAATCTTCATTCCCGCCAAGGCCCCCGCTAGTGGCATTGTAATTTGACCAGGCAATTTCGCGAATGGTGTCAGCGGCTTTTTCGGGGTAGCCGAGCATGGAGTAAAGGTAGGGAACGTGGTGGCTAGGCTCGTTTGTTTGATCATTGTGCCCGCCTTGGAAGTATGTATCCATCTTCTTGGCCATGGCTTTGGGCCCACCAAAGAGTTCGGCTAAACCCTGCACATCATGCATGACGTCGAATGTGTAGACCCAGTCATCCCCTTCTGTCCAGCCCCAAGTGTTATTGGCCCAACTACCGTTCGCATTGCGAGCCTGCATGAACTGCGTCTCGTTGTTCCAAATATGCTTGTAGTTACCACTGCGGGTGCGTAAGGCATCAATTGCGGTCTGCTCAACGCCTGCATGCTGAGCAACAACTGAGCATGCGAAATCATCGAAGGAATAATCCAACGTGCGACTTCCGGCTTCGGACCACCCATCGTTCGACACCCATCCTTGCTTCATATACGCGGTCAGGCCAGCGCGAGCCTCGACAGGGGTAAAAGGCTCGCGGTCGTAATACAGGAGCTCGGTATCATGATCGGGTGGGGTGTAGGCATCTTTCTTCACAGCCTCCCATGCTTTGGAGACGTTGAAGTCGCGGAAGCCTCGCTCGAGCGCGTTGGCGAGCACTGCATCGGCATTGGTTGCGATCATAATGTTCGTCTCAACGACATTAGCCCACATGGGCAGCCAGCCTGACCAGTCGAAGATGCGAAGCAGAGATCGCATCATGCTGTTCACTCTCTCGGGTGCAAATAGTGTCAAAACGGAGTGCTCGGCCCGGTAAGTGTCCCAGATCGACCATGACTGGTAGTATGAGTCGTCGCTTGTGTGTACACTATCGGTGTATCCGGAGTAGAAAATTCGCGAAGAGTTATCGGCATCGGAAAGCGGTTCTGAATAATCACTCGGATACTGGAGAGAATGGAACAGCCCTGTATACCAAATTGTGCGAGGGTTTTGATCTGGATCAGTCTTGTTGACTCCCTCAATCGATACACGCCCAAGCTTTTCGAGCCAAGCTTGCTTCACGTCCTTCACAGTGTCCTCGATCGTTGAACTGGTCGGAGTCTCGATTTCAAGGTTCCTTCGCGCCTGCTCGATGCTAACAAAGGAAACACCAGTCCGAACTTCCACTCGAGTAGTATCTTTCTGGAATTTGACGTATGCGCCGGTGAAATTGCCAGTTCTTTCCAGAGCGCCCTCGGTTTCGTTTCCGTTCGTGACGCCTTGCGCGACAAAGGGCTCTGAGAATTGGGAAACGAAATATCCTTTGAACGACGGGGCGTGATCGGGTCCCAGTAGATAGTCTTGACGCTCTGTGTTATACCCATAGATTTCTCTTCGGTTGGCATCGATATGCACTTCTCCGGTCCAATTTCTGCGAGAAACTTGAACGAAAACCCAGGGCGAGACTCGCTCGTCATCCGGTGTCTTTTTATCTGTTTGAAAGTCGAATCGAAGATGGCTGGCATGAGACTTCGCGGATAAAGCAACCTACGGCATAGTTAGTGCATGAGAACTTGCAGTCCAAAGGAAGAAAAATTCCAGTATGACACCTACCTGAATTGATCGCTGGTGCTCCGCCGCTTGTTCATTTCTGCTGTCCAAAGTATTCTGCTCCTCGTGGCGCTTTCGTACCCTGCCATTGCTCCCTTCCTGTACATCACTTGGCACTGCGCCAGCACCGCCAGGATCAGGCCCATCACCTGCCGCTTCAGCCGTGGCATTCCAGTCGCGATTCATCAATTGGGTCGCGTCTAGAAGCACCTCATAGACATACGGAGTGCTCCGCTCATCACTTTTCCGGAAAGCAAGTCCTCGGTTCTGGAATAAAGGCTGCACATCACCCATTCCCGGGGTAATCACCACTTGGCCAGACTCACCCATCCAGATGGCAGGCTGGTGAGTGGCCTGGAAGCCATGCATGAGACGATCACTCGCGCCGTAGGGGACCTGCGAGATGAAATTCTCGCGCGTTTGCGGCGTCCAGCGCGTCATGCCGAATGGTGTTGATATCGACGGAATCATGCCTCCGTTGCCATTGGGGGTTGTTCCATAGGTGCCGATCATGGGATTGACGTATTTCAGGACTCCAGCATTGTCGTGGTAGTTAGGTTTTTCCTGGTCGATCGGTTGGGCTGCGACACTGCCCAGCAATGAGAGTAAGGGCAGGAGGACGACCATGGTGGTAGCGCGACCGTGTGGTCGATGGGTTTCGAGGTTGAACGATTTGTGTACCGTCAGATTTTTCCATTCTTCAGGTGCTTAGGTCCCTCCATCGGCTTTTAAAGCAGGGCACCGGCATTTGATGGGGGCGTGTGGGGGTGGGGAAGGGAAAGGGAAAGGGAAAGTTCAAGGGGAGCGTGGGTTTTGCGGGGTCAGCGTTGCATCTGGCGGCCCCAAATAGGAACGGACTTGGAGTTCCAAGGTTCATGTTGCCGGTACTAGTATTACTATATCCAGTTTCTAGAAATAGTAGATTTCAGTTGCCGGATCGACACTTTCGCATCATTACGGGATTATGCTTAGCAAGGCAATTCCCAGACACTAGTCTTCTACTGGTATCAGCAATCATCTCTCATCTGGTTGAAGCCAATACTCCAATCTTGGATGGTTAAAAAAAATTACAAGATGATTGGAAATTCAAGGACATCCATCCATCGAAGGTAGTAAAAATGTCACCATGTTGATTTTGCCTCGGAGTATATATATTGCCCGAGCTACTTCTCCGAGTCTCCGAGTCACACCACTGGCAGTCTTCAAGTTCCGTACTCCAGGGCTACTACTAGTAGTAACACCACCTGGAAGAGAAATCTTGGAACTTGAATTATAATTCCATCCACATTGCGAATCTTTATTTTCTAGCCTATAAGTTTACGACAAGTTTGAAAATCGGTGTGGGTTACCTTGGTGACCAGGTATACTTCAACTTCGCAAGTAAACAAGGGTCACGTGTGGCTTTGTTTACTCGCGAAGTATACCTGGAATCTGAACTCCCACGTCTGAGACCATAGGTCAATGTTCTCATAAAGCTTACACAGTACTCACCGTCTTATCCTGAATGACTGCTTGTATTCTGCTGCCTGCGATCGACATTGGCAACAGGGCTCCAGTGCTCCAGGGCTGAAACAGAAAAAAGAACCTCGGCGAGCTAAAATTAGGCTTGAGCCACACGCTAAACCCCATTAGGTCCCTGCCAAGCCACAGACGGGGCTGCGCGTGTGTGCCATTCCGCGCGTCCTTGATCTTGATCTTTTCATCTTTCATCCCTCGTTAAATTTGGCACTGGCTGTCTTTTGCAACTTCATTTTCTTTTCACAGCCCATTTTGAGCGTTTATACCTCCTTAGTCACCACAGAACACATCATCCACCATGCCAGCGTTATACCAGGCGCTCGGGCAACGAGCCGTCGAGGCGGCCCCGCATTTAGCGAAACGGGGTTTATCCGTCAACCATACCCAAAGTATCACTCTGGGTGTTATGGCCGTCTATGTTGTGGTCATCGCCTTGCTATGGAATCTCCCTTATGTCCGCTGGGTTCTTTGGCCCTTCAAGGTAAGCCCTTTTTGCTTTTCTCCCTTCCCCGTTCTCTAAGTGGCTGCCTGATCTGACCATTCCGAGTAGATGTTGGTTATCGCATTCCATGAGTTCGGCCATGCCATAACCGCCTGCTGCACCGGCGGCAGAGTCAAATCAATCAGCCTGGATCCTCACGAGGGTGGTGTTACCCACATGCAAGGAGGAATGAGCGCTGTCACCCTCCCCGCTGGTTATCTCGGTTCATCCATCATCGGCGCTCTCCTGATCTTCGCCGGCTTTGATATTGTCGCATCGAAAATAGCTAGCATCGTCCTTGGTGTTTGCTTCCTGTTGACTTTGTGGTGGGCCCGACGGGACTGGCTGACCATCATGACTGTTCTTTTGGCCGTGGGATTGCTCGTGGCTTGCTGGTTCATTGCCCACGGCGAGGCTTTACGATGGGTGGTGGTACGTTTGAAGGATCACGAGAAGTTATTCTCTTCTGCTGAACCTGTGCTAATACAAACTGAATAGCTCTTCATTGGTGTCATGTCTGCCCTTTATAGTGTTTGGGATATTGTATGAACCCGTCCCCTCTAACCAATTATTGATCGACAAAGCTAACAAACACACCTCCTAGTGCGATGATCTCATTCTGCGCAAAGTAAACAGCTCCGACGCCAGCGTTTTCGCCAAGCGGTATGGAGGATCTTCTCAGTGCTGGGGTGTCATTTGGTCCATCATCAGCTTGTGCTTCATGGCGATCGGCATCATTGGCGGAATCGCAGCCTTCCCCGAGAGCTTTTCTCAGCAGGAGACGGACTCCCAGCATTTCATCCCGACCTAAAGCGAAAGCGAAGGGATCCTAGAATGATGAAACGAGCCCACAATTTATTTTTATTTACTCATTCTTGCACGATCGATGTGTTTCACTTTACCAGCTACCTGCGGAATATACCCAAAGCACCAATATGCTACTATGCTACTATGTTACTACTATGTACTATGTATTATGTTATGTAATCCTATCAAGTGCACCTTCCCTACGTAACGCTGCCTGTTAAGTGGCTCCTGCCTCGTACCTTCCAGTGAATCTCGGAAGTTGCAGTCTCCCTTTTCTCCCCAAAACATCGACCTATCAACTCAGCTGCCACAAGCCAGGAGCATGGCTAGCCTGCGTGCTTGCTCAAGCTCAGTGGATAATTCGCGGCCCATTTTTACTGGAAATGTCCTCAAGTTGGAAAACAGTTCCTGCCTCGAGGATGAATATACGGCAGCTCGTTCTGATGGTAAGTCAGGGCGTTTGGAAAGAGAATTTCATGCTTCCATGCAGTTTTGGAGTGCCACTAACCATTCCACCAGGCGCTAAAATAGATCTTGCTGTTAATTTAATCAATTTTCCGTCTTCGTTCTTACTTGGTAAGAGGGGAAACGCTCCCTATTCACAATGCTCCAAGAGAGTGTCTGTTCCAGGAGGAGGAAGATTGGGTAGCTTTTTGTCCTTTCCAAGTAGGTCGGAGCATTTTCAAAGAGAATCCCATGTGGTTTTGTAGCGCCGCTAACCACCATTCCACCAGGTCTGAAAGAGATCTTGTCGTTGACTAAATCAATTTTCGATCTACTTTACTGGTTTTAAAGGAGCAGAACGGAATTTATGGTCATGTTTGATGAGTAGGAACCTACTCATCATTGTGAAGGAGAGCCCCTGCTCAATTCAGAGGAAAACTGGGCAGCTGGTGCTCATCTTGGAGCGTCCTGGACACCGATGACGGTTTCTCAATACCTCACTTCGCTCTATAATAGACCTCTAGGGACACTAAATACACATGGGCAATCCACACACTTGTATCTCTCTTCTTCCTGTACCCTGCGTGCACTCTTACCACCTTCCCGTCTATCTCTTGGGAACTTTGATTGCCGCTACTCCGCCGAGGTATGGGTTTGGGCTTAACGACTGTGTTGCAGAAATGTTGTTCCTCATACATCAATGTTCAATATTCAATGTTCAATGTTCAATGTTCAATGCTGATTGTGATTGGCTGGTGGCAGAGTCAGCTTCGGCAACGCGGAATGCGCGGGCGCGTGGACTCCGCTGTTCTTCCTTCATCGATCACCACACTTGCTTGGAATATACCATCAGCTGCCACTCAGCAGCCATGGACAACCCTCGATCAGAAACGATTCAGAGCCGAAGAAAGCGACTCTCCTTGATCCCCAAAGCGGTGAGCTGTGATGGTCGCTGTTGAAGGGACGGAAAGCTGACCAGGAACTCTCCCCACAGTGTGAAGGATGCCGGACTCGCAAGGTATACTTCAACCAATTCTTACTGAAGCCCCACTGTCTAAAATGGGAAATTGATACTCTGGTCTATAGATCCGTTGCGACCGCACATTCCCGTGCTCGAATTGCCTCACAACTGGGATCTCCTGTCAAAAGTCCGACCGGAAAGAATCCCCGAGGTCCGATCGAATGCTGCAGATGTAAGTGAAGACTTGACCCTGTGCTTCGAGTCCTTGACTCACAGGGTGCCCCAGGGAAGAACGCATGCAATTTTTGGAAAGTCGTCTCCGAAATGTGGAAGCTGAGCTGTCCCAAAGACCATCGCCGGGAGATCTACCCAGTCATGCACCGAACAATAGCATTGACAAGGCCAGCCCCGGGGAAACAGGAACCGAAAGTGCCCCAACTCCCCTCTACGAAGGCGAGTCTTCATTCGCCAGTCAATCGGCTCAAGCGAAGGAGATTGTGGAGAGATTCGCACGCCCTAATCGTGGACCTGATGCTTCAAGCTTGAGTGTAACTCTGGACTCGATCAATAGTCTCCTTGGTTCCAATCTGCAAAACAAGCCACTTCTCAATGAAACGAATACACATTCAAAGGCTACTTTCCTACCGCTGCCTGCTGAAATGATCGTCACAATGCTCCGCAGATTCCAAGGTATGGCCCTGTCCAATACAATCATTATACGGACCCTGCCCAGTAGCTAACGGTAGGCTGACATTCTCAGTACAAAAACCTCTATTCTTGACCTCATACCCCATCAACAATCCCTTGTTGGTAGAGCAGCTCTGCCAAAGAGTCTACTTTCCCACGCGAAAAGTATCCGTTGGTGATATTGCGGCCATGCATGGGGTTCTTTACTTCGTGTTGAAGGAGTGTATCTGCACCAAAGATATTTTGTGTGAGCAGTTTGATCTCAAGGCGCATCTCAAAGCATGCAAGGAGAGCTTCGAAGCGGGCCTGATGACCGTCGAAGTTCTCGCGGTGCCTAGCTTTGAGAACCTTTTGGCATTGGCCATGGGAGTTAGTTGAGAAACCCAAACCAAAAATTAAGCCTAGAATGATCCTTGCTAACACTTCGACTGCAGGCGATCAAGGCTCAAGATGAGGCCAAACCAGTACTAGGGAGCAACCTGGTTGCAAGTGCCGCACAGCATTGCCAGATGCTAGGCCTCCATCGTGAATCCACCTACCAAAGGGACGACACCGGTAATGCGGATGATAAGCGTCGCTTATTCTGGACAATCTATATGATGGATCACACCGCCTCCTTGTTTCTGGGGCGAGCATCGTATATCCCCGATTTCGATATTGACTGCCGATATCCTCCCCTTTCCGAGAATCTAGCTGTTCGCCCGTGGGATTCGGCTTTCATCTTTATCGTCAAGCTCAGCGAAATCCAGGCCGAGGTATACAATCAGCTGTACTCGGCACAGGGTCTCAGAAAGGGGCAATCAGAACGCATTCGGTGCATCAATGATCTCGAATTAGCTCTGCGAGAGTGCAACAGGGGCCGAAAAGAGGTGAGCCGAAATTCTTCCCCAAGTGCAAATTTCGTCTTTGCTTACCACTCTCTACGACGATAGATAACTCCAGACCATGTTGAGAACAAAGAATTATTCTCTATGTGCGATCGAATTTGGGATTTATCATTCTACTCTACACTCACCACCATGCTCCGTGCATCATTCACGGCAAGAATCGGAGGGGAAATCGAGACGCGATGCCTTGAGGCCGCACGCTTGAGCTTGAATAGCCATCTACGATGCTTTTCCGACTACCAGCAGTCAAGCCGGTTTTCAGTCGCCGACTATGCCAATTGGTTTGTCGTCCCCTTTACTGTCCCCTTTTCTATCTCTATTGTTACTTACTAATGCCTGCTCACGTCCCAGGGTCCTGCTCTACTCGTCGTTCACCCCCTTCATCGTGATATTCCTCCACATTGTCGCCGCGAAGAGTCGAGTCGACCTTGACATATTGGAAACGGTGGTTAATACTCTACACCCCGTACAAGCCGTCTCCGATGCCTCGGCGCGGCTTTACAAAATTTGCTTTGCCTTCTCTCGGGTAGCCCGAGGCTTGGTCGACGATCAAAGCCCATACGGTGGGAAGCCGACCGCCGAAAAAGACTCTTCGCAGTTACCAAGTGGCCCCCGTCAAGAGATAATGCCATCCCTGGACTCATCGCAGGGATTTCCTGTCGATATGATGGACTACTTGACCTACCCGGAGGCACAAGACATCAACGCGATCCTGGATACCTGGGATAATGGCCAGCCGTCTGTGATGGACTTGTTCGGATTTGAAATGACCAGGTCTTGAACCTTTCCGCAGCAACCTCGGAACTCAAATATCAGCACAGAACTGTCTATCATTTTCTCTGCCAATGTGACCCCGTGGAAGTGCCAAGAGGTGGTTCCGCCCCATCGAATGACTTCATCGGGCGGGGCGGAGCGGGCACAATCTGACCCGCCCCCAGTCTGATTCTCGATGGTTTCTTATAAGAGGGCACGAGATCGCATGGACTTCGGCGAAATTTCGCCAGAGCTTTTCACAATACATAACGCCATATCTTTGATTCCACCTTGCCTAACGCAATCATGCCTAGCAACCAAAGTGAATCGACATTAGTGCCCGAGACACCAAGCGACAGCAAGGTCAACAGATCACAGGAGCAACAAGCTGCTGCCGCCGCCGCCGCGATGAAATGGGGTATTACTCCCTCGAAACCCTACGACCCAAACGAAAAGCCCGGACCAGACCATCCCGTTCACAAAATTCCACTCGAAAAGCAAGAGAAAATGCGGAAGAAGGGGATCAACCCTGTTCTTCGCGCTGAGATGGACGAGTCAAGGAAAGGACAAGGTGGTTTCTGGGGCAAAGTGGCTCAGACTTCGATGGGAGGAGGATGGATTAAATGAAATGATTCACTGGTATTCTATGTGGGCGAAAAGGGAGGATTGTAAATCCTCCGCATGTGCGTTGATGTATGCACTGAGCTGCGTGAGATTGGAGAACCACACGTCTTCAGGGCGTATGGTCAAGTGATGATGATTTCTTGTAGGCGTGGACCGCGGCCCAGACAAAGCCATGCTCGGAGGGCGAGATATGAGAGGTGTTGAAGAGATTCGTCGGGTATGAGTCTTGTATCAAATTCTGGCAGCGGCGATGTTCTTCGCGACATGAGTATTCGAATAACTCTTCAGCAGTGGGGACTTTTGGGTATCGCCATGCGTTAGAGGGATGCTCAGCTGTGATAAGAGTGACGGGCATCGTTTCAGTGTGGTGTCAAAACTGTGGACTCGGAGTGATAGGGTTTGTTTCCAAGGTTTCTTCCTATGGAAAGGAGAGTCAAATCTTGAGGAGGTTGCTCGGAAATGTGGTGTTCCCAAGGGTTGTCAGGTCGTCAGGTACAAGCCACCCTGCAGCACCATCTGCAGGCGATCACGGGTCCAACCTACCCTACCTCACGCAACCACAACGGGGTATGAAGATCGGATATTCCTTAGGTATCAGCAAAGACCCACGCGCTATCTTTCTATATATAGTAGTATATGGGAACATCGAAGTGAAAGCTTTAACATTGTGGTATTCTTAGTCTATTGGAATAGCATGTGAGGTCAAATCCGTGACATCTATTTTACCGTTCTGTACTATCCCATGTCCTCTTTTGATATACTTCCAAGGTTGGAAGAAATCGTATGGATATTCAGTGCCGAAGGCCTTTTGACTTTGCTATTATGAAACAAACATTTCATGAACCGGTCGCATAATGTGGTTGACAAATACTTACCCCCCTCTAGCATTAAAATGGGTGTGTATAGGTCAAAACTTCAGTCGACCTACACCGTGACTATGCTTGCAAGTTGCAACTTGAAGTTGACCATGGAACAAATATTTTCAAGTCACATTAATCTTTTTCAAGGTTGACCCATGTTCTACTAACTAGTATGTGCCCGAATTTTATTGAGATGCTGCAGCCAGACACTAGGCTTTGACGTAAGCAGATGCTGAGAGAGTAACTTGTAGTCAGTTTCTCAGATCAACCTTTCGAGCAGAATTGGAACTCAAGCGAACAGCAAACGGAAAGGGAGAAGTAAGTACTGACAGAGAGACGCCCATCTCCACATTTCCCCAGATTCTTGGTCCGCGGATATTGTGGAGATGCACAAAACATCCGCCCCCAGCCGAAGTAACCAAGTTCCCCTCCCCTCCCCTCTTTGACCTCTTTCTTTGTTCCAATGGAACATCACTCTCGTGGCGACTAGCAACGCAACCATGGCCTATCCTTGAATCTTGGCACCCTGGGCCCAAACATATTCGAATGTGTGCAAGGTTATAGCCAGCTCAAAGCGATATCTCTGATTGCTCTTCCTTTGCGACCGCACACCTCCCTCAACAAGTTCTGGAATACGTAGTACCTATATTTTGCTCGGCTGGTTTGGGCTCAAAATTGGACGCCTTGTGTTATCGGAGAAACCGGATTCCCGACCCTTGTGTTTTAAGGGCCAATGACAATCATGTCGGGACTTCGGATGGCGCACTCAAGCCTTTGGTTGAGCTCAGCCCAAGTACCCTCAGCCACGGCGCCCCTAGCGTCATAAGGGTTGTTTTTATGATTAGGGGTAGCTTTTATTTCCACTGTTTGTACTTGATTTCAAGACTAGCTCTATTGTGGTTGGGCCCACCATCATGCTTGACTATGGGTTTCCCCGCAACGTGACATCGGTGGGTGGAGACAAGATTCGTATCTGCTTTGAGAAAAGGTGCCACTAGCAGGATTATTCGTGACTGCATTGTTGAATGATGACTGGGGCTCAGGAGTCTGAGCTTTTACCAGTGCCTGTTCCCCCTCTCCTCTTCTTCCCTTCACATCACCGTGTCGCCTCTCAACTTTCACCCCTCGCCATTTTGTGCCCACAAGTTTAGAGGCTCGATCTACTCTACAAGCAATCCACGAAAATGTCTCAGACATATCGCGCTCCGATCCAAAGCGATCAGACAACTAAATATGACGATGGTCTTAGTGCCGCCGAAAAACAACACATCGAGCGAGCGCCTGCAGAACAGGAAAACCCTTTCGGAGATGAGGAATACGCAGAAGTCAGATATCGCACTCTACACTGGTGGTTCGTAATTCAGCCTAGTAAATCATCCCAATATTTCTAACGGAACTCTCGATGTAGGCAATGTGGAATGAGTACGTATCTCGAATCCGGCCGAGGCCCAACTTTCTCCGAGTCGCGGTCCTTTCTTCGCAGCCCTCTTTTTTTCTAATACCAAAGCGCTTGAACAGTTATGATCGCAGAAACCATTTCCCTCGGAATTCTCTCCCTTCCTTCAGCAGTCGCTACTCTAGGTCTTGCTCCGTGAGTGATCACCCGTCCACTCTGATGAAATTATCCTAAACGCTTCCTCACACAACGCTAGCGCGATTATTTTGATCGTGGGATTAGGCCTATTGGCCACATATACAGGGTACACCTTGGGACAATTCAAGCTCCACTACCCACAAGTACACTCAATGGGGGATGCTGGGGAGATCCTTTTCGGAAAAATCGGTCTCCCACGATTCGGCCGTGAATTCCTCGGAACTGCGCAGCTGCTGTTTCTCGTTTTCATCATGGGAAGTCATATTTTAACATTTACGGTAATGATGAATACCATCACGGAACACGCTACTTGTTCAATTGTGTTCGGTGTGGTCGGCATGATAATTTCCTTTATTTTTGCCGTCCCAAGAACACTGCGCAAGGTATCGTGGTTCTCATTTGCATGTTTGTGAACCCCAAAAGATTTCTCAATATCCGAGTCTAACAGCTCCTTAGCGTTCGCAAGTATCATGTCGTAAGATCAATAGACTCGAAATTACTTCGCAAACTGACCTCCTTGACAGCGCCGTCCTCATAACAATGATCGCAATTGCTATCCAACGCCCTGGGGATGGAAAGATTGACGTCACTACCAAGATCGATGTTGCGACTGGATTCCTCGCAGTGACGAATATTGTGTTCGCATATGGTATGAAATACTTTCCATAATCCCCACACCGTAAATCATACTAAAGTAGCGCAACTAGCTGGCCATGTGGCTTTCTTCGGCTTCATCTCAGAGATGCGAATCCCGACCGACTACCCGAAGACATTGTATTTACTCCAGGGAACAGACACGATTATGTACACAGTAGCTGCCATTGTAATATACATATACGGCGGGCAGGATGTGAAATCTCCTGCTCTCAGCTCCACCAGCCCCCTTACGGCAAAAATCGCCTATGGAATCGCTATCCCGACTGTAAGTGTGACACCCAACCAATTATATTTGTCCTATTCACACTGACAAACTCGCCAGATCGTCATCGCTGGTGTGATCAATGGTCATGTCGCAGCCAAGTATCTCTACGTTCGCATCTTCCGAGGAACAGATCATATGCAAAAGCGAAACTTTCGTTCAATTGGATCATGGGTGGGAATCAGTCTCGTACTGTGGATCATCGCGTGGGTTATTGCGGAGGCTATACCCGTTTTCAACGATCTTCTCAGTCTCATAGTAAGTGTCGTTTGAACAATCAGCATTGAATATCTGACTGGCCGATACTAACTCGCTTCCGCTTCCCAGACGGCACTTTTCGCGAGCTGGTTTACTTGTGAGTCGCGCTACAGTTATCAAAACGATACTCGAAGTTTCATCTCAACTAACGTAATTCCAGATGGTCTGAGCGGCATATTCTGGCTGTTCCTCAATGTCGGTCGGTATCGCGAAAGTTGGAAGAAGATGTTCCTAACTTGTCTCAATTTGGTGATTATCGCGATCGGCGGTTGTCTCGTAAGTACCCGATGTGAAGATGCCGCGATACAGCACTAACATAAATCAAGTGTGGAATGGGTCTCTGGGTCTCTGGAAAAGCTATCAACGCAGATTCTGGCAATGCCAGTTTCTCATGCGCAGACTCTAGTTGATTATTTCCTAGTTAGACTTCTCTCCGAGCAATGGGATTGTGTTTGGCTATCTTCAATTCAGGTATCAGGTAATAGCTGACAAGGCTTGCTTTATTTTTCGAATTCAATTTTACCTCCATTCACGTCGGTCTGCCGAAATTATTTGTTTGATATTTTCTTGGCGCTGTTTCAACACGCCAAATGTTTCAGTTGTAGACGTGAGACTTTCTCGGCCCGTGTTCCTTTGGGAAGACTGTCCGGCGATCTCGCCAAGGGGAGTAGTTAGGCTCGTCCACAGGAAGTAATTCATGAATCTATACAAGACGTCAAATTGTTTCGCTATGCGCCAAGGACCCCACTATGGTCTGCTGTCAGAAAGCTCCCCGTTTCATATCCAGAGTGCCGCTCGAAAAAGATAGATATAAGGCTGGGTTGAAAGAAAGGATACACAGGGTAGCCAGTTACACTGCATATCTTATCGATCACTCTTTCAAAACACACTCGTCAACATGAAGTACTTTCTTTGGGCTGTCATGCCTATTGCGGCAGAGTGTGGGGAGGTGTTGTGGAGTGGCTTCTTCAATTCGTCGTCCACAGTCAAAGAATTTGATGAATGTAAGCAAGCTAATATGGCGAATTGGCAACCCCTATTCTAACCAAATAGGGTCCTGGTCCAACCAAATCGGCGATTATCAGTGGTACATTCACGGGGATGGAGAGACCAGCGATTATCTTGGGCTGTCAGAGGGGTTCAAGAATCCGGCAGATAAAAGTGACGATCAGGGGATCCGAATTACAATTGTGCGATTTCCACAGCTTCATTGGACAGAGATTACATACTAACCCTGTTAGGATGGAACATCGTCTTGGAACGGCCAAACCATGATGCGCAGCGAGCTTATCCCCCAAACAAAAGAGGACCTTGGAAGTGGCCATTTGTTCTATCATTTCTCGCTCTCCACAAATGAAACAAACGGCCCGAATCCGAAATTCGAACACCAGATCGCATTTTTCGAGGTGGGTAACAATCGCAGAGGATTAAAAGGGCGTACACTAATCTCCTCCATAGAGCCATTTCACCGAACTCAAATACGGTTTACTGAGCGGCGACTCGGCCGCAAAGGACAACACCCTTCGCTGGTGCGTGAGCAGCGAAACACACTGGTCAACTGAGCTGCAGGCCGGCCATTGGTACAACTTCGCCTACGACATTGATTTCGACGCGCAGACGGTCGGCCTGTGGGCCTCCAACGGGACTGACGCGCTCACACAGGTCGTGAAGGGAGTCAGCGCGTCCACGTCGACCAATTCGGCGGACTTCCATATTGGACAATTACGACTTGATAACGGCGGCACTGACACGGTTGCAGAAGATTGGTTCTGGTCTGGAATCTTTGTGGAGAAGGCTCCAATTTCCACGAGCGTTGCGGGTCCGCTGGCAGAGTAGGGTGTCGATCATCTATATCCAGAGCGATTAACACCCCTGTAAAGGAAAAAATTAGCTTAGTCTAATCCTACTGTATGTACATACGTTCTCCTATGATCAGAATTGTCTACAGGCTCGGCTTGCCGAGACAATTCCAGTCACACTGGGCGGCAACCCGGTGTGACCATCGGGGTTTAGCACTGTGGGGCATCTTCCGAGGAAAATAAACAAGATAAGCTAATTCAGTATGATATCATTCTGCGACCGAAAGCCAATTGGGTTCGAAGAACCTGCTTCGACCCGGCAAAGACAGGTTTTTCTTTCTTATTATGTACATGAGCTATTTACCGGACGGTGTATCCTCCGTCAATGATCAGATCGTTGCCGGTCATGTAGGTGCTGGCATCGCTGACGAGGTAAACATAGGCACCCTTGAGCTCCTTAGCCTGACCGTTGCGGCCCATGGGGATCATGGAGTTCCACAGGTCCTGGATCTTCTGGTCCACGAAGTCGGACAGACCGGTGTCAATGTACCCGGGGGAGATGCTGTTAACGCGAGCGAAGTCACGCCACTCGTTGGCAAGGGAGCGAGCCATGTGAATGCAGCCAGCCTTGGCGACGTTGTAGGAGGTTTGTTCCTGAGGGAAGTTGGCGATGTGACCGGACATGGAAGATGTGATGACGAAGGAGCCGGTGCCGCGCTCCTTGAAGTGAGCGCCGACGGCCTTGGCGCAGTGGAAAGTGCCGTTCAGGTCGGTCTGGATAACCTCCTCCCAGTCACTGACGGAGCCATCGAGGACACCGGAGTTGGCGGTGCGGCCAGCATTGGCGATGAAAGCATCGATCTTGCCGAAGTCCTTGATGACCGACTTGACGAAGCCATCCACGCTATCCCAGCTACCGACATCACACTTGTAGGCCTTGACCTTGACGCCATACTTCTCGGAGAGGTCCTTTGCGTTCTTTTCGCCGCCCTCGGGTCGCGAGGAGTAGGTGATGGCCAGATCGGCTCCCATCTCGGCGCAGCCGCGGGCAGCCTCGATACCCATGCCTCGAGGGCCGGAAGCACCGGTCACAACGACGACCTTGCCCTTCAGGCTAAGAAGGTCCTTGAGATTGTCGGACTTGGGAACTGGAATAGGCATTTTGGTTGGTGGGGGTTGTATAGAATAGAGAAGAATTGAGTTGGAGGGGAGAGTTGATTCTGCGAGAGTTTAGGACGGAGAGGGGGGGTGGTTGAGGGGAATAAATACCAGATACAACGAAGCTCGGCGAAGCTCCCAAGGTTTCGTCGGTTATCTATGCCTTGTTCTCCCCTCCTCTGCCCCTCCAAACCCTTGGCTGACCATGACGGCATAAGTGGCAGATCCTGGTTGCCATGCTTCGTTGTGATACGCTCTCCACTGTAGAACCTGCTGCGTTTGGGGCCGAGCTAGGCCTGTCGTATTGCCCCTCACCTGCATTAACTCTCGATTCGTTGGAAGCCCCCCATTTCCATTTTCAACTTTCTAAGAAGTGCGTAGAATGTAGGGGGTTTGCTTCGTTTGGCCAGTTCGGATGACATCGGACCATGATGTCATGACTACTCAACAAACTATCGGCCCACTCGTTGACGTAGAACTGGTTCTCTAGTTATCGGCATGCCGGTGATGATTTAATTTTTACGAGATAATTTGGGGCAGTGGTCAGATCACACTCGGCTCGATGCCGAAATGCAATGGTGTGACAACTGTCCAAGCAGGAATAGTCGCAGGACTCATACTGTACTGTACTACACCTGGGCACAATTGTCCTATCGCGCGGTGCGGGCGATCGCCCCACCACAATCCAACAAAAGATGGGGTAACAGACTACTCGTATGTATGAAAAGATGAATCCGGCGGTGAACGCACATGGGGAAAAGCAGCAATCTCCAAACTAAATCGCAGCTAGGGATAAATTTAGTTTTAGCCGAGGGGAATCCCAGTAAGCATCTTCACATCTACCTATCATCGAAAGCGGTGGCTGAAAAGCAGTGATCTAGGCCCAGTATAGCGAGTCAAACGACATGGGCGGCATGAACTTATTTCAAAAAGGACTCGAATCCACACCGCTCAATATTTTCCATTGCACTTAGGATTGGCACAATGGATTTGAGGGAGATTGATGATGGATGATGGAACAAACGAGGATTCCTTTTCCTGTCTCCATCATTGAATCACCAACGCTCATCCCAAAGGGATCCACACTCCCCGCCATGACGCTTAGACAGGGACAAATGGTATACTCGTTAAGTCAGCCAATTTCAGGACTTTGTTGAATATGACCTGCCGTTTCCTGTGGTGCAGACTAGTTGCATTATACCATGCACTAGTGCAGTCTCGATACGATGGATGAATCAGATTCCCAATTGCCGCCTCAAGTGCCTCCCCAGGTGCCAACGCAGAGAATTCGCCATTCTCGTGTCGGATCTACTGGTCAAGTTCTACACAGATCTTCTACCACGAGCACGCTTCATCATAATTCATTCAAAGATTCCTTCTTTTCTAGGTATGGTACACTGGCACGAAAGGTCCAGATTGGAAGGCAAGGCTCTAACATAATTCATTCTTGGCAGATTTCACTCTTTCTTCCATCGGGATTCGCATATTGGGCATGTCGGGCAGCATCCCCTGCGAGACAAGGAAAATGTCGAGATCCATACTTGGGATGGTCCCAATGACCCCGACAATCCGTCAGTTCTTCGAGTTACCGTCTCATTTTAGTAGAAACTGACAGTCACAGTTTCAATTGGAGCAAGACATATAAATGGGTGCTGACCATCACGATCTGTTTCATGTACGTAATTTATCTCAACTGGAGAGAGGTCCATGGATGCAATTGTCCCTTTGACTGACCGCTCCTAGCTCCATTTTGACAGGTCTACCAGCTGGGTCATATGGCGCCGGAAATAAATACATGGCAGAGCGATTTCATGTACAGAATGAGCCCTTCCCTAATTTGGCCTGGGCTACTACATCTTGGAATATGGGGGCGGCGTTTTGGCCTCTGATCTTCGTCCCGCTCACAGAGTCATCTGGGCGCATGCCGGGGTACTTTGTATCCTACTTTCTCCTGGTGGTATCGCTATTCCCATCGGCGTTTGCGCAGAATTTTGCCACGCTTGTTGTCACCCGCTTTTTCGGGGGTGGGGCCTCTTCCGTGTCGATTAATATCGTGGGCGGAAGCATCAGCGATGTTTGGTATGGCGATAAGGCCCGGAGCTTGCCAATGTCGTTGTTCGGCTTCACGAGTGTGGTTGGAATCGCTCTTGGGCCATTTGTCGGTTCGGCTATTCAACAGATCCATAAGAATGATCCCTGGAGATGGTAAGTGGAAGCAAAGAATTCTACAATTAGATTCCGCTGACCATAAACAGGATATTCTACATTCAAATCATCTACAATGCAGCGTTGATCCCGGTCTTTTACCTTATCCTCCGCGAAACCCGAGCTGATGTCATCCTACGAAAACGCGCGAAGAAACTCCGCTGGGAGACTGGCCGACCAATCTACTCAGAATCTGAACTTAATACCACTAGTTTGTTAAAGCTAGTGCAAGTTTCGTTTGAACGACCCACGCGAATGCTTTTAACCGAGCCTGTTGTCATATTTTTCACATTATGGGTCAGCTTTGCATGGGGAATTCTGTTCCTTTTCTTTTCTAGCGTGAGTCAGACGTTCAGTCACAATTATGGATGGGGCACGTTTACTACCGGTCTCGTCCAACTTGCGATTTCCGTAGGGGCTGTGATCGGTACCGTGGTAAATCCCCTTCAAGATTGGATCTATCTCAGCTCTGCGAAGCGCAACCGCGACAATCCTGGTAGGCCGATCCCAGAGGCTCGTCTGTACACGTCGATTCCAGGAAGTCTTCTCTTCGCAGGGGGGTTGTTTTGGTACGGTTGGGGCAGCGTGGGCAACGGCTCAATTCATTGGATTGTTCCCACTCTAGGAATTGGCTGCACCGGGGTGGGAATCTATTCGATCTATATGGCCGTGGTCAACTATCTCACTGACGCGTATGAGAAATACGCGGCATCAGCATTGTCGGCCGCCTCATTAGGTCGCAATACCTTTGGCGCCTTCCTTCCACTCGCCTCCTATCAGCTTTTCGAGACTCTCGGTTATGGATGGGCAGGCTCGCTATTGGGATTCGTCGGCGTGGCTCTCTCAGTCGTTCCTGTAGTCCTAGTTCTTAAGGGACCTGAAATCAGACGCCGCAGCCCATTCATGAGGGAGTCCATGTTTGACCCAGAACACTTGGAGGACAGTGCCAGTCTGGAGGTGGCCAGTTCCGAGGTGGATCAGAAGCCGGAGGAGGTGGAAGTGTGATGGACTGAAGTACCATATTCTAGTACAAATTGATGGCATGCTTTTGTCGTGCTCTTAATTTACAATTTTTGATTTTTCATGTGGAGTCAACATACTAGATAGTAAATGAAGCCGACTACATTATTGAATTTCTCAAGCTTCCTTATCTTCATAACTTCAAGTCATCATGAGCTCTCGTACCATCATCTAGTCGCAATGTATAGCTTTTCCATTGAATAGAGAGTCGAATACCATCGGGAAAACCTCCAAATTCGATTTGGAATCACTGGTGCATTTATCGTTGCTAATTCGATGTGAGCAAAGACAACTTCCAAGTTAACCACCTGGGCACGGACAGGTACTCACCTATATATCCTGCAACTGTCCCAAGCAGCGACCCAGCGGACATCGCCACTAAATGCTTGAAGGTTAGCCCATGTCAAATCTGAACTCTTCTCTAGGCGTCGAGCCAACTCACGGGTGGCTTAGCTTGATGCATTGTTTTTCGTGTATTCTTTGATAATGGCAGTTCGAAGGGTAATTATCATTACAATATTGAATCTTTTTATCAATAAGCACTCGATGGTTACCTCCAGGGCTCTCGTCTGAATTTGCCGCTACTTGCCATTGAATGATCTCTGAATGGGAAGAATGGGCTTGCCAAGCTACTACTGGCAAAAGTAGCAAGACTTGTGATAAGAGAGATTTTAGAGAACATTTGCAATGTTTGCTCTGTGTTTCCGATATTTAAGGTAGGAGTAGCTGTACTGCGCTTGTTGCTGCAAAAATCCAAGGTCGATAACCCGATCATACAGGTAGTACTACTAGTACTAGTACCTAGCAGTAGTATGAAAAGAAATTCTCGAAATTGTCGGTATTACGAGCATTATATATGATTGCTTCAGGGCTAGCAGCCCTCGGTATCCTGAGGCCGTAGTTTCAACATGCTGATTTCAAGGTTCTCAGTCCAACTGGTTACTCATTGATGTACAGAGTACCGACAAAAGAGATATTTCGCTTACTATGGGAAGTATTCTCGCGATGCGAGTTCCCATCCACCCCGGACACGATGCGGGAGTGCCACCAGATCCAGCTGCCAAGCCAGACACGCGTTAAGCGGTCACGGTATTTACGTTCAACAAGGCCCGTGAATTGAAAGATGAGATACCACTGGCTAGTATTAATGACATGGTGAAGCTGTACCACTCTGGAGTGTCTTTGCTGGCCAAATATCATCTGCTTAGCCGTCGAGATTTTAATTCCATGAATTCCGGCGGGCTGCCTAGTAGTACAGATGGACGTGGCACAAAAATGTCGAGAAGACAGGTCCCAGGAGTCGGAATTATTCATTGTCAACTTCAGTGATCGTCTCGTCCGTCGCAGGATTTTCCTGGGTCTTGCGGCTAAACTGCCAGGACAGTGTGGCGGAAGAGTGAGGCATCTCACCATTCCAAGGGTCACTTCACTACACAGACGATTAGGCAGCAATTCAGTATCAATGTTAATAATCACTGTCTTTCACCTGGGCAAGCTTCGCGTTGCAGATTCTATCGTGTTGGCAACTCGGATACATGTCGTAATAGGTTCATGAAATCGCCGGCCTAAACCCAATTAAGAGAGAGCCTTCTTTTTAGCCTTCATAGGTCAAATTTCTAGCAACGAATCTCCTACTGAAGATGAAGCAATGCTGTGATAATTTCGACCAACCTCAATTCATCGATCAAATGGGAAGCACGATATTTAGAGATACTATTGATGCTTTAAAATTCAATGCCGCATTTGTGGTGAGTTTTATTGAGACAAAGCATGAGCAATACATTTCGGTCAACTCGTTTCTTTGCAGACCATGCTTTCAACTATTATGATAGAGTCACAGGCTTTCCGTGCTGGAAGTATGTAGTAGAGTAACCCAGAGAAACCAAGGCTCTCGGGACATCAACCCATTGATCCTGGTCTTTAACCGCAATCTGCCATTCTGGATCGGACATGATATTCTTGATGGTTTCGGCATTAGGGAGTGTATATTCAATGAAACAGTCGCATTCAGCAAAGTCCCAGGTTGGTCTAAGAGCTCCGATTTCTTGTTTCAAGCCATCATTTAGAGGCGGTGGTGTAACGAACTAGATATCGTATTTAGTTATCGCTAGATGACTTCGCAGGGATGTTGGAGAATCTACACACAAGAGAATAATCGATGACCCCATATTTCTCAAAGACTGGAATTGCGAGAGGTAAATGCTCCTTTACTATCCAATCGATGAATGCCTCATGGGTATGTTGCGGTTGACGGTGGTGGGTGATTGTGAATTTAACAGGTGGGGCTCCAGTAGTTTCAGACATCTTGGTGGTTGTGTGTTACAAAAGATGATTTTGGATGGAACAGGCCGGAATTGTTTTAAATATCAAGTTTGAGTGGCTTGGGAATTGAGCGCTGATCTGACGTCAGCACGATCCTGGGGGTCACCGAGTTATGGAATTAGGCCCCCTGTTATTAGCGTCATATATTCGACCGTTTTGGTTCAAGTTTGGGGGAGGGGGGAGGCGCAGCCGTCGATTTTGCTCGCGTCGAATCAAACGAAGTATTTTAATTACAAATTAGTTAACTAGTAGTACTAGTACCTTTATACCCCGGGACCGGCACTTGCTAACTTGAAGTTTGTAGCACCTACCTCTACTTCTACGTTTACCACTTCTATACTTGTATTTTCTCAGAAGTGACTGACGCGCCACATCCTGAAATCATAGTATGTATTTGGTTCTAGCTAGATTTATCGATGATTTGTATCGAGAGGGGAAAGGTCAGTCCCTATGATGTGAGAAGCTAGTAGTCGCAATGCAAATGCTCAAATTGCCTTCGGGATATAGTAATTAACTTCGCCCCGCTGGAAACTAGAGGGAAGAAGAAAACGTAAATTTTGTGGGATCATCCCGCGTGTCATCCATGGTCACCGATACGGTCTCGAATCGACCCACAGAACATCCCTAACATCAGTTGAATCGCAAAATTCTCTGTTGAACTGGATTCTATATTTTGCGCACTTCTCTAGCATAGCTACCTTGGCACGAGGATGTATTCGACACCTGCTGCAATGCATATACTCATCGGGGTGACATTTATCGCGCTTTATTTCGACATGAGCGTCCAAATGCGGACAAAGCATGATTCGCCTGGCAGATTCGTTTTCGTCAAACGCTTTTGCGGTGACGAATAAGTAGTCGAAACTAAATATGGCTAGACCACGTACGTCGAGAGACACGGATATCGATAGCTTATATGCGATCCCGTTGCTCGAAAACTCGCATTGGTGCCAATTCCCTATGTGCTTTTTGATACTGGGTCGTAAGCAGCTTGCGCTAGGAGCTCTTTCAAGAGCATCGAAGACTTGAGGCTATTACTTGGGTCGGAATCGAAGACAAGGGCAGAGTACGATGACACCGGGCGACATGCAAGTCTGGTGGGGGTATTTTATATCAACCGTTGCTGACGCGGTTAAGCTTCGTCACTCCACCTCCCGCAGTGAACATGCCAGGCACCACTTCTCCTTCTTCTTCTTCTTCCTCCTCTTCAATACTGTACAAATCCCATCGGAGCGAAATCCCCGCTGACAAAGATCGCGGCGGGGCAGCTTCTTTTGCAAATGAGAGTCGATTCATTCGTCAGTCAGGGACGATCATTCCTCAAGGATAAAATGCAGTGGGGCGCATCTACTCGAGTTGGTGCCAAAATGTCCTTAACGCGTGGCGCCAAGAACACCAATATCTACAGAGTGAGGAATTCGCCCTGGGCTCACCATTAACCGGTTTCACTGCGACCAAACGAGCGCATTCTATATTAAATGCTGTCTTCGACGGACGGCTCTAGTCTCTAGAATGACGCGTCAAACAAACCCACGAAGTGATGGCCGCGCCGTATAAATCGCGGCTGCTAGGCCCTCCTCGAGAATGAGGAATATCTCACAGCCCAAGCCTTCAATCGAAACTCCATTGAACTATCCGATCCCATGGTTCAATTAGCCAAAATTCTGGCCATTGCAGCCGCCTGCCTCGTCGCCCCCGTTGTCGCTCACCCCGGCGAGAAGCACGACCCGCATGTCCTGAAGCGCGAGCTCCATCTTCGCGATGCCATGGCTGCCGCTGGCAAGCGATCGCTGGGTGGTTGCCAGAGTACCCTGCACGCGCGTGAGCTGGCCAAGCGCAACGTTGCCCGTCGTTCGCACACCGTTCAAAAGTTGCGCCAAAAGCGCGGCATCACCTCTAGTAAGACCCTTCCACAAACACCTATCCGACTCAAGAACCAGGCCGCTAATATCCCATAGCACCCCAGAAGTATCGCCGCAACCTAGCCGCCCTGGAGAAGTGGGAAGCAATCGACCACAATCGAACCGACGCTTACCAGCACGGCCTGATCAACCAGGAATCCATCTTCGGCGCCAACACCTCGTGCATTCTGACACCCACCGTCACCGACGGCCCCTACTACGTCTGGGGCGAAATCGTCCGCGAAAACGTGAAGGAGGAAGAGTACTCTGACGGCATCGACGTCCACCTGGAAGTGCAGTACATCGACATCAACACTTGTCGCCCGGTCCCCGGTGCTCTGGTCGATATCTGGCAAGCCAATGCCACAGGTGTGTACAGCGGTATCTCGACCAGCGGTAACTATGCCGCCGATGGCTACAACAGCACCTACCTGCGCGGTATCCAGCAGACCAACCAAGAGGGTGTGGTCAACTTCGACAGCATCTTCCCGGGACACTATGACGGCCGCGCCACGCACACCCACCTGCTCACCCATCTGAATGCGACCATGTTCCCCAATAAGACTCTGGAGGTGGGAACCGGTAGCGTCGCTCACATCGGCCAACTGTTCTGGAACGAGGTCCTCCGCACTGCTGTCGAGGAGACATACCCGTATACCAGCAACGAGCAAGCCGTCACCACCAATGCCGAGGACATGTGGAGTGTCCTTCAGGCGGATGCTTCCTACGACCCTTTCCCCGAATACATGTACCTGGGCGATAACCTCGACGATGGTCTTTTCGCGTGGATCCAGATTGGTATCAACTCGACTGCCGATTACACCGATAACTCGTACTACAGCATTGCGGCCTACTACGATGCTAATGGCGGTCACGAGAATGAGGACAGCGGGTTTGTGGGTGGTGGTGGTGGTAGCGGTGGTGGTAGTGCTCCCAGTGGATCGATGTCTGGCATGCCATCATCATCTGCCACTGCGTCTGCTTCCTCATAAATGAGTCCAACAAGCCATCGCCTTGGAAATTCTTGGTGTATACGGCACATGGGGGTATAACTATCTCGATGTATAGAGTACAATGTACTATTACTAGTAACTAGATGTGAATAGACTTTATCCTGCTTTCTGCCTACTCCGTGTTCAGCTTCCTTAATTTAGTGATGTCGACTTGAGTTTAATTATCAAGTCTCATTAGGTGAATATCGCAATTTGAAAGTTCACAAGTTTTAAGGTTGGCCAATGAAGGCAAAGCAGAAGTCCACGTCATGGAGTGACCTAATAACGGGTTCAAGTTTCGTCTATGATGCGATTATTTGTATAAATAGTACGGAGTAGTACAGAGTAGGAAGATGTCCGAAATATCAGTACCATTGTCCACCCGTTCACCCCTTGAATAATTGTTGGGATCAAGATCTACGACTCTAGAGGGTACTAGGGTGCTTCAGCCTACAAGCATATTCCCACTCGCTGCCGAGGTGCAAGGTCGAAACACATTAGTAACCATCAAGCGCATCAACTACTTCGCCTTCAAACGCTAACCGCTTCGCTTCTGTTTCAGAACCTTGGTTCAGAAGTTCTAGAAGCAAACGAGCCTCTAACGAGCTTGCGACGTGTTTGGCACGGACCCTTTGAATTCTTCATAGCGCGGACGTCGCGTGGGAATCGCGTGGACAAGAACTCCGGAAGGGGCTGAGTGGGTCGAATGGATCGAATGGCAGCAGCCACTTTTTCTCCCGTTCTCCAGATACGTAATATACTCTGCATCGAACCGGCGAAGAGGTAAGCGCAGACTCCGCAAAGATAGCGGCCTGGCATATCAGAGCCATGGATCCGATGAAGAATAGCCGTGGGCCTATCCACCCAGCTCCTTGTCTCGTAGAAACTTCGGCATGAACATGTGGCATGCAATGGTGATGATGATCATCTCATGCAGGGTTTCAATAAACTCCCCCGCTCCTCACTGGTACCACTACCAATATACCGAATGCAACCCGAATAAAGTTTCCCAACAGTTTGGCAAGACCCCGAAGATTTCCAAATCCCCTCAAATTTGCACATGCATTGTTTGGCCAGACTGTTGCCAGAGTGTAGGGAGTATTTTTGGGCGTCGATCGGATCTTCGTGAGCGGGGATATCGCACGCGCCCAGAAACAAGCCTCCTACATGCATAGCGTAGATAGCGTGCCAATAGTCGACGTGCACGGACGGATTTGCGATGGAGGGGGGATCCGATTCTCGGCAAAGTGGTGAGTGGGACAGTGGATAGAGTGGATGAAAGAGAGAATGAGCAGTACAAGTAGAGAGTACTCCGTATAGAAAGTACGTACTGTATAGATCATGATATGATATGAATGAATATAAATGGATCTGCATACTGTATGCATGCACGTACATAGTTGGACCGAGGCCAAACCCAATTGGGAAGGTGCAATTATGCTTCAGTCACGGGACTAGGGTTAGCCCTGACACTAGTCCATTTTGGGTCATGGTACTTTAGTACTTTGACCTCCTCTGCTTCTTCTCCGCCTCCAGGCATAAGCATTACCATTCGCATTCGGCTTCCAATGGTTTATGAGTATGGTTATGGTTATGGTTTATGGTTTACCCCGTACTATCATGTGAAATCTCCAATTTTCTCCTGGCAAACTCTCCCCTCCTTCACCCTTCACAATGGAACATGGCATCTGTCACCATCCGGCAACTCTCCGCTTCTCATCCCTGGTTCTTCTCAACATATTCGGGAGGGACCTCCACCCAACCGGAGAAATCTCCTAGACCGGAACGCCATCTGCACGGCGGCAGGGAAATGGGGAAAGCCCATTGTTGGTGGAGGGGAATGCGGCTCCCCTTCTGAAACCCATCGCCACTAGTCACGATCACCAGTTCTCCTGCTATTTGGGCAAAAAGTGTCCGCCCGCACGGCACATCAACCCTACTGGACTCCATATTCCTGGACCCTCACGGTTCGTGCATTTGTGCATTCGTGCGCATACTGTACTCGTATATCATGCCGTTACTCAATTAACCACCTAGTACAGAGTTACGAGTACGGACCACGGAGTCTCCCATCAACCACTGGAATGCTGCTTCTTGGCTCTTCGGCTCTCCGTCCTCTCAAACTACCGCGGTATGGACTCCTCTTTCGGCCGATCGATGCGATTTAGACTCGGCCCTAGGGGCAATACTACCCCACCCGAGCCGAAAGATGCGTTCCACTTCACGCAGGGGCTTCGCTACATATCGGCACCGCGTGCCCAGTTTACCATGGCCAAGTTTGTCTAGAATCTAGAGCTCCAGCCTTTTTTTTGGTCCCAGACTTGCCCGTGGAGATCACTAGGAGAATAAAACCACGAGGTCCCCTTCCACCCTTATTTTTCCCCTCCTCTCCCCCTCACCCTCTATCGCTCTATCCTCCGCCTTGCTCTCCATGCGGATGGCTCCATACCGTCGTCATGGATGCTGAAAGTCGCAAGGAGGCCGCCCAAGCCGCCATTCTGGCTGCCGTCAATGACGATACCCGAAGTAATGCCATTCTCATCGTCACCGCGGTCTTCTTCGCCATCTCGTTCGTCAGCGTCTGTCTACGACTTTTCGTTCGAACCCGCGTTGTACGGGCCTTTGGGTGGGATGATACCACTATGGTGCTAGCGATGGTAGGTCTTTCTTCCTGCGACCCGTGATCGCGATATTTTATGTCGGCGCGCTGGTCGTATACTATACGATGGGAACCTAAACTCACACTATCTATCTTTAGGTCTTGAATTTGGCCTTCGCAGTCTGTGGTATCGTTGGAGCGAAGAACGGAATTGGCCGGAAGCTGCTTTATTTTGAAGCTTATCCCGATCGCTTCAGTCGCGCGCTACTGGTACGTTTTCAGTTCATTGCAAAATGGCTCAAATATCGATGTTAACGTCTTCTAGTGCTGGTGGCTCGGGCAGATCTTCTACGTAATCACCTGTGTTCTCGCTAAGATCTCAATCATCATCACACTCCTGCGAATCACCGTTGATCGAATTCATGCCTGGATCCTTTACGCCGCAATCTCGCTAGCCACCGTCGTCGGTCTTATCTTCCTCTTCTTCACGATATTCCAATGTAGTCCCGTCAACCACTTTTGGCACCAACTCTCCCCGACCGGACACTGCGTCGAGAAGAATGTCCTCATCGGCATCGCATATCTGTATAGTATCGGAGCTGCCATCACCGATCTTACGATCGGATTACTTCCAGTCGCCCTGATCTGGAATTTGCGCATGAATTCCCGCACCAAGACCGCCATCGTCGGCATTTTAGGCATCGGTTGCATGTTCGTCATCACTTCGCCTCTTGCGCCTAGACCCACGCTAATCTATTTCCAGTGCTTCCGCCGCAGTCATTATTCGCATTCCATTTGTCCACCACTACAAGGACACGGAATTTCTATGTGAGTAACGACAGTCTCCGAAACAGAAAGGCAAAAAAGAGCCCTACCAAGGCCATCCGCTAACCTGGTTCTTAGACAACACCTACCAAATCTCCATCTGGTCGAACGTCGAAGCCGGTCTTGGCATCACAGCCGGCTGTCTCACCACTCTCCGCCCGCTCATCCGATTCCTCCGCGACGGCTCCTCCGCCTCACGCAGTCGCCCCCGCCCGGGCTCATTCCCCTTATCGAGCCACATAGCACAGAACAAATCCTTGCGATCTCGCCACGGCGGCGATGACGCGAACCAGCTTTGGACCGGCACCGACGCCGACGACTACCATGGCGTGACAACGACAATCATGGGGACGCAGCGACCGAACCCGACGAGCAGTAGCGAGGAAGATCTCAATCCGAACCAAGGATGGAAAGTCGAGCGATCGGTGCGGGTGTCTGTGCGCGACGATTCATGACGAGCGCCCCAACGCACATGCATATGCACAGACATAGGCTGGCACATGGCAATATGGCATATGACATGAGGATGAATTGAATATCCTCGCACGACACATTCTAATACCCCATAATTCACAATTTTTCATGTATAATTATTCTATTAAGATACCAATGACGAATTACCATTTCATGCCAACCGCCTCGGCCCATTTTACTGTACTTCCCAGCAATCCTCCGACCATTCTCCGCAAGCACCCATATTTCGTACTTTGTCAACAAATCCAACACACGACGAAACCGCTTATTGAGACCGTTTACTGCAGGGGTTCACTAGTTAACACAAGGATTGAATCTAGCTGCCTCCTCTTTGCACTCAGAATAGCCACCTGCAGTGGGTCTAGGACTCCGTAGTCAACCGGCTAGACCCATTCGTTTCCCAGTCTAAGCGAGATGATTCCCCGGCGCCGGGGGTCTGGCCTCGGTTTCACGCTTGTCCAAGCTTGTCGGCAGTTTTTTCTCCACTTTGCACTTTGCAGCGTTGTCGAGATCCATACGAGTACTCTATCCTCCGTACAGCCTACAAGAGACAGAGTACTAATACATTGCAGCATTCCCGGTGGTATAGATGAAGTAAACTATACCCCATCCATGATCATCTCTACACTATATTCGAAGGCGCTCCCTTTCCCGTCAGGTCCTAGTCCCGTGCCTAATCTATTCCCAATGTTCTGGTTCGGTCGATGGTTTATATACCGAACATCTGGGCACTAAATTAGACTTCTGTATAGACTCGAAGTACTTCGCAACTACCCCAGACAGGAATACTCCGTACCGAAGCCTACGTATACATACTATAGCGACTCTTGTGGCAAGAATGTGCAACAGTAATCTCAAAATGCACGTTCTCACGCGCGGGGTAGCATATATTAATTAATGTCTTAGTATTCATGGGGCTAATCGTATCAAAGACCCGAGCCGAGCCGTTCAACGGCGGAGCGAGGATAGATCCAGCTAGCTTCCAAGGTTACTAGGTCTGCAGCCAGCTACTAAGGAATTTAAGGATAGTAGGGAGCGAATATCTGTCGCGAAGATCGTATCTAACCGAACCAAGCATCGAAAACGATGTCCCCCATATCGATTACACTTGGATGCCCCAGGACAATTAAATTCAATGGGTTGAACGAATGATTGGGGATAGCTAGTACTTGTTCCTTTTTCTGCACTGTATTGTACCCCTTTTTGGGGCGGATTCTGGGTATCTGATCGGTCTCGATACTATAAGATTATGTGCATACTACGGATAAGGGGTGGCGAATGTCCACTTTTATTGTCGTATATTCGCTATCCCCAGATGTACTAGTAGTAGTAAAGATAGGACCCGGCTGTCCAGGTTGCTGCCGATCTTGACTTGGCTTGAATTGATCTGCCGGTAGTACGTATTTAGCTTGAGGATCTATTTCGCTTTGCTAGAGCCTCATTCCAAGGTTGTTTTACGTTCGAGCAAAGGGGTACCATAGTAACAGGTTGTAAACATCATCCATATATGGGGACGGATATCATCTCATTAACTTGATATATAACATCGTGACGTGAACCATTACTAATACTCATTTACTCGGTAACCACAGACCTCTGCTCCTTATTCACAAGACCCTCCTGCGAAGGCGAAACGCCAATCGCATAAGCATCAACATGAGTAGAAGCAAACTTCCTCGCGGGGACTTTGGTAGCAAACAGAATATCAAGCTCGGCATAGGTACGCCCCTTGGGCTCCGGTAGACGGAAGTATGACCATGTGAAAGCGACGAGAGCGGTGCCGCCCCAGAAGAAACCTGTCTTACCGGAGGCATTCCACGCAGTCGGGTTCATGAAATATGGTTCGAGGACCTGGGAAACGACGTTTGTGATTTGGTAGGCCGTACGCGCCAGGCAAACGGTGAGAGGGCGGAGTCGGACCGAGGAGGTTTCCGAAATAATAGAGTAGGCAATTGGGCCAACGGTGAGAGAGTATGTGAAAAGCCAAAGGAAGCAGAACGAGGCCTGGGCCCACATGGCGGATTGGGATGTTGTGGCGGCGTTCAGAATGCCAATGAGGAAGAGCAACATGCAGAGGATTGCTTGACCCCAGACATACAGCGTGCGTCGTCCGAAGTAGGTGATCAACCACCATGACAATGCAGTGCCGACAAAGGCCACTCCAGTACATCCAACTCCCAGTTCAAAAGCCTTGCTGGTATCCATGCCAGCTTGCGTAAAGAAATAGGTCGGCGAGTAGGCGAAGGTACTACCAGACAGAATTTGACCCATAAAGGTAAGGCAGCAAATTTCTGTGCGGCGACGGTCAACCCCCTTGAAGCAGTCCAGATACGTGGTACCGGCCTCGATCTCTGCTTCGATTTTGATAGTGTGGACCATCATTGCCAACTGTCCATTGATCTGATCCTCAGTCTTATCTCCGCCAAGGCGACGAATGCTTCGTTTTGCGTCTTCCAATCGATCATGGCGAACCAAATACCAGGGGGACTCCGGTGCCAACCAGCACACTGCCATTAGAGGCACTGGCCAGATCCACTGCAGGGCAAAGGGAATCCGATAGGACCATTGATCTGGACGGTCGACGAGTCCATAAAGTACACCGCTGGCAATAAGCTGGCCAATGGCCCAGCACATGTTGACATAGATGGTGAGGTAACCACGCAAGTTGGTTGGGCACACCTCGGAAGCATACGCAGGTCCGATTGTCGCAAACACGCCCCAAGAAAAACCACAGAGAATCTGGCCGACAAGAAGAACGGCGGCCGAGTTGGCAAAGACAGTGATGAAGATGAATGCAGTCAAGAAAAAGAGAGCGATGACCATAACAATTCGGTAACCATACTTTGATGCCGCCCATCCGTTTAAGATACCACCTGCGGGTAGGTTAGCACAAGCTGATGAAAAGGGGGAGAGGCAGTTTGGAGCTCACCGAATACACAACCAACAGTACTAGCCATGTTCAAACCTGTTTGCCAGGGTGCCGAGACCTGCCAGCCGATCTCCTCGCCATAATATTGACCATACTTCTCTTGAAACCTTGGATAGGCGAAGAAGTTACCCATCAAAATAGTATCGTAGCCCTCCATCACAATGGACATGGAGATCGCGACCGACCAGAGTACAGCCTTGCGATTCTCCCGCAGAGCCTGCCAAAGCGTCTGCGAATGTTCCTCGTCGGTGGCATGCTTTGCCTCAACGATGGCACCGTGACCTAGTGTATCCTCGACATGATTGGCGGCCGACTTCTCAAGAGCGATCTCCGTCTGGGTCTGGGGATTGTTCGACATGTCGCAAGGTGTTGTGTCGCATAACCGAGAACGCGTAGCTGGGCAAACGTGCGACCAGGACCGGCGCTATATATGCATAGGTCGATCCGGACATTGTCTAGTCACGGCGATCCACATGCCATGCTGGGGTATAAAGATCGCGTGGAGAAATATTAACAGAACGGGCAACGACTCGACAATGGCTGCATTCAGGCTAATTGAGCCAGGGATGGCGCCGGAGGAGTATGGCATGTAACCAGTAGAAGGACGGCGAGGATGGTGGCTAGACAGGCTCCGGAATGTGAAGGCTGAGGACGAGCATCCGAGACCCTCAGTAGACCCTTAATTTCGCACCTATCACCGGTCGAAATGACAGCGGGATAGCTGGTGCTAGGATGATTCAGGTCAAGTGCTTCCCCGCGACCGTGATTAACCCTTCTTTGGATTCTGGGGAATTGAGATGCGACATTGTGATTGGACTCCAGGGGGGCGAAGCGAGAGCCTAACCCTCTCAAGGTACGGAGGATTGGCCGTGCAATCGGCCACCACTCAATCAACTCTTTCAATTTCCGAGGAAGGTATCATGCAGTCAACGCATCTTTAATCAACCGAGTCGTTCGAATCTGGCACCTCGGGCCGGACATGCAGTCATTCCTTGACTGATCGGGGAGTGGAAGCAGTGAGCCGGGTAAAAATGGGATCTGATGATCAGATGATCAGATTAATATAAAGAATCAATCAATCACCCCATGCGTGGCAGGATTATATGATCGAGATTATATTCGTATGCAGGTTGGCAGTTAGTCGCTGACGATCTGGGGAAGATCGTCTGAGTAGAGACGGTAGTAGTAGATCAACTAGGTATTTTCTGAGCAGCAGGAGGGCGGCTTTCGCCTCTGCTGGTAATACAAAACTAGCGATTTTCGTCATAGGAGACAGATATTGGTATAATTCAATGCGGAAGGTGTGTTTGAATAAAGATTTTCGATCAAACCCGCTCAAAATAGGCCGTGTGCATTCCAAACGGTCCGAAACTACATTCGTAGTGTGGCCAGCAAGGATATGATGGTTCCAATATCCGACACAGTGATGCTGCATTTTCGACATCGATGTATTGAGATATTGGGAGTCAGTGCTTCCTAGTATATGCGGTGGCAATTCGGATTCCCAGACATACTCAGAGGTAGTAGGATAGAGCAGAGATGGAGGGTTGGAGAGGAGGAGAGGAGGTATAGTACTGATAGTAATAATATACATCATGACTTCCGAGTCCAAGGTTATTCCGGGCTGTCTCCATCATCGTTCTTGCCGTCGCAACTCGAAGTGTTGTTCAAGTTGTTTAAGTTGTTTTGATGACGTTGGGAGTGGGAATAGTGGGAGTATATTTCGACTGGAAGGCACTACTAGTACTATCTGCTTCAAGTTCAATTTGTTCTCATTATTACCTATGGGTATACTTTTATATGCAAATGGGTATCCGTGCCTCCGAGCAAATATAAAATATAAAATGCTTGACAAAAACTCCGGCCTGATGGCAATGCTGAATGCGACGACAGCCCTCACAGGCCAATTAACTCCCATCAATCCGAATCTGCGTCTCCATCTCATCCGCCCACTTCTCCGTCTCGGAATTCAATAATCGCAGAAACCAGAAGGGTTGATGGTTGACACTGCTCAATCCTGACCCGGAATCGAGTACCGCCCAGGTCGTCCGACCTTCTGAACCCAAGAAGATCCCATCAACCGGCATGCCGCCCACATACTGTCGGTAAGCCTGGACGGGCTTGGTGAGGTGTGCTCCGAACCCCCATTCCATCTGCGCCGTATCGGTATCCTGGGCGATTCCAATGGCATGCCAATCCGGAGCGCCCGCTCCGGAGGGGACGTATGCTTCGAAGGTGTTGAGCACGGCATTGCAGCGGAGGAGTGTATTCGCGTCACTGGTGTCGACAATGGTGATCTGCAGAGGGGTGAAGTTAGCATGATTGAGCTGGGCTGAGGGGCAAGATGCTACTGCTGGCTGCAAGGAACAGAAACACTCACGGCACCCTTTTCAATCCCCTTCTCATCGGCCGACCGCGTCACGTCGCAACCCGCAGCGAATCCCTCCATGGGGCAGCCCTGTGAACTCCCATTACTGCACCCATCCACCCGGATCTTCCAGGGACCGGCAATGTTGGTCGTGTTGTTGAAATTTGGCAGTGCGGAGCAGTTGTCGACGGGAACAACGGAACTTGAAGCGGCGCGCGGTTGGAGCGGCTGGACGGTTTGGACCGGTTGCGCGTGACCTCCGGCAAACAAACAAAGTGCGACAAATGAAGTGCAACGCATGGCGAGTACTTGGGAGGTACAAGGTACAAGCTTTGGAAGCAAAGACAAGACAAAATAAGGCCGTCCAGTCCAGTCGAGACTAAGCAGAATGTGTTGGAATAAAAAAGCTGGGCGAGGCGCCGGAGTTCCGGGGATCCGCCATGACTATATCCACACTGGCACACTGGCACACTGACTACTACACACTACGGATAAGGCTGCCACTTTACAACTTCAACTGGAACGCATCGATAACTGCTTCCAGCAAGGATTGTCGGGTCTTTGGGGGCAGTTTGGGAACAGCCCCATGGTCATCGCCCTTTGGACCTCCTCCGTGCCAATGAGATGGACAATTGGACCCCAGAAACCGAACAGCCTCAATGACCCTGCCGATCATGACGCTCCACTTGGGCCATTCTCTCATTCCTGGGAGGGCAAGCAGAGGGAGCAAGGCTGACTGCTTACTCGACAGCATGCACTGCCCGGCACCTCGTATTCGACCCCAATCACGGAGTACAGTCAGACAGTCGGACAAATACGAATCTTCTCCTCTTCTCCTCTTCTCTTCTCCTTGGCATAAATACCGGCACAACCCCGAGCAACAGCGTGACCACTTGCCCCAATGCGACGTCAGAGTTTGGGGGCCAAAGTGTTCCGAGTCAAGGCGCTGGCATCAGCCTCATCTAGCCCACCAAGTCGTGATCTGATCATCAATCATCATATTCACTTAGCGTGCACAATATAGTCGTAAATCTACCATTCTAATCTATGCATAATGCCATGGTATTCCCCTAATTGTTTCCCCTCAGTAAACCCTCTGCCTCCTGCCCATTTTCCTCCCCAGCAAACTTGGAAGGTCCCAACTTCTCCGCCATCGCCAACCCATCACGCCGACCTTTCTCTGCATTGACAATCCACACCAATGGCAACGGCAACACAATCAAAATCGCAATCACAAAGAATCCCGACCGCACTTGTCCAGTCGCATCCACAAGCACACCCACAATCGCCGGCCCAATAAACGAACTCCCTTTATCCGTCGCCGCATAAAGCGCATAAAACGCCGCCTCACTACCCGGAGGAATCAACAGTCCAAAGAAAGACCGACAATAAGACGCGAGTCCACCACCAACAACACCATGCACAATTCCCAATGGGAATATCTCCCACGGCTGCTGTAACCCAATGACACCCCATCTCTTCACAAATGGGATATACCCCAGCATACCATATAGCGGGATCAGTTCGAACAGCGCAATACACACCATAATCGTCTGATTGGACTTGAGACCGAATCGCGCCGAAACCTTCGGCCACAAGAACGCGCCTCCCATTCCAGACACTATCACCGTGATGGATAAAAGGCCGATTCCAGTCGTACTCATCTTCAATTCCGTGCGCGCGAATAGAATTGCCGTCCCGGAGACCGTTGCCAACGCATCCGAAAGCATGAACCACGCAACGAGGAATATCATCACTTCTCGTAATTGCACCGCAATCTTCACGGTTCGCCATAACGATTTCCAGGAAAATCCCACTAGACGTAGCCAGACGCGCCACTTCGCCGAGCCGCCAGCCCCAGGTCCGGATGAGCTGATACTGTCGAGGGGAGGACCGGGTCGGGGTCGGAGGAGACGACTGGTCAAGTAGGTAAACACGCCCCACCATATACCAACGAGGAGCAGAACAAACCGCATTGGCCATGTCCCCGATGCTTTGGCGAGAGAGGTCTTGGATACGGTGATGAGGATGACGATACTGAGGATTTGCACGATGATTGCGGCTAGATAGCCCAGTCCGACGCCCTTGGATGAGATCTGGGTTGATAGTTGGAGTTCCGGCGATGCTGATTTGGGCTTTTCGTTTTCCTTCAGTCCGGCTTCGGGACTCGGAGAATATGATTCGTTCATTTCGTGCATGTCATTGCTGCTTCTGCTTCGGTGGTCATGTACACCGTCCACGCTTTCCTGATCACTCCATTCGTTCCAGTCAAAGTCGTCCTCGCGCCGATTGAAACTCGACATTTCTTCGCTGGTGCGATGCTCGGGGTTTTGCACGGAGGGATCGTTCGCGACGAGGACGGGGAGGAAGGAATTTAGTACTACGAATGAGGATCCGAGACATGTTACCCCGATAACGACTAGTACGGCGCCGAGGATATATATCGAAGGCCAGATGAGGACGAAGAGCATGCTGGTCACGGAGCCGAGGAAGCCAAAGGCTAGGAGTAGCGATTTTCGATTGTTCTCTAGATGGATGAGAGGCGTTAGTTCAAGTTGGAGCTTGCGCGATGCGGAATGGAGTCGGAGGGAGGCAAGTAAATAAGTAAACAAATGGAGACCTACCATAATCAGCCAATGCGCTGAATGAAATCAATGTCAGAGCCTGGATCAGCACTGCCAGCGAGAATGTATACATCGCAAAGCTGGCCGTATTGATTTGCAGGCCCATCAATCCAATGACACATTGTTCGCCATTCCGCGCGTTCTCGTCAGGTGCAGCGTCGCCCCAACACGGTCGGTGAGTATCTTGTAAAGACCCATGTTCGCGAGCGAGCTGTTCCAGCATTAAGGGGAGGAAGGATCCTAGAGATAATTGATTCAATTAGCTATTTTTCGCACGGTCACAGCAGAGAATGGTACTAGTATGCTATACTATAGCTACTATAGTGTGGTGGTATAGTATGGTTGATATACAGTAGTAGTATAACATAACATGGTATTAAGGGAAAGTAAATTTGGACCAGGGAATTAAGTTCATACCAACGCCAGAAACAGCAAAGACCTCAGCGGCGATACCATAGGCGTACCAACCGAGGATCTCCCGGCGGGTGGTCGGGGTGGTATCTTCGCCGGCATAGCGGGGAGTTCGTTGTTGAACCTGGGCGCGAGCCTCCTCGGTGGGGTCGGTCTTGAGCGCGGCGAGTGTGGACCAGATCATGGAGATGTTCAGGAACAGGGGGAAAGAAGGAGAAAAAAAAAAGAGTCAAGGAAGGAGTTGGAGATGCGTGAGGGGATTGAGGATTCCAAAGCCGGATGCGGGCGGAAACACGGCAGGCGGGGCCATGCGGTCATTGTGCAGATCGTAATGGGAATGATATATGCTACGGATACAGAGTATACATGAACATGGTCATAAACATCAGAATGCATGGATATAGCCCTTATTTTAATGATAGGGGTAATAATTTGAATTGGCCACAGAGGAAGGTAGCTGGCAAAGAGCTTGAAGTATAGAATTGAAGTAGAAAATAGTTAGTTATTGTTATACCTTGTGGTGTATATCAGTAATACTACCACAGGGCCTAATAGTACTTCGGACCAGTTACATAATCGTCTTTCTGGTAGCGTGGCCGAGTGGTCTAAGGCGCACGACTCAAGCTATAAGCTTCCGTCCCTCAGGGCCGGAGTATTCGTGTATCGAGAGGTGCAGGGGTTCGAATCCCCTCGCTACCATTTTTGCTTTCTCTTTTTTACTTCTGCGATCACCGCTGATTACAGAATTATGTGAATCTTAATTTAAAATGTGAGTTTTCCTGTATCTTTCATGCCAGCCTTCGAAGGTTGTAGTCCACCGAGTTTTTCTACTAGTATCATGCCCAGCTGATGCCGGTTCCGGACCGGTTCCGGGACGCTGTATATTCTACTCCCTCAAATACTCGAGTCTGAAGTTTTCTTCTTCTCCAATGCAAAACACCCGGGCTGCTACACAAAGCCTTTTACACCAGGAATAATTCCGCGTGTGCGACGGTTGATTTGACCAGAAACAACAGAATCGACGCGCCAATGCCAATCCTCCACTACCTACAGTATGGCCTCGGCCGGTTGCTCTACCCTTTCCGGGATCACGAATCGCGCCAAATCATCCACCACCCGGCCTTCCAAAATATCCCCAAGCCTAATATGACCCTGGAAGCACCCGAATGTGGTCCCTCGGGCTCTACAATGCTACTCAAACATTCCGGGTATGCAGAGGATGGTGTTGGCTGTCATCCAGAACTACGCTGGTCGATCCCCGAATGTACCTCGCCAGTCAAAGAATATGTCTTGATCTGCGAAGACATCGATATCCCGATTCCCTTCCTTGTCATACATCACGGCCTGTTTTGGGCCATTCCTCCTTCCGCAACGACTGCGGTTCCGGCCAGCGTGGAGGTCAGTCCGGAGAACGCAAAGCACCGCCGGACCGATGCCGGCTGGCGCTTCGTGCCAAACCCACTGGGCACATCTTATGGTGGTCCTGCTCCTCCTTTTGGTCATGGTCCCCATCGCTACACTTTCACTATCGTCGCTCTCAATGCTTCTCTCGAATTTGACAATCCCGAAAAGGTCAGCAAGAACGATATCAAGGACGCCATGGTCGGCAAGGTCATCGGCTGGGGCCAATGGGTGGGTGTCTATGAGCGGGTTTGGGGCGCATAAGGACAGCGACGCGTCGATTGATGATGATGATACACCGAAGCATCGGAGTACGGTTTGGTGGACACGGGTATTGCACATCGAGGGGAGTTGCTTTTTCTTTACCATCATGCTCTGGTGAACTATGTCATGCAACATGTGCTAAACTACTTAATATACAATGAGTATCCATACCTACTACTCTGACATCTCGATGCTTTCACGCTCCCAAGAACCCTCCCAACCCCGTACGCCATCACATGGATGCCTTCAACAAATATCAAGACAGCCTGATGACATCCCGGCATCGCAGTCCCCCTCCACAACTTGCATGAGAACAGCTAGTCGACTGATAGTAGACTCAACCGACGACTCACAGGCCCTAACCGTGGCCATTGCATTCCGATGAACATGGTTACCATCCAACAGAACAGTCAAAACCTCCTTCAGAGCCTCCATCAACTCCACAAAACGAATCAAATCACGCGCAAGCAGTGTACGAATCAACAGCCGAGCCTCAAAATCATCAAGCTCAGTCCGACCCAAGAATGCCTGACTACGGATGCAAATAATTGACGAAACTGGCTGCTCAAAGGCTAACATGGCAGAGTCGAAGAACCCGGGCTGAGTCGAGATATCGTACGCCGCACACAATGCCTCGAGAAGTGGTAGGCACCCATCTGAAAGAGCGGGCAGGGTAACGATGGAGGATTGCGCCGTCTTGATACAATTCTCACATTGGATCATAGTATTGCCTTGTAGCCAGACCCGGTGAGTCAAATTCAGAATGGTTTCCACGTCGACCACTGCATGGACGTTTTGCAGATCTGCCATTACCTTCAAGGCTTCCAAGGAGCATTTGCAGGGGGTATCCATCGTCAAGCTGTTTGAAAGGTAGTTGTTGTTTGAGTTGATTCTACTCGGTCTAGGTAGGTTGCCTCTTGATGAAAACACGTGGGGCTCTCAAGTCTGCGATCGCAAAGAGGTTTACTGCGCAGGGAGAGTAAGCGCTGTTACGCGACGGTCGAAAATTACCAGCAGGGTGCTGAGATGAGTAAACCGAGGACGGCTAGCTCATGGAATATTGGCTTAAATTGTCAAATTCGAACCCGTGGTCTTGAGTCTGGAGAAACGATCGACTTCTCAAATGAAAGTAGCCGCTCAAAGCTCGAGATGGAATACTGCAGCTACACCAAACCCGGATTCACAATCACGGTCTCCACGGTTGAGCCGAGGTATCTTTCGAGATACACAGCAAATGTGTTCATTCTCCGTGAGACCATCTACTAGATGGTTACTCCTGGGCTATGCAGAAACCCCTCAACAAATAAGCAACTCTATTGAAAAGGAAGCCTGTCTATTGGTCGACTTTGGGGTACTCTGATTTGAAAATGATTCAATTATCTACCCTCCACGGAAAGCGATGCGACACTATGCAATGCAATGGACAGCGACATTTACGTTCCGACGCTCATCCAACGGCCATCTTTATCTTCATCATAATCAACTGCAGTCTCCTATCCGTCTCCATAATCATCAAAAGACGACCCCGCGAAAATGCCGCCGCAAGTTGCTGCTGCATGCACATCCGAATTCGTCTCACCGTTAGCAAAAGCATAGAAAGCCTCGCTTGTAACACCTGCCGAATGAAACATGACTTCTCTTCCACAGGCACCTGGAATCCACCCACTAGCAATGGACACGTATCGATATGCGATTTGAGACAATTTCCGCCATCCTTCTGCTGTCTGCGACCCACCTGTGCATTAGATTCCGGGACAGCCTCCAAAATAACGGGTTTGCCAGAGGTAGCAGATGCATCGAGCGTCGTGAGAAGACTGTCAATAATCACGATAATCACCATGAGTGCATTAGCCTGGGCCTCGGACTGGGAGCACAGATTACATTGCAAAATTGACTCGGTTTGCAATAATAGTTCCTTTTGGCATGCGAGAATGCTATCAATGCTGGAAACCCCGTTTGGTCCGGTCTTAAGTTCGAACCTGACCAGTTCGCTGATTACCTGCTTGTAGCAACCGCAATTGAAGTTTGTCGCTGCTTCCAGTAGAACAGGAAAATCGGTGTCCTGGGGTGAATATACATCGTTGTTATTGAAGCCTGGAGACTGTAAACCGTTGCCATTATCCGCTGTTTCGACCAGGATACTGGTAGGTGCAATTCTGTCTTCAGACCAGGGGTCTGAGAAAGGTATCGGATTCATTCTGGGGGGTAGAGTCATAGGGCCACTGTATTGAGGCTATGTTTCCTAGAGTCAGGGCGTCGATGCGCTCCGTAGAAGGTGTACTTTGGAACACATCAAGTTCGTTTTCGAATTGCATAGGAGGTGAGGTGAATTGGAAGCCCGTCGATATTGAGAGTTGACCATCTGCCGATCCACCAAAGACAAGAGGCTCTGAATGCATGAGACATTCTGAAATGGAATCGAATTCCTCAAGGTCAAAATCGTCATATCTATAATCCGTAAGAGTGTTGTTGTTCGCATTTCCGTTTACTCGGGTGGCCATCAACTCTTGGAGCCAGCCCTCAGACGTAATATCCAGTTCGAAACCTGTATATATGAGCTAATGCTTGCTTCTACGTGAAGAAAAATTCAACCCACCCGAATATTCCTCTACACTGCTCTTTGCTAGGGTCTGTGCGTCTGTTGGGCCGTTCTCTGGCGGTCTACCAACACGAGAACGTGTTGAAGTGATCGGCTGCTGAGAACGAATCTTTTTCTTCGCGGGCTTTCGGGCTTTTTTTTCACGGTCCTGTTCGAGGATGACTTGCGTCGGGCTACCATTCATCTCATCCATGACCATGCGTTCCTTCTTCTTCGCGGGCCGGCCCAGTCGCCGCGAAACGCTGTATATGCAGTCAATCTTGTGCTTCTGACAACGGCGACAAGAGGGCTTCTCATGGCTGCACCGAATTTTGGCCTGCTGACAAGCATTACATGTTGATCGAACCTTGACGCTTTTCGGCAGTTGTCCTGTGTTGGATCGTGAAGGTTTTGGTAAGCTCATATCGATTGCAGTTCAGGGATAACACAAAGAAATCCTGTTCAAGTTATTTCCGCTTCTTTTTTTTCGACGTGAGGAGGTCAAGCCGAATAAACCCGAGTTATGTATTTAGCAAGTCAGTCTACATGACCCCCATCAACGAAGATCATTTATCTACCAGATCTCTTACCCCGCAAACAGGCATGCTATCGTTCACTCGTGTCCAGTATACTTCCCATCAGGTCATACATGATTCTGAGCACCACTCACAAGGGACTTGAAGAAAGGAAAAGTTACATCCGTAATCCCCTCGCATGACAAATAGCTTTGTGGTACCCGACCACTGAGGATACCACGCGTGCTCCCCGTTTCTGTGCCCTTGGTCGGGGACCATGACTACGAATCGCCGTTTAGGGGACCCTGAGATGCTCAGGTCACATTGTTAAATGGGGAACAGAATGGGGCTCGGTCATGGGGACCCTGAGGCTAAAGTGCAACAAATTCGGGATCTCCCTTGAGATCCGCCGGGAAACGCGAGGGGAAAGAAGGTTATAGATCGAGTGGAGCCCGAAGGTACAGGTCTCGTCGAACAGTGATTCTACTTGTAACTTATGACCTCAAATTCACATAAGCGGCTCAGGCACCAATTTGTGCGATTGTCTAGATGGAACTCGATGCAGATAAGTTCAAGTTTAGAAGCCTGAAATCCCCTGTGTTTATTGATTGAGTCTGGTGTATATGCTATCACCTGGATTTCAAATCATGAAACACAATTCTCGGATATCATATGATTTCCGTTATTACAATATAGTGGGCAATCTCCAGTGGGAAGACGTAAGCAAGCTATGACGATCAAATTTGGTAGCCCTACGAGAAGTAAAGCCAACGTCATACGAGATCAAAGTTTTCGCAACTCGTGGTCCGCGTCGCGCGAGTAGGATGTCATAAAATCTTTAGATCATTCACTTAATCCCAGTCCATTACCATCAGACACGGCCAAAGTAAACAGCTCCAAGATAGTACATGATTGTCAAAAATCTTCAAGACCTCCGCACGCCATCACATCTGTCTGAAGAACCCAGTAGGAACAGTCGTACAGGTCACCGATCGGAACGAGGTAGTGGTCACACTCGAAGAAGGCGGCGGGCTGTTATGATCCGAAGCCTGATTCCGGCCGAAGAAGTAATTGACAGCAACCGGCGGATCTAACCCAGCGGCATGCATAAACTGGCGGAGGTCGAACCCAGCACGTGCATCGGGTGTCTTGGGAGGAATATGCGAGAAACACATCGGGGACCCGTAGTCTGGTGGCTGTGCGAAAAGCAGGAAGATGTAGTGATGGTGCGAGTTTGGCGGTGGCTGGGGTGCAATGTACGGTGCGAGATAGTCCGTTGTAGAGTTTAAGTTATTGTCAGGACTTAGACGTCTACTAGTACCCTCATCATGATTTCCATCTGTGCAGTTGAAGGCGAGATGGGGTTGGTACCAGTGCAGTACCACTGTCTGGGTCCCAGTGTTTGGCATGACAACGTCGGTGTCCAGCGAAAGCATAATGTAATGCTTTTGGCAGGACAAGCCGTAGCTACCGATTTCTGGTATAGATTTTGTTCCTGAAGTGTTTAACTTAAATTGACACATTTGTCGGCAACTCTGTTCTTACCCATTATATCAAGGATTGATCCTGGAGTGATCCATTCCCCTTCAGGGTATCGCAAGGACAGCCGTTGGCCCTGAAGGGGGAGGAGGGACAACTGTGTGTGTGCAAGGAGCACAAGAAAACTGAGGGCTGTATTTACTGAAGGCATACTGCTAGTAGGAGCTTACTCTACTAATTAGTCTGAACCAACAGTGCGAAAGGGCCAGATCATATAGTCCAGCGCAAACATCATAAAATCTTCTCCTGACGATGTAAAATTCGCCGCATATCTGCCCAGATGTCAGATCTGCATCCCTGCTTGCACTCGGCGCCAGCTCCAGCCCTTAGCATAGACGAGCATTAGTAACGGGGTAACAGCTAGTAAATTGCCCGCGACAATTACATACGTCCATTGCACACCAAGTTTGTTAATCAAAGGGTCAACGACAGCAGCCGCGCCAGCGCCCAGTGAGCAGCGAACAAGGTTATTCGCTGCCATTGCGGTCGCCGGGGTGGAGTAGTACAAGTCCACGATAAGTACATTCATGACATTGTACGCAGCCGTGATACAGAAACAGACAGCAAATATCATGAGCAATGAAACCCACAAGGGGTATTTGTGAGCAATCAGTACCCCGTACACTGCAATGCAGGCTGCCGCGAGGATCTAGGAGTAACATTTCAATGTTTGAAAAACTAGTAAGCAGAAGGGACAAAACTTACGGCCATAGGCAAGCAAATCTGCAGTCTTGCTCGTTCCACAGGGAACATGAGAATATCCTGTTTAACGCTGTGGATCGTAGTCTCTCCTTCCACCCTCCTCATTCGACGGTAATTCCAATCCACGACGAAGCCATTCGCAACAGCAGAGAGCAATGAACCAAGGCCAGCGGGTAAAAAGCAAAGCCCGATTCTGAAATCGTCGATTCGATAAATATCCTCAAATTGAGCTGGAATACCCGCCATCACGGCGTAGTAGCTCCCGAAAACAACCCCATTGGCGAAGAGCAACAACCCGACCGGACGAGCGAAGAGCAATCGGAGCGAAGACCACGGATTCGGAACTTTCCATCCCCTTGCCGAATTATTCAAAGGCGCCGAAGTCAAAATCGAAGGATCAACTTCTTCATCTCTCCTCGAGAAGAATGAACTCCAAAGCGGACGATTCCACGCGGAGGGAAGATACACAGAACCATCACCAACCATACCCCGACATGTCTCAGGGAAGAAAAGCACGAAAGGAAAAAAGAAGCAACTGGACAGAATAGCCAAGAACCAGAATATCGCCGACCACCCCCAGTACTGACTCAACAGGCCCCCGAGGACCGGACCAAGCGATGGGGCGAGAATGTTCCCCAGCGAGGCTATACCCAGATACGCACCGCGCTCGGCAGGGGTGATTATATCGGCCGCGACAGCGAAGGCAAGGGCCACTGTTCCACTGCTACCGCAGCTTTGGACTGCGCGTAAAAATAGTAGAGTTGGATACCAGTGTTGAATTGCTAGGGCGATGTTGCCTGCGATGTAGACAATGAAGCAGTAGATGTATGCGGGTCGACGACCGGCTTGGTCGGCTAGAGAGCCAGTGAATGTCGGTGCGAGACCTTGACATATCTAGAGTGTTCATAAAATTTCAATAGGCTTGATTGTGAATAGATTTGTGCTTAAACCCAGGGCTTACCATGTATGTTGTTATGGTTAGATTGATTTGAGATGGGGTGACATGCAAATCCTTTGCGATGGAGTTCAGAGCTGGGAAATATATGTTTGCTGACAAGGGAGAGAAGGCAGAGGCGAGTGCTGCTGCGAGAATGATCAATCGCTTTTGGCTTTTGATGAAGACAGAATACTGCCGAGTAGTTGGAGTGCATAGCAGAGGTGTTGACTCCGATTCAGTATGGGGCCTATCATCCCCATATGGGGACCGGGGGTCTTCTAGATCATCGCTCATTTCGTCAAGGGAAAGAAATTGGATTTGTTCTCACTAGGGGGCGGTTCTTCAATTGAAACTCTTGTGGACTACTCCCGAGGAATAAAAGACACAATGCTACTAAAATACGGCGACTACCTATGAGGGCCATGAATTACCAAATCACAATGACACCCACCTTTGTACTCTGAAAGATTCACATCCTCGCAGAAGGTGCTTCGTTGGTCGCCATTTTACCCGAATAGATATGCGACGGTCGAAGAAGTTTACCACGTGCCACTATAACCGTCAACAAAAGACAGAATGCACCGAGGGCCGGTGACTTTAGGTGGATACATACCCATGTACTCTCTCCAATGTGCCATAATCCCCATGATGCGATGGCTCAGCATAGCGGCGGGAATCATCTCTGACTCGATACCGATAGCCGTGAAGACAAAGTTGCCATAGAAATCTGCATTGGGGTAGAGATAACGCGAAAGAAAATATTCGTCCTTGCTAGCGGCTACTTCGATCGACTTGGCGATTTTAAAGAGTGAGTTTGTGTTCACAGGTAGGTCTTTCAGGATCTTTTGGATGAAGGCGACGCGTGGGTCAACTCCCTTGTACTCCCGATGCCCGTATCCGAAGAGTTTTCGTTTCCCTACTTTCACTTCGTCCAAAAATGCGGATACGTTGTCTGGATTCCCGATTTCTTTCAGTGCGCGCTGGGCAGACTCGGCGGCACCGAAATGTAGTGGACCATGAGCAGCTGTGATGGCTGCGATCAAGCAAGATATTGGATCCGTGAGAGACGAGGCGGTTGCGAGAGCGGAGAAAACCGAGAGCGCCATTCCGTGGTCTGCATTGAGAAGTGAGAATCGACGATAGCATGACAGCTTGACTTCATCGGGCTGTTGAGTGGTTGAATCAGTTAGTCCGGCCATGATGAAGAGGTTCTCGAAGTATGTTCGGTCAAGTGAAGGAGGTTGGTACTGAATGTCATTGCGATGACATCTGACTACGGCGAAAACGACGGCGTAACAGGCAACTGTTTGAAGGATAATTTGATCGCCACGCTCCAGATTCTCTTGGTAGATAGTCGCGTGTGTTGAGGTGGGCATCACATCGGGCACAGAAGCCAGATATGCAGAGAGGCCGGCGAGGATCAGCGGCAACGGCAAGGTGGACTTGCTGCTCGGACCAGTGAGTTAAATCAGAGGCGGTCAGAAGTGTATAAGAACGTGGTCATACGGGAACAGATGAATAGCGTCATGGACGGCGTTTGGAATATCTTTCATGTGTTGCGCCAGCTTCCGGCTCAGCTCTGTCCGTTGAGTTTCCGAAGGATATGTCCCCCACATCAAAAGATGAAACATGTGTTCGAAATCAGCCTCCCATAGCTGCTCCAGGCTGTACCCCCGAAATATTAAAGAATTCTGGTCATGGTCCCTAGGCATTTGATTAGTAGTGGGAGGAGTGGTATGGAAGCATGGAATTGCCAACGAAAAGCTGATAGCAGATTCCTGCACAGCAGTGTTCTGTAATCCGGGGTCAAAGACGCGAAGACCACGCGAGATCTGGTCTGCTGGATGAGCTGTGCCGTCTGGCGCTCGGATGCGCTGTAAATCAAGGGCGCGAACTGCATTCCGATGGATGGGAATGTCGTACTTGAAGCCGGTACGCGAGTCGAGGACAAACAAAGTGCCAGTTGACATGTTGAGCTACAAGGTATGGATTGATAAGAAGAAAAAGGCAGGCTTGACCTAGCTATAGATATATTATGATTATGTTCAAGCTGCCAGTGAGCGACAGTAGATTGCGTGTGCATCTCTCACAAAATTTCCCGGGCGGTCCGACATGAATGTCGCCGCGCCTCGAGCCTACTTGGGGTGGAATGTTCCGCTATCCACAAGTGAAGGGAGAAACTTCCAGGGAAAGGGTGGAGAAAATCCGGAATTGGAACATTGTCATATTCAAGACTATTTCGTGTATCATCATCAATCATCAACATCCACTCTTTTTGGCTGTTCGTGGGTTATCTGGTTATTTTTTGTGTTGTTTGTTCTTATGGGTTGCACTCCGGTATCAAATGTGACAGGACCAAGGATTTTGAAGAGAGCATGTTATCAAACGTGCAGAACTAGTTTGTATGATCGAGCAGTGCGATTTACTCGGGCATGTACTTGAAGGGCTTTTCGAGGTGCTCCTGGCAGAAGGGGAGCTTGCTGACGGTCCAGATCTCGGTGTCGGGCTTGAGGGTCTGCTTGATCTCGGTGGAGAGGGTACCAGCCTTCAGAGCGATGATCTCGGGGGCGGCATCGGGGTCGTGAGCGATGGGAGAGCCACATTCGGAGCAGAAGAGGCGGTGCACATCATTGCCGGAGCTACCCTTGCCAGTCCACTTCTTGATGGGGCCGTTGATGGTCAGCTTATCCTTGAGAACGACGGCGACCAGGGCTATTCAGAGTGAGAACGTTAGTAAACTAGGTACTCCGGTTGGGATGATATATCCGAGCCCGTGTCCAGGTGTATATCAAGCCCGAATTTGAACTTGAACTACCTACAGTAGGTGGAGCCGGACTGGCGCTGGCAGTCGTCGCAGTGATCGTAGGCGGTAATCAGAGGGGCATCCTGATCAACAGTGTAGGTAACCGCCTTGCAGAGACAATGACCGGAGAGAGGCATGATTGGTTGGTTGGTTGGTTGGTTGGGTTGAGAGGAGATTTGATTCTCACAAGGTGCTCAGAGAGGAGTGGAAGAAGGAAGAGTTGAAGTGATGATGTGAGGACCTTGGGACTAACTGGAGGATCCAAGGGTATTTAAAGCGAAGACAACACCTCTGATGGTTGCTGATTACTGCCATTACATCATTGACAATTCCAAATTGTTCAAGTGCTATCCTTGCGGGATGGCCTCCTTCTTTTTCTTCTTTTAGCTTCTTCCACTTCCCACTTACGCTTCCACTCTCACTCTCACTCTCACTCGCACTTCCACTTCCACTCACGCAGCTCCCAGGCATGACAAATACCTTGCCAGCCACTTAACTTAACAGGAAAAAGGCACAACTCAATCAATGCGGGACCGGAGCCCCGCAATCCAGCTCAACCATCTCAACCATCTGACTCCCCGGACCCGCGTACCCTCGCTCCTTTGCCTATTCATGCCTTGACGATATTCATTTGAATCAATTGCGCAGTCCCTGCTTCCCCTGTCTGCCCAGGATCTTCCTACCGATACTTGGACCCTTGACGCTCGACCCTCGTGGCTCAAGAATATGTGGATTGGAGTCAGTGTGGGGTCTGCGGGGCATCACAGAACTCTCCCAAACATTTCTGGAACTGGAATGGGGCCACTTATTCCTTCGAACTTGGTGACTTTCTTTGTGAGATAAAGAGATGCGGTCAGCTCAGAAGAGCTAGAGTGGATTCTGATACATCACTACCCCTCGTGGGTCCTAGAGGGGTGGCTGGTGCATGCTGCGCATATATCGGAGTCCAACCCGGAGTTCCAGGATGACAATTCTTCGTGCATATGCATATGCAGCTGCAGCTGCATTGAAATGGAATTGGGATTTGAATTTGAGATGATAATTTTAATTCTGGCGAGGCGGAATCGGTTCTGTCGGTTGGAAGCTCACAACCCCCACCATCCTCGTGGTCCGGCCAGGGTTGGCATTGGCAGGCCGTCGCAGAGATTATCGGAGAAACAGCGAGGCCACCACCGTGATCGGCAGTCAATCCAGTCGGGCGGGTCGGGCGAGAGATGCCCCCTGCAATGCAAGCCTCCTACGACTTTCTCCGAGTGCTTCATCCGCACACACACCGGGGACCTCTGGCAAGGCTCAATGCATCCTTCTCTGTATTGTCCGGTACGATTGTCCCTTTAGTTGGGACGATTCACAATAATCAGTCCGGCATTTGATAGGTGGCCTGCATTACAATCCTTCCCTATTTTCGAGTACTCCTATCCTCGTCTGTACTAGTTAACTAGTACTACATGGTAATTCGTATACCCGTGGGCCATGGATAGGAAATATAGTATCTATCAATTTTGGACTATGTAGGAGTATGTGCTTGGAATCTTACTGGGGAGTACTCCAGGGCCCCTGGCTATATTTTATGCAAGTTCCTTGGACTCGGAGTTACTATCCATTGCCCCATCCCTGTTCGGCACACTCTCCTCGTCCTTCGGTTGTACGCGCTTCTGTGTCGTTGGTGAAAACTTGCTTCGGGCCCGAATCTGCTTGCCGTATTTGTAAAAGAGGAATGGAATCACTGCCAACAGAGTAGCCACTCCTCCAATGAGACTACCTCCGCCTCCCACACCAAGCGCGTCGAACATTTGATTTGTGAAGAGCGGTGCTGCAGCGCCGCAGGCAGATCTAGCAATTGTGTTCGCAGCAATGGCTGATGCGGCATACCTGCGAATGTGTCAATTTGAATTCGAGTCGCTGTAGAACAGCAAGGTAGTCCCCTCCGCAGACTCACATCATATACACATCTACCAGATAATTGAGATACGAAACGAAAATTAGTAGAAGGCAGCTAGACAGAAAACACCCAGCCAACGTCGGGACAATCCAGTGGACATGGCTGTTGATGTTAGGGCTTCATTCAGGTAATGCGTCAACGTATTAGTTAAGGCATGTTACTCACTTGTACTCGGCTGACCATGCAAACCAAAACATGGACGCTGCAAACCCAACACCGCCAATCATGGCAAGGGGCAGCCGATCCTCAGGCTCAGCATCTTCCATCTTCATCTCCCCTCGGTCGACTTTTTTCTGTCGCATCCGGGTATCAATCAGGACAACCGCGCCGCCGAGCAGCGCGCCGGCAACTGTACCAACCAGCGGTAGCTCCCCGACACCAGAATTCCACCCTCGCTTCTCCTGGAACACAATGGGATATATGCTAAACAACATGTAGAGCAGGGTGTAAACAAAGGCCAGGTAGATAGCACAGAACAAGGAGATCGGATCAAAGAGAATGATCCAAGGTCGAACAAGGGCGACCTTGTAGATACCAGCGAGTGTACGATCACTCTCCTCCGCGGGCGCTTTCACAGTCTCATATCCCGGGATCTTCGCTTTGCGAATTCGCTTCGCCTTGTTGCAGAGAACAATTGGCGCATAGGTTTCAGGAATCGTCAGCATGACCAAACAAGTCGGCGCGCCCAACCATAACAGCACATAGAAACTCCACTGCCATTCCTTCTTCAGTTGAATGAATCCCGCAACAACAGGACCAAGAGCCGGTCCAATCCAAACCATAGCCGAAAAACCAGCCATCGCATTGGCGCGCTGCAAAGGATTCCACAAGTCCGCCAAGACACCCGGACAATTACTCAGACAGGCGGAGACAAAAGTACCAGTCAAAAACCGACCGATAAGTAAGGCTGCAAAATTCGGTGCAAAGGCGCAGAGAAAGTTAAATGCCATATAGCTGCCGAAAGTGATGTAGAAGATCCATCGTCGGCCATAGAATTCAGAAAGCGGGGCAAAGATGAGAGGGCCAGCGCAATATCCCAATAGGAATAATGTTATCGTGAGACCGGTAACCTCGGTCGAAATATTAAAGTGCTTTGAGATAGAAGGGAAACAACCACTCGGCGAGCTCGAGGCAAAAGTCGCATTAACGACCAGCAGGACCGCGGCGATGGTTACGAAGGTTTTCCGATAGAAGGACCAATTGCGGGGATTTTCGATATCATTCGGGCCGAAATCGACATGGCCGTCATCGTTGAGAAAGGGCGGTTCGGTATCTAGATTTTTCGTTCGGTAGGGCTTGTTTGCCGCGTGGGACAGGATTCGTGTGATGATGGTCATTGGGGTGACGGGCGAGGGAGCGATATCAAAATAGTTGATCCATGACTTTTATGCTACCTCCACGAAGTGCAAGAGGGGGTTAAGGGAGTTACTAACTATCATTTCAAGTTTAGCTTGGAAACAATCGGTTATTCGGCACAGACGATCACGGGTGCTGACTTTCTTGAATAACTTGCATAAGCCCGTCATTCTCGCTCTTAGCGCAGTTAACTCCGAGTGAGGGGAAGCTTCCAAGAAGCTAGTAAGACCAAACCACTGAAGAATTCGGGTAAATCCACTATCATCTCACCCAAGGTCCACTAGTACACATACTTCTTTGGTCCCTTTGGCCGAGGTTATTACCAAATCCGGTGATGCTATTGTTTCTGCTTTGCTTTGCTCTGCCTTGCTCTACATAGTACTATACTAAATAATATCCCGCCGCGCTTGTTCCACTTTATCCGCTGCACTCTACAAATCTCGTCAATGCGATCATGAGCCATGATACCGCCACAATACACTGCCCACTTACCTGCATTTGCGACGCCATCCCACCACTCGGGATCGCACCGCCATAGAACAACGACTCTGCCCGCTGCGCCTCGCGCGCATCATCCTTGGTTACATATGCTGGAACATCTGCCATGATAGGAGGTATATCTTGCACCTCATTCTGATTGGCAATCAAGCGAACCTGCGACGATACAGATCCAAAGCCAGGTGCGCGGTGGAAAGCTCGTCCCTGTAAACACGATCAGTTTAGTTTCATCTTTATATGGATTCAGACTAGGTAGAAATCCAGTATATGTGACTGGGAGAACCTCCTACCTCGGAAGATTGCATCTCCTTTGCATCTCGCTGTGAAATCTGAGTGGAAGGTTTACGCGAAACCTCGTCCAGCTTGGTATCGAAATTCATTTGTCTCATCGCGATACTTTGTGCTGTGGCTATATGTCACTACTAGTTAGCATCACATCCGAGTCCGTGGCCTTAAGGTTAAGTCCGAAAGAGAGCGGGCCGGGATGACATGGGGTGGCCCGGGATTCCTGCCCTACCAGCTGGACCACCACGAACCGGGCCGCGCCCCGTTAGCTCGCTTTCGGCTTGTGAGATGGACGAGACATCGGCTGCGGTGATGCGCTGACCGTCCTCAGCGGCGTGTTTCAATTCGGAGACGGAGGGAATCTCAAAGGTCATTGTGGCGAAGTGACGTGCGGGTATGGGCCAGCCGGACAAATTGGTATGTACAAAAGTTGCAGTCCTAGTCGATAAACAGTTCCAATTAGAGTATTATTGATCGGCAGTGTATATATATAGCCTGGATAAGGGCGGTGATGTCAGACTGAAAGCATCACGTCGCCTTGATGGTGGCGCTGAGCCACTCGATCTGGTCTGGAATCTGGCAATGGCAATGAAAATTCACTCTCGACCTCGAGAGATACTAATACTGGTATATTTCGATAGGGCTGAATAACCCAAGAACTATGGAGGGGGGGGGGGGGCAAAATTGACAAAAGGCACATGCTAATACAAGTATACAACGTTAGGGCGATACCTACTAGTACTACATTCACCGGACGCCTACGGGGACCATCCAATGAACACTAGTAGTTACTGGTACAACATGTTGATATTTCGAAGTCCCCGGGAGCAATCCTGGGACATGGCATGATTTGGCTATATTCTACACTCCCCTTGTCCACTACTTGTACGCAAATCCGTCGAATGGCATTCACGCCTGAGTCTGTACAAGATCTGGCCTGTACCACGATTATTAGTAACTAACAGGTACCCGTTACTATGAGCTTTTCAAAGTTTAAACCTAGCCCATATGTAAATATATTCTGCCAGTGTCTCCTTCGTCCGTGGTAGGACAGATTGCCTCGGTGGGAACGGTTACCAGCTCGAGCGTCGCACAGGCTTACAGGGGGTTTCCAAGATTCATAATTTCAAGTACTGCTCGGAAAAGTGATTGTAATTCTCAATTCATATTTTTCCATCTTTTCTTTTTCATAGTAGAGTGGAAATGGAGAGATACTAGTAGGATGAGAAAAAACAGAAAAGGTTGGGGAGGCAATCGTTTTATAGCTGGGCGTTTCCGCCCGGGCCGGTGCCGCGCAATCCCGGGAACGGCTTTCTTCTGCACCTCATCTCTCCCACTACCAACCCGGTTACGCATTACGCATCCTCCGACGTACAGATCCCGGTGTACATCCCTCCATGGCCGAGTAAGGACAATCACTATTCTACTCCATTCAGGGCGCTAACAAAGTCATGCGTAGGCCACTGAAGAAGGGGAAGAAGGCGTGCACCGAGTGCCGCCAGCAAAAGGTGCCCATCGTGTCCTGTCGCGAGACGCTATTCACATCTCCATTTGTATTTGTTCAATGCCTCTAACGAGTATGAATATAGGCGAAATGCGATGTTTATCTGAACCCCGATGAGCCATGTACACGGTGTCGCAAGGTCAATGCAAGCTGCGTCATCTCAGACCCCTTCAGACGAGAGCACAAACGCAAGTGTGTACACACTATCTCACCCTGAAAGACCATCCAATATGCTAACAACTCTACCAGACGAATGTCGGAGCTACAGCAGGAGTCTGAAGATCTCCGCCGTAAGCTCCGGGTCTCGCACCCAGTGGACCCGCACCCATCACCCATTGCCCTGCTAACAGCGGCGGCGGAGATGGCTCCAAGGTCCGAACCTAACAGTGATTCCATGTCAGGCACCCCAAATATTTCGCTGCCCTCATATCCACCGCAGCTCCTTGCGCCCAATGGCTTGGAGATATCTCCATCAACTCCAGCACCGGCACCGGCACCGGCATTGGAAGGGGACACAACCCGGTCTCGGAGTCTACATGGGGTTGAAGTCAGGGGGGATGAGATTGACGATTTGTTTCATATGTGCGATTCCACAATTCTCGAAACATATTTTCCCCTGTTGACTAATTCATGCGCGTCACAGCTTCTTCCGCCACTACGCCCAATTCCTACCCATTCTCGACCCAGAAACCAGACCAAACACATACTATATACAATCCCCCTTCCTCTTCTGGTGTATAGTGGGCGTATCATGTCGAGCCTACGCGCGGAATCCCACGCTGTTAATGGCGCTGGCGCGAAGCGTCATAGAGATGGCCTTCCTGTCTGCCTTATCGACCTCGCCGCCATGGCATACTATCCAAGGCCTCTTGCTCTTGCTAACCTGGCCATTTCCAAAGGGCGAACATCCAGATGTGACATTTCCGCTCAGTGGAATGCTGCTACACATTGCCATGCAGAATGGCTTGCATATACCTATGTCCAGCCATGAGTTTTCGCGAGTTAAGATGCCCGCACCGTCCGAGGCAGATCTAGTTCGGAGATCGGAGCTGTGGGCGCATACTGTCATTGTGTACCAAAGGTGGGTTTCCATGCTATCCTTCTTCCGGGCGTTTCTTTGCCATTGCGAGTGCATCACTGATATATCTCATAGAGTATGCGTGACAAAGGGACAGTTACCCCGAGCGTTGGTCAGCCTCCCCCAAGATCCCGCTCAACGCCAAGCTCTATTCGATATAATCGCGCCTTGGATGGTACTTAAGCTTCGTTGCCAAGAGCTCATTGCACGATGCAGTGAAGCAGTACTGGAAAATGGGATGCGGTCTATGTCATTAGACCAAGAACGCGCGTTAGACATCCTTCTCCGCACCTATGAAGGACAAATAGATGAACTAGAACTTCAAGCTGTGACTGGTATATATCCTCCGATGCTCTTCCCCGAGACCTCCACATATACTAACATTTGATGCTGCAGATGAAGAGAGATTCGATACTGGACTTTGCCGGCTAGCAATCCAGACCTTCCACCTTTATAAAATCCAGACGCTGGTTTCAAGCGCTTTCTACCCACGGCTTCTTGTTACCGCGTGCGGCTTGATCGACTACGTCCAGTCCCTTGCAGATCGACTCGGTTGCTTGGCGATGTGCCCAGCCCAGATGGGCTTTGCGATTCTCTTGGCCTCAACGTCTCTTCTTCGGATCCTCAAAAGTAACACGGCCTCGCACGGCCTAGAAACCACGCGCGCACGAGCTGCAGTCTTTACAGCCATCAACATGGCCAAGCAGATGACGGTGGATAGCGCAGACATGGCTGCGAAGACCGTGACCATACTAAACTCTATATGGAATAGCACCAGGGCTTTCCGGAAAGCCGACGGCGGCGAGTATACAGCTCTGCGGATTCGCAGCCGACTGGTACTTAGTCCAATCCTTGACACAGTCTGGTGGTGGCGAGACGAGTTCGATCCCCCGTCGCGGACAAAGCGATCGGTCATAGAACCCTCAGACGGTAAGGTCTTTATGCGCTCACGTTACCATGTCGCAACTGATGCAGGCGCAGGCGCAGCGGTAGATGCCAATCGCGATTTTGCTGGTTGTATGGTGCCGTCTTCTGGCATACCGGATCAAAACAACGCTTTTCATCTTGACGAGCAATTTCTAGCTGATTTCGAATGGGCTCTTGGCGACGATGCGCTGTTCTCGTTGGACCCACTGCCTGCAAATTGGGCCCCTGCGAGTAATCTACTGTGAGGGCCAGTGGTATGATTGGGGGCCATGTGATAGAAATCCCCGTAGATAGGGCTATATCCACGATTATCCGGCATTTGCCGCCAACACCTGTTCAACTGTATCGCAAGGGCCATGGCGCCTGTCGTTCGACTACGATATCGATATTGATATCAATGTGAATCTCACCTATGACCGGATACCGCGGGGAAGTTAAGCGATGCCCTGCGATAGCCGTTCTTCCCTAGATTGGCTCTTGGGGCACACGCGGAAGAAACGTCTCCTGGTGGAGCCAAGACGAACAAGCCCGGCGATTTTAGCGGCGCAAGTCTTACGCTAAACAAGACGGCTGTCTCACTTGGCTAGTCCGCCACTGCGCTAGGACCGTTAGATATAGACAAAGAAGCAGCGGATGCAAATCAGGCAGCTTGAAGCCGGGGGAGATCCACATCAATTACGCGGAGTCAAATCATTCACCGAACTTTTATCTGCTCCTACAGTATCCCGCGGAGTGGCAATAGACAGACTGTGCTGACTCGCAGAATTCCTCTTGCCAAAGGTGGAATCCCCAGGCAAAGAGAGAAATTTCTATAAAAAGGATGCAGACATTAAGTCCATGGATATCAGCCATCAGCCATCAGCCTGACTCAGATTGTCGCCACAGGGTCCAGAGAGAGCGGGTGAGATCCTAAAATCCTGTTCGAATGTTCCTCTGGACTCCGGCTTACGCCCCTGGATGTTGATTGCAACCGAACATTCCCCGTTCCCCACCAATAGGAATAAAAGTTATCGCCTGATAGTTTCAGCTCCACGTCGGCTGACGGTTCCCTCACACTTTTGGGCTCCACGACGCATGGGAGGATTCGCTTTTCCCCGCATTTCAGTTGCGGGTCGATCGTGTCTTGTAGGGCCGTGCTATCCACCATCCATGGAAGATTGTTTTCGAAAGAGATCCGCAGGGATGAAAGGGATTCGATGCGATGCGATGCCGTGCCGCCTTTCCTGCACAACGCAGGGGAAAGGTAGTCGCTGAGTCTATCGACCGCATGCGATTGTGATCTGGACTTGCTCGAATCGCAATTTGCTAGCGAAATTTCTGGCCCCTGTCGCAGGCTTGGCAGGGTCTTTCGTCTTATTGAATTTGCCGAGGAGTGTTATCCCGCCTTATTATCCGTACAATCCGACGGACTGCGGGCGCAACAAGATCATGACCAGCTGTGGCACATTAGGCCAACCTGCTAGTGACCCCCTTGAAAACAGGGGCGTCGGCCATGGGCCCAACCAGGATAGTCTGCCGTGCGTTGGTGCTGGACGACGGCACGCTTGCAAGTGTTTAGATTAGCGTCGGCCACCCGCCAGCCACTCACCACCAACACTAAAGGGATAAGGGCGACACTAGGGTGAACCCAAACCATTGGTGGCCGGGGCCCATAAGACTTTCCAAGAGTTGTCCCCACAACGCCCACTGGCTTATCTCTGACAAGCTCGTTCTACTCGTACACAAAGTTAACCCCGTCCATGCTTGGGCGGGTCTCTTTATCAGTTCGCTTGTGTTCCCCCGAAGACACCCCGTGACAATGCCTCGGCTTTCCCGAGGTTCTCGACAAGAGGAATCCACGTCTACGTTTACGTTTGTCTACGTCGGCAACGTGCGATGGCGCGAGGGCCACGCCATCAAATGCCGAATTCCCCGCCTGGATAAGTCCATCGCCGGATGCAGTTCCTGTGATTGGAAACTTCACTGAGCGCGGGGAGTGGGAGTAACCTCAGGAACGCCACAGGTGTGCCGGGGTTGAAGTGGCCAAGCTTCTAAGTGGACTCTCGATAATTGAGGAATGGGGGGAGGGTGGCCAGCTAAGATCGCAGCATCGTGACTGGCTCGGAGTCGTCAATGCAAACATGGCCAAATCGGAAAATGGTCTGAGAGCGGCCAGTATCGTGCGACAATAACATGATTGTGTCGTTTTGATTGGGTGTCGCTCACTTAGTTCCTGTGGTTTATTCTAGGATAATTCCCAGTTTATCTATGTACTAGTACTAGTATTGTAGTGCCTCGTTCCTGCTCGCCTCTCATCCCCGACCAAGTTTATACGATATTTTGGCTCTTTTCTCGCAGAAAAAGGTTCCCCACTCGCCGTTCCTCGAATCAGAGTTCCCCTTCTTACCTCGTCGGTGCGTTTAACCCATCTGGCGTCTTAGTTGAGGTTACATCCACTCCTGTTGTTCCCAAGCTGGTCTCAGATCTCGACTTAATACGATAAGGCGGACCACCGTCGGGACTCTTCCATTAAAGCTTTAGTGCTTTAGCGTTGTACGAAGTCGTGGAAGAACCACATGGTTTAGTGCGTTTGTTTAGTGCGTTGGGTGAGAGCTAACTAAGGCGCAGAGGAAATAAATACCCTATCACTTCTCCTCACTTTCACCACGCTCTCCCTTTCTCCCCTTGCTTCTCCCCTTATCCCCAATCTATTCACCTCACCCTTGGTCAAGCTCAACTTGGCTATCCATTCCCACAATGGAGAAGGAAGAGCCCAGCGTCGCTGTCTCCAGCGGTGTTGACGAAAACGCACATGACGATGTCCTCACCAAGTTGCGCAACCTGAAGGCCCATCATCACTGGGACCCAAACATGCCAGATGAAGTCGAGGATGAGCTCGACGAGGCCCTTGCTACAGAAGACAAGGGTGCACGGGTTGACATTGCACATGAAGTTCTTGACAACTCACCTTATCCGGAAGTGCGCTCCGCGGTGCCCAATATCGACGAAGGTGGCCACACCAACACTATCCGTGCCTGGGTCATTGGTCTACTCTTCGCAACAATTGGCTCTTCACTTAACATGCTCTTCTCCATGCGTCAGCCGTACATTGTTATTCCATCCTACATCGCCCAGGTCGTTGCTTACCCCGTCGGCAAGGCGTGGGAGAAATTCATGCCCGCCACGAAATTCAAGTTCTTCGGTATTGATTGCAATCTTAATCCTGGTGTTTTCAGCAAGAAGGAACATGCGCTGGTTGTTATTATGGCTAATGCGACCTTTGGTGGCGGGTGAGTCTTTGCTAGATGGTTGATAATCAACTCATCTAGAGTTGTGTTCTACGGTCAGATTGGAAATGCTAATTTCCATACTTCCAGTGCCGCATATGCAACGGATATCCTTCTCGCGCAGCGCGCATTCTACGGACAGAAGTTCGGATGGGCTTTTGAAATCTTCATGTGCATGTAAGTACTCTGGAGTCTAATTGTTTCCGACCTCCCCTGCTATTATGTCCTCGATACTTGATGCTAATTCATCAATTCAGCTCAACACAGATGCTAGGATTTGGTATGGCCGGTTTCTTCACCAAATTCCTGGTCCAGCCCGCTGCTATGATCTGGCCATCCACTTTGATCAATACTGCGCTGTTCTCTGCTCTTCACGATCACTCCAGGCCCGATCCCCGCAAGGTTTCTGGCTGGAAGATTGGCCGATATGGTCTTTTCCTCACTGCGATGATAGCGTCTTTCTGCTGGTATTGGTTCCCCGGGTATATCGCCCCCTTCCTCAGCGTCTTCGCCTGGGTTACCTGGATCAAGCCCAACAATGTTGTCATCAATCAGCTGTTTGGCGGTTGGACTGGTCTATCCTTGCTCCCCATGACCTTTGACTGGACTCAAATCTCCGGCTTCAACTTCAGTCCACTTATTGCTCCTTGGTATGCTATTGCCAATACTTTGATTGGCATGGTCTTCTTCTTTTGGATTGTCACTGCGGGTATCCACTACAAGGGGCTGTTCTACTCGGAATATCTACCAATTAGTGATTCGCAGAGTTACGACAACACTGGTAACATTTACAATGTCAGCAAGATTCTCACTCCAGAATTCACCTTCGACCCGGTCAAGTACAAGGAGTACTCCCCGCTCTTCCTGTCAACGACATTCACCCTGTGTTACGGTCTATCATTTGCCGGAATCATCGCCGTTATCGTGCACACTGGTCTCTTCCACGGCTCTGACATCTGGTCCCGGTTCCGCCAGACCGGTGGCGAGACCGAGGATGTGCACAGTCGCCTGATGGCGCGTTTCAAGACCGTCCCCATGTGGTGGTACGGAGTCGTCACTCTTATCATGATCGGCATCGCACTTGGTGTCACTCAAGGGTTCGAAACTCACCTGAGCTGGTGGGCCTTCTTCATCTCCCTCGCCATTGCAGTGTTCTGGTTCATCCCTCTGGGTATCGTCAAAGCTTCGACGAATATCGATATTGGCCTCAATGTCCTCACTGAGTTCATCATTGGATACATGCAGCCCGGAAAGCCCATGGCAATGATGCTCTTCAAAACATACGGCTACATGAGTATGTACCAGGGAATGTACTTCTCCCAAGATCTGAAACTCGGTAAGCTTTCGCATTATAAACCTCATTTTTTCGTCTTTCTTCATTCATTCTAACAATTTCCAGGCCATTATATGAAGCTTCCTCCCCGGGTGACCTTCAGCGCACAGATGGTTGCCGGTGTCTGGTCATCCCTTGTCCAGATCGCAACAATGAACTGGGCCCTCGGCGCCATCAAGAAGGTCTGCCAGAGCGACCAGCCAAACCACTACACCTGTCCCAATGGACGAGTCTTCTTCAACGCCTCCGTGATCTGGGGTGTAATTGGTCCGCAGCGAATGTTCTCCATCGGCGAGATCTACTCCCCGCTCATGTTCTTCTGGATTGCCGGTCTCATCCTGCCAATCGTGATCTACGTCGGTGCCCGTAAGTGGCCCAAGAGTTCGATCCGCTATCTCAACGCCCCTCTCATCTTCAGTGGAGCCGGTCTTATCCCACCCGCCACACCGCTGAACTACCTCAGCTGGGGTATCGTCGGATTCATCTTCAACAAGTGGATTCGTGACCGCTGGCGCGGATGGTGGATGCAGTACAACTACGTCCTTTCCGCGGGTCTGGATGTCGGTCTGGCTATCTGCACCATTCTGATTTTCCTGACTCTTAACCTGACTGGCACTGAGTTCCCTGCTTGGTGGGGTACCAGGATTGCGGCGAATACCATGGATGCTCAGGATAGTGCTATCCGGACTCCCCTTGCTGAGGGTCAGACATTCGGTCCGGCTACTTGGTAGTTTGATCTTTTTACGTGGTTTCAATGCCTGTGGGTGCGGTGGTGGGCTTAGTCGCGGTCAATCGGCGTGGATTATTTGACCTATTATTCGATGCTCCATTCATGAATAACGAAATGTAGTTTTTATCTATCCACATCTACATCTTACATCTGTATTGTTACGTGTAGATTGTTGCTCGTAATTCGATGACTAGTAGCCTGAGAGGGCCTACTTGCCAAGGTTTCCAAGGTTGTGTATAATAGACAACTTGAATGTTCGTTTCCCTGCAGGTGTGATTCTTACTGATTTGTGGGCACTGACAGCCTCGGAATGCTCAGTATGCTTATGACTGCCCGAATTACAACAATTTGTCTATCCAAAGGCAGGGTAAGGTTTGTTAGAAAGCCTTTTCAGAGCCTGGTATGGATGGTGGTATTCCCGTTCTGCACAGTCGAGATCGATGGATCTGGCTTTGGGGAAAGCTCGACGATATCAATGCCGCTTTTGTCTGAACCATGGCTCCAATAGAAAGACCCAAATAGTATATGGGTGTCTGATTAGAGTGACGAGCGAGTTACATAAATAAAGGTTGAATTTAGTAGACGATGTTATCAAGGAGACAGAGCGAGGGGACTAGGAACCGGTCTAGACAAGATAACAACTCGAATCTCTTCGGTATGGTGCACTTTCAAGACCTTTCCAAGAACGAAACCATTGGTCTTCAAGATCAGACGGCCCTCAAGCTCCACGAAAGAGATTTTTTTCCTCTTTCGATCGACCCCGGGAATGTTGTCTTGTAATTTAGGTATAAATGACGTTGTGTATGGTGTTCCAACAAACGGACACCATGAAGGCAATTTCTTCTGCCATTCTGTCCCTGCGTCTGTCCCGCTGCAGATTTGACGAGTTCGTATGGTCAAAATGTAAATGTCTTGTACTTCCTCCGTCATTTTTGCCAAAATGCGCGGAGTCGCCACTTCTTTGTCGGTATTATAGTTGATCATAATTCTTCTCTGCAATCGGTCCTCGAACAAATTCTTAAATGCAAACAAGTTATCTCTGGGATCTGAGCACTCGCAATCCAAAAACATATCAAGAAATTCCCGAAATGACAGTCGTTCTCTCCGCTCCTTGTAACTAAAAAGATTGCAAATTCGCTCCGGAATTTCAGTTGGCGAGTAGAAGTTTGTCTTGGCGTGGTAATTGGGAGATATGGTGACTTCGATTTTGGAACATAGTCCATAATACTGTCATATGACTTCTCCCTGCCACATCGCAGTTGCAAACAGCCAGGGCCACTAAACTTCATTTCTTGGACAATCCACGCACGGCTCCAGTACTTTCGAGAAAAAGGGTTTCGGAGACATTGCACGGGTTCCACATTGATCCATCTTAATGGATTCGTCTCTGAATCGTACTTGAATCATACGAGCCTAAGTATCAGCCCAATACTTAGGCTCGTATGATTCAAGTTATATCCCCGATCCCCAGACAGCGGGACTTTGTCTAACGAAATCTGGTCTAATTACTCAGAGTGGCAGTGGGGTACTGGGAAATAAAATGCGAGTCCAAGGAACAATTTGTTTTCAAATTCTACTGGAGTATTTTGAAACATCTCATTCCAAGTTTGATTTCGTCGTAAATACAGAACCGGTTGTTTACGTGCTATCCATGTCAAGATCAGCGTATAATGTGATGAGGATTTGAAATAGGAGTGTCCTATCTCTGTTTCGCGCACAGGCGATAGCGGTAGCCGCTATAGTACCGCATGCCCCAAACCCTTTGCTTCAAATCAGTAACTACTAGTACTGATCCGGTTGCCTCTATGGAGCGCCGTAACGACGATAAGCCTGAGCTTCAGGTTCTGACGTCCCTCTGAACTTCTTCTGGGTATCGCTCTGGAGCTCGGTCTTGAGATCTTATAAAGCTACATGGAGACCAGTAAAATTAAAAGGCCGAAATGAGATATGCAAATTCAGGTATTTACAGGCATCATATATACACAATTTTGCTTCACATGACCGGAAGCAGATATCCATAGGAAAAACGTGGCAGTTCGTGAGCGGGATTTCCAATCCCGCGCTCATAATCGCACATCATCACCAGTAACCGGCATGGCTGGGCAGATAGACAGAAGATGAAAATGTAATGACAAAAAGTGATTTCAGAATCCACCATAGGCCCGCACCATTTATCCAGTCCAATCCAATCTTCCCTACTCCTGAAGACAAACAAACATTGAATTTAAGCATGAGTTCTGCGCTTCATGCCAACAATCAGACCAAGAGGCTTGCGAAGGAAGCCCTCGCGAGTCTCCATGGGACCATCCTGCTCAATCTGGAACTCGAAGAGGCGGAAGACAGTAGCGCCCATGACGAGAAGTTCCATCTCGGCAACGTTGCGGCCGACGCAGGCACGGGGGCCGTGAGAGAAGGGAATGAAAGCAGCCTTCTGGCGAGCAGTCAGATTCTTGGAAGACCAACGCTCGGGGTTGAACTCCTCGGCATCGGGACCCCAAATTTCCTTGGAGCGGTGAATGGTGTAGCTTGGGACGGAGAGGACATCGCCGGGGCCGAAAGTGTGACCGGAGATGTTGATAGGAGCGGCGCCCTCGGGGATCTCACGGGGCAGACCCATGGCGGAGGTGCTGTGAATACGCATGGTTTCCCAGATGACCCACTGCAGGTATTCGATATCCTTGACCATAGCGTGGGTGGGAACGTCGATGTCGGTGGGAATGGCGTCATCCAGGGTCTTTTGCAGCTTGGCGATCACACCGGGGGTACGGAGGCACCAGTACAGGATAGCGCAGGCGGTGTTAGAGGTGGTGTCGGAGCCAGCGATCAGTTGAGTGAGGGCCTCAGCGGTAAGTTCCTCGCGGCCGAGCTTGTTACCGTTGCTATCCTTTCCTTCCATGAGACGAGCGAGCAGATCGACACGAGTGTTGTTGGCCATAACCTCGGGCTTGAGACGTTCGTTGACACGGGCAATAGCGATACCAGCCAGGTTCTCGACGGCCTCGATACCCTGGGTGAAGAACTTGTCGGGGAGATACTTGGCGAAGGGCTTGAGACTAGGCAGGCAGCCAAGAGCGTTTGAAACCTCACCGCGACGGTTGAGAACTTCGACAGCCTGGACATACTTGGGGGGATCATTGGGGCTCTTGCGCATCTCAGCGATATCCTGACCCTTCTCGATCATGCCGAAGGGTGCACCGAAGGCCAAATCTCCGATAATGTCGAAAGCCAGGTAGTTGAACCAGTTCAAAGCGTCGAGGGTAGCGTAGCCGGTCTTGGGGTTAGCCTGCAGATCGGACATTTTGTTCCACTCCTTGACGAAGGTTTCGATGTTGTGGTGGATATACTGTTCAAATTGACCGATAGACTTGGCAGAGAAAGTGTGGGCAACAGTCTTGCGCTTGCGGGTGTGCTCCGCACGGTCGCGAGTGTTGAACAAACCACGACGGATGGAAACGAAAGCATCATAGAAGTCACTGGCAGGCAATTAGCAACTTGTTGGAAGTTCAACGGAGGTTCGAGGGGACATACGCCTTCAGGAAACCGTTTCCGTGACCGTAGACCTGGGTGATGGCGGCATCGTCGGCGATAGAGACGTGGCGGGGCGCAATGCGAACAAGCTTGCCGTGCTTCTTGTGCAGCGCATCAACAGATAGGAAGCGCTTACCCTGGCGGGCTTGGGCGAGCACCCATAAGTTGGTGAAAGAAGCCAAGCTCGGGCTGGGAATATCATGCAAATGCCAGCGCTGGAAGTACGGCACCAGGTAGTAGGCCGCTGCCAGAGCTAGCAGAATATAGGGTATATTTTCAACGGAGACCAGCATGGCGGCTATATACAGCGATGCTTGGCACGGATGGGAAACGGGTGCGACAATGAAAGGATTGGGGAAAAAAGAAGAGACCAGCTGAAGCTCGAAGGAGCAAGCGCACGGCCGATCGGAGTGGGGAGCCCGTGTGTTGATCAAGTTTCAACCAAGTGGGTAAAGAAGATAAAAAAGAGTAAGTAGTGCAAGAGAAGAGGTCCAGGAAGTTGGCAAGCTGGCAGTCAATCCATATGGAAGAAATTCCCAAGGAAACTGAGGGAGTATTTATGGCGAGGGGTCATTGACGGTGAGCAGCATCATCCCCGAGGTCAAAGTGGTCAACGGGAGTGAAATCGGTATCTGGGGATGGGAGCGATGTGGGGAATTCGAGCCAGTCAGCATCCTATGGTAGCAAAGCGAGTGCCGGTGTTGGTGCCCGAGTTCGGTTATTAGCTCAGCAGCTCCATTTTTTCTACCAGGAGGATCAATCAGAAGTCAAGGATTGACAAGAGCATGAGGATCTGCCGGGGACGACGTGACGAGGGAGAAAATGCGAACTGCGAGGTGGAAGCTGGTATGGTCCTGTGAGGGCACGTGATGGATATCATGGAGGAAGAGATGATATGTATAGAATAGATGGATATATAAATAGTAAAGAGAACAGAGCACAGAGTAGAACAGATAGATGGTAAATACTAGTAGATGATAGATGGCATGAGTAGACAGTATGAATTTGTGTATCCTGGTCTCTTCTCCTACCACTCACTCGCATGAAACAGCCCATTCTTGCGCTTATCCCCCTCCCACCGATCTATCCACGTCTTCATCTTGTCTCGATCCTTCTCTTTCCCCACATTCACCGTGGGAATGACCTTTCCAATGCGGAGTGCACAACAGAACATGGTCAGCTCTCGGAACGAACTATGCTCACTATAGGGAACCCCAAAGCACGCGCTCTCACGCGTACTCCCCCCGCTGTGGTGTCAAATCCTGGGCCGTAAATGGGGTTCGCCATTGTTCGCCACGAAGAACCGTTGGTACCGTGGGGTTGGTGAGCACACGACCTGCGGGGGGCCGGTAGGTCCATCCCGAAGGACGAAACCCGACTACCCGCGAAAATGCCGGTTTAAGCTGGTCCAGGTAATCGGCCAGTGTGTCGGCTTTGAGTTCAAATAATGTTTGCATATGAACTTGTGCTTCGCGTGGGTCACTCGTCAGCAAATCCGACAGTTCCGGGTCTTCCAAACAGGCACATATTGCCTGTTTGGGCGGCGTGGCGAAGATCTTCGACCCCAGGGCTTTGGCAATTCCTATGCAGATACGTTCTTTTCCAATGCTGTAGGTACCAACCACGACAAGTAACCGACCCCCACGACCGCCGGTAGAGACTTGGTCTTGCTTGCGATCGCTGGTGGTCACGGAAGATAAGAACTTGCTCATCAATCCAGGTACCTTGACCTGGCTCGTGTCGGTACCGACGCCAACTTCGTCATTCAAGCGGACGCAAAGCTCAGAACAGGCAGTGATTACGCTCTCCTGGCTGGGGAAGGCATACTTCGGGTCGAGATATGTTGTATCAAGATAGCACTTGTCAAGTCGTTGCTGCCGCGGCTTCCCGGTAACTGGGTTAATGGGGTCGGGGCGAAGGAGTGGATGCCGAATATGGTCTACAGATGCTCGGAAATCCCCACAATGAAGGATGCGTTCTCTTCGTATGTTGGGTCCGTTACCGAAGCTCTTCTCGAACAAAAATAGTGAACTACCCGGGCAGTGATTGGCGTGGATCATGGTAACTCGTACGCCGCCTGTGTCGGGAACGTCTGTGGGTGTCTCGAAATCTAGGTCAACCACCCATTTGGGGTCGACTCGTAGCTTCATCCGGACCAAATTGGCCGTCGGTCGACTGCAATAGATAGGACCGTGAGACCAAGACTTACTGAGTCCAATGTAATGGTCACTATGAAAATGGCTGAGAAAATAGGCATTGCACCCTTCGACTGCCCCATAACGAAAGGCATCGACAGTGATAGCAAATCCATTGAGAATCTTGTAAAACGGACAAGTCCTCTGGTAAGCCTGCTTGCCACGAGACGAGACCTCGTTTGAAGAAGCCGTTGCCCAAGCAGAATCCTCTGCGTTGCCGGCCATCATTTTGGAGAAAGCAGAAGCAGATCCTCCACTGCTTGCATTCTGAGGATATGGGTCGCGCTGGGCGGGCCGTGCAATGGCAGCTCTTTCCGATCGCTTTAAAGAATCGCTTTCAATCGTGTTGCGAGGTAGTTGCGGGGGAGCTGGTATTGGTGATAGTGGTTTTCGTGGCGATTTTGGAGGAGAGGTTGCCAAACTGGGCTTTCCATCTAAACAATCATTCACATGTACAGTTATTTCCTGTCCTAAATTAGCGACCGTTGAGAAAAATAAAAATCAAGTTACAAATCACAACGTACAGATTCACTGTGCCCAACCAGAGCTGTCTGGCAAATCGGACATGACACGGAATTCGATTCATCGTTTATTGGATCATTCACATCGTCAAATTCGAGCCCATTACCCGGTCGTTCCGTATCCGAGTCCTCCCAAGGTTTGTCCAAAAACTCTTCTCCTATAAATTCTTCTTCTTCAAGTTCGTCAAAATTCACGTATCCTTCATTCCCGGCACTAGTCGTGGCGTCTCTTACCGGCGGCGGCTGCTCGGATTCGGCAAGGTCTTTGGACAACTCGTCGTTCATCAGAGATGGTGTTCCATTATTCGTTTCACTTGGTGCAGGTGATGCCTCGTTCAAATCACGGTAGGCATCCATGTCATCTTCGCTATCGGACTCGTCGATAAATGGTCCTTTGTTCGTCTTTTTCGCCGATACCGAGTCTTTGGGCGTTGTCGATACATCTAGTCGTGGAATATCGACCGGCGCCTCCGGAGATTCGACCTTTTGACGTTTGACAGACGAAGCTTTCTCGTGGTATCGTAGCTCGTCGGCATCCGAGGTTTCGGTCTCGTCACCCCAAATATCGTCAGGCGTTCGTGATCGCGTTCGTTCGCTCGTGTCCGTAGCAGCACCTTTGTCTATCCTGGTAAGACCCTTCCTATCTTCCAGGAATAGTCCACCCGAGTCGTTTCGGACGCCGGTTCCATTATGGGAGGTTGGGGTTCCGCGGCCGCTGCTCGGGGATTGTGAGGCAGTCACAAATTGTGTAATTCGGGATTGGTGCGAAGTAGCTCCGGGCGGGCCATCGGTCTTTTGAAAGAAGGTCGTTATACTTCTATTTCGTTTGGCGGACGAGGGTTTGGCGGAGAATCCCTTGGACGGTGTGGACGCTTTCCTCCCAAAAGAACCTGCCATCGCTGAGTAGTTATTGTAGTGGACCAGGACAGAAAGATTTGGCTGTGAATCAGGCGAATGATAAACGCGATTTGTGAGCCTGGGAGCGGAAGTTTCCCGGAGGGCAATCCTGGGAATATATGTACAAATTGGCCTGGTCGAAATGCATGATCTGGAGGGGAGAAATGGTGGCGTCGAGTCTCGTCGCGCTGCCCGTCGCGAAGTCACGTGAGCACTTTGGCCGCAAATGGGAAATCTACAGGTTTACGGTTCGTAGCAATTCGTACAGTTCGGAGCGATGAATGTTAGATAGATCAAGGTAAATGATAATTCGAAACCAGTTGGTGTGTTTTAAAGGGTATTGGGCACAGTATGATGAGCAATGCAGACAAATCAGCCACCAAGCGGTCACACAGGATCACTTTCACAGATGGCCAGGGTCATTCCATTTCAAGACCCGCAGTCGACAAATCTCGAGTCTAAAGCCTGATGAGGAGTGTAGCGCAGTATGTCACACCATTCCTCCTTGCTGCCAGGTGCTCCGGCCCCTTCTCTCACTCGGAAGTTGCTGATCCAAGTCCCCGATCTTCCTAACCCAAGGACATCACATCGTGAGAAAGCGTCGAGGCGGTATTATTTGAATGGTTATAGCGGTGTTTGAGGCGCAGCGTTAAAATCGTGGTCGTTTACCGGGCCTTGCCGGCCTGGTTGGCGGCCTCTGTGCGAAGAAGAACGAGTCAGTAGGTATTCGGGTAGTGCGACGAGAGGGCATGAGCGGCCGCAATTGACGATTCTCGAAAGCTGCTCCGAGGGGATCAAGGACTGGGGAGAAGAGCCCAATCCCGACGGTGGCATCAAGGGCTTTACTTACCCCGCCGTGTAGCATCCTCCAGCAAACCAACATCCACCTCTGACCGGGGTAGCATCACATAGCGGACAACACTGCCACGGATGAACATGTTCTTGACGGACGACAGATGCGGGTACTTGTCCAAGTCCAAAACTTCGATATCGTCGAGCTTGATGTTGAGGTATTGATCGACTGACTTTAGGATACCGCGGATACGAATGTCATTCTTGAGCTCGATGGTAACAGTCTGATTCGTAAGGGTCTTGAAGAAGCTGGATCAGGCATTTGGTTAGCGCAGTTCAAGCTCGTCGTTTTGCGCAATGGGCTAGATTGGAGGGGTACCTGAAGAAAAGCATAATTGCGGTGATGGGCGCACGGTTGTGGCGTGAGGTGAGTGGAAGGTAAGAGTTTTCACTTGGCGAAATCAACCTTCAAGTCAAGTTTCAATTGCGCTCGCGATCAAAATGCGTGGACCGAAACGACCTCAACTGACGTCGGCGGGTGAGGACGCAATGAAGTCGTCAAGTCACGTGATCCGGTAATATCAGGTTCAAAAACCGTACGTTTTTTTAATATGGATATTTCATATTTTTGGCAGTAAAATGCCTAGGTAGTAAAGCTATCGGGCAAAAGATGGCCCTGAATATCGTATTAATCACTTCCAAGCTTGGTGCAAGAATTTCCAAAAATCCAAATTCAAGCCCCTGGAGTTCCCAGGCCCCCACATCTGGGGAATTATATATACACTGGCAATTTCCAAGGTTGAAGTTCAAGTTCCAACCGTGACCTCCAGGGCTTGGAAGGCTCAAGCCTGCACGCTGGCACCTACCCAGGTCCAAGTCACGGTAGGCATCAGACAAGTTCAGGTTCAAGCCCTTTGAATCTGAAACATTTCCAAAATCTAGACCTTGGGTGGGACCTACTACGTAGTAGTATATCCATCTTTCATGGATTGTACAGTAATTACTTAGTGTGATACTAAATTCTACTTGTTGATCCCGCTCTTCGCCAGAAAATTTAGAATTGTTGTTGTGCGTATGGAGGTACTGGGCACAAGATCTGGAAATAAAGTAATGGTCCTGGAGTATGTTTGTTGTGCGCGTTTGTGAGAAGTTTACATGTAGAGACCTAGGAAAAGAGAGAGAGGGAGACCCTTTTTAGTAATATGTGATATGCAAACTTATACATGGCAGGTACCAAATAGCACTCGCCGGAGACCTTTCCCTAAACGGCCCTAGAATCTAATTCTCTCGAGGAGCGGTTGAACATTGACCAAGGCCATCAGGCTCACAAGGAAAGCGTTAATTTATAAATATCATCCATGTCACCAAGGCTACACGAGGCTAGCCCTGGATACTAATGGCTTCACCGGAGACGCTGGGCTGTGGATCTGTCGGATTCTCCAGATTCTCCGCATTTCATATTGTCGGTTTGGTCGTCAGCCCAAGGGCCTAACAGAGCTACTCGCACCCCTTTTTGTAAACCAGCCTCTCCTTCTTAAACTAGTTAGGCTGCCCTCGATTCCTTCGGGCTTCAGGGCCATCCTAACCAACGTCTTTGTCAGAAATAAGTGAATCTTATCATCAAGTGCCTTCTTTCCAGGGTTTCCCGTGCCAACTGAAATGATGCATTTAACCGAGGGTTTCAATTGACGAGTCGTATGGCACCAAATATCAGCGGCCTCCTCCTCGACCTCTTCGATTGGGTTGTTGGCGCCAAAGGCACCATCCACGTATTGTCGATTATCGATCGTCACCGGCTCAAAGAAACTTGTTGCCGCAGACTGCTGCTGAGACAGCATCATTATTTGTAACCGTGTAGTTTCGCAGTCGGGTGACCTGAAGACTCTCTTTGGCCGTCGCACAACAAAGGCTCGGCATCTTCGAGTGATGCCATCGTTCATTAGATCATTGGGAGATGCACCGAGTTTGATCATTATATCTTCGATCGCGGACCTTGAGTCTCCGGCTATCGTACTATATTCCCTGACTACCCTACGAGGAGATTGTTGATCTTTTCGCTGAAGATGAATCTCATCAGCTAGTTGTAGGCTTTAGTGCACTCTTCTACATTCATCTCTAACCGCCCGAACATAATCGCAACGAGGCTATTCGATTATGGAGTTAGTTTGCTAGATTGGCGCATCCTTGTTTTGCACTGAACACTCATCCGCCCGTGCTGGTTCCCTCGATGAGACCGAAAACATCGCACGGCTTCAAAGGTTCCTTTCCCACCCGCTCTGAGTTCAACTGTTCCATCAGATCTCAGAGAATATGTAAACTTGACAGGTCCCTCACTCCCCCACCATCCATGGAGAGGAGACAGAGCCCCTGGAACTCCCTAGGATCAGCTCGACTGGTTTTGTCCCTACCCATGATGGAAGAGACAAGTCTAGGAAAATAAGATATCTACCAGAAATTGTAGCAGGATGAGAATATGATACCCCTTATAGCGACGGGGCTGTGCCTAGCTTCTTATTCGTTTCCTTGCCGCCCGCCAGGGGCCGTAAAACACGGTCTCCACACCGGTACTTAGATCAATACGCTATGCCTCGGATCTCAGCACTTATCGCGGTAGAGTATTTGTAGAGCAAATATAACGTATAGCCCTGGAGCCGTAACTTGAACCCAAGACCTCGGGCTGTCAGGGCCACAATCATATCGCTGTACTACTATATTTATATACTATACAATGTAAGAGCGTTAAGAAATTTGTTACTACGATCAATACTATCAATACTGTACTGATACTGAAGTAGCCGGAGCGATACTTCTATAACTTGAAAATATGACGGTGGCAACGGTATTCAATGGTATTCGAGACCAAGGGCTGGGCGCCATGGTTATAGTTCATGACGGAATCAAGACACTGCGAGTAGAACTGCAGAAAGGCCGAGCGCATGGAGATGTTGAAAGAAGACTGTCTCGGCAAGGATGCCTCGGGAGGACTCTGAGGAAGACTGTCCCGGCAACAGGGCGTCTATAGTAAGATTGATAATGAAGGGTTTCGGAGGGCCATGGTTATAAACACATGAGCAAAGTATCAAATTAACTTGAAGGAGTTAGAGAAAAGGCTGGAATAGAAACTAGAATGTTTGGTACCGACTCCCAAGAAAGCACCGAGGGATTCATATCTTGAAATGAAATAGATTAATCCAAAGAGTGCGGTGTGCAAGAAAATCTGCCCCAGAGATCCGCCGGGCGGATCCGAGAAACGCGAACGCCACGAAGAAGAAAAGTATCGTCAAGAGTCATCGGTGGTCGAGTCTAGCACATCTCACAGCACTCGAAGCACTCAGCACAGCACTCGCAACCCTCCTCACACACGAAGCAACAGCACAGAGTTGCAAGACTAGAAGAGACATATTGAATTAGCTATGCGCAAAGTTGGGAGTTAAGCACTTAAACTCACCAGGCACCGAGGCAGCCCTGACCACCACCACTTTTACCCTTGTTGTTGTCCTGCTGGGGAGCGTATTGGGGACCGGGAGGGCCGCCCTGGGGAGCGTACTATATCAGGACCATTAGCTAGCGAATCTAAACATGATTCAAGGAAGACCTACCTGCTGGGGTTGCTGGGGGTACTGGGGATAGCCCTGGGGAGGACCCTGCTGGTAGTATTCACCACCGGGGGGGAGGGTAGCTATTCAATAACAATAATCAGCGCGATGTTCAACGCATTTGTGGTCTCTCATATCGGTCTGATCACCATCGATCGCTCCGATCCACCGAAGCGCAGATTCTTGCCGATCGGAGGAGGGGATTCGATGCGCAGTGCGACATAGACGAGGATAACGTGGCAGCATATGAAATATTTGAGGTCGACTTACGCCTGCTGGGGGTACTGGGGCTGCTGGGGCTGGCCGTAATAACCTTGGGAAGCCATAACGTCGGAAGAGGACCTATGAGGTCAAGACAGCGCGTTAGCGAATGAAGCTCCAAATGGTCGGAACAAGCAATGAGAGCAGCGACTCTGGATTAAAGGCGGGGATAAGGCTGGGGTCGCGATAGGAGAAGCCGACGCCCGGGGGAAAACAGAGGACCGACGTTTGTTTTGGATGGGCGTAATCGAGAAAAGGGGTGTGAAGCCGAGGAGGGTTCACCTACCTGAAGTGGAAGAATCGACGGAGGAAGGGCGAAGATGCGGATGGGAGGAGGTAAGAGGTGGTGAGAGATGGAGGAGGAAAAGAGGAGACGAAGTTTACCGAAGAGCCTGAGCCTGGGGGGAAGGTACGAGTACCACTCACCACTCTGTATTTACGGAGGGAAAGTACGATGTACGGCTGGGAAACTTGCTCGGCCCGGTTGGCTTGGCAGGGCTGAGCTGGTATTTTATATTGTGATTACTATGTACATGCAGTAACTATAGTATGGAGAATACTAATCTACGAGGCATTTTCATTTGCAATTGCTAATTCTAGAATAGAATGGCTGTGCCATGTACTCCCGAGATTGATGCCTAGATCCACAGAACCCTGGTTTTCGTCCCAAGTGTCTAGCATAGTCTACATTATGCCCTACGGTAAATACCGTGTAACCCCAGCCACAGTACAGCCCTACAGTACCAACCAACGCAGTCAGCCACACTAGTGTGGCTAATAACCTCCACTCTGCCGATGTCAATCCACATGATTGGCTAAATCAACCACCAACGTGTCACTTCCTCCTCCGCTTCTCCCCACTTCCTTCAACCTTCCACCATTCACACCATTTCCTGCTGCACGAACTACCCCCCTTCGGTCGATCGTCCACTCTTGACCTGACCGCCTGTATTGCTGCTGCCTGTGGCTGTCCTGTGGCGGTACTCCGACCCTGCGACCCAATTCACCGCGACCTTACTCCGTACTTTCAACTATATTGTGGCCGATGTCTTTCACTTGGTGTCTGGCCCTGTGATTGGTCCGCTCCCCATGCCAGATGAATTTGGCAAGGATCACGTGCAGACTTAGTCTCGTTCTATATTGATAATTGACAAACTGAAGGAGTAGTATCTTACCACTAGGCCCCTTCGGGGAAGAATTATTTATCGTTCGCTCAATCCCCTTCTAGTATGGCGTCACAACACGCCAAGAGTTTGATTATAGAGACCCCAGAAACACTCAACCGATCTTAACACCTTAATCAATCAACTGATTCTATTCAGCATCTCTCGTACTAGCCAGTACATCAACTCCTCATCCTGACAGTTATAAGTCCAGATTGCCTGACTGTCTAAGAAATATTAGACCATTTTGCCCTGTATCTCACAGTCAACAAACCCCTAAAGCGCCCAGCACAGTCGGATACCCCTGAACACCTAGCCACCACTTATAAGCCCTTATGTTCAGCGAAAAGAAAGTCCCGTACCGAAAAACTGCCTTCAAAAACATAATCAGAGGAAGATTTAAGTATCTGAGCTAAATCTTGTACGAAGATGTCGGATATTATAAGGAAAGATCTGATGCAGGTCCCGCTTGACCAAAAGCTTCAGTCAGAAGCATAGTAGAGGATCTGGATAGGCCACATAAAGTCAGCGGCTGTTGCAGAAGATGTGTAGGATTACCTAGATCCTCAAAAGGGGGATAATAATGCTCTACAAGTACCAGAGGCCCAGGACGAGCTATCAATACCCAGGGACAACCGTCAGCGAGAAAGAGATATTATAGATCTCGACGATGCTGAGCTTAAGCGATATACATTAGCGGTTCAAGCATATGATCGCCGTGATCAACACCGACAAAGGTTGTTAAAGATTATATCACGATTAAATAGCCTCATTACTACAGAACACCACTACCTCATTATCGGAGAGGACTCACCACGGGAGAAGCTAATCAAGCTATCCGAAACATTCAAGCCAAAGCCCCAGAATCGCCAACAACAACTTCGTCGAGCTTAGAGAGATATAATCAGGCAAAAGCCTCTAGGAGACACCGATCACTGGTTAACACAGTGGGTTAGTCTGTTCGAAGAACGTAAAATTGCAGGAATACCTGATTGCTCTAATAAAGATCATTTCGCAATACTAGAGTTTCTTGACGCTATACAATCAGTGGATGATACTTAGTGTACAGCCTGGCATGAAAAGCTTACAGACCAAGAGAAAACCGTCACATTTCACACAGTTATAGCTAGCTACCGGAGCCGCCATGGGGACCTCACAATCTCTGGGGGACGGAAGCAACCAAAGATAGCTCTAGCTTCACTAAATGATAAACCTGAAGCTAAGCCTATAGGAAGACCTATCAGAAGAAATGTCCGTGTGGTAATACACATCCTCAACATCACTACTCAAAATGCTTCTATCTAGATGAGTCCCTTCGACCAGATGGATAGAAGCCACGAGAGGGTACCACTCAACAAATTCCTGAAAATATCAAGCAGATAAGCCCTCAGGATCAGGAAAAAATCACAAAAATACAGCAGAAGAAAACTGAATCAGCTCATCTAGCTGGGACGGCTAGACCAGAAGATCTATCCCTAGTATTCTTCACCACCGATACTCGAGCCATCGCAGCGTCAGAAGTCCGGCAATTCGGGTAAATTCAGTGCCTCACATATGCTTGGTTGAGTCGATGTTTCTTGGCGGCCTGTCGGTCTGTTCTGTTTGTCCTAACTGGCACTAACCCCAAGCCAATATAACTTCACAACGACTAGACAGCAACTATCCCAGGACGAGCAGACTACCCATCGCTTACAGCCTGTTTCTCGTGGTTAGTGAGACAAGAACAACACTAAGTACTCGGCATCCCCTCCGTGCTTTAGTCCTAACGGGACGGGGGCCAATGCGGGGAGCGACTAAGGATTAGGGGCAAATAATGAGAACAAGCAATGCCTGGAACACAAAGAAATAGGATATTAAATAGTTACGAGGGGGGTTTTCACTACGGCCACTCATCCGCGTCTCGGGATGGAGCTCGTTGCTGTATTTCGCGGCAATCGGCGTCCCGCTTATTGGGGTGGCTATTTTGGCTTGTGGGGTGTGGCTTTGTATCCGGAGGCGCAGGAAGCGTCGTGCTGGACAGGCCGCGGGGAATATGGAGCTCCGGCTAAAATGATTTGCGTCTGGAAATGGTGGGCTGGCTGGCTTTGTTTGTGGAAGGATCTTTGGATCAGGTAGATCCTTGCGGGATGGGTTGGTGAGGATGGAAATCATCGAGGGCGATATTGATTTGTATAGGTCCATTTGATTTCTCTCTTTATCCTTCAGTAATACTAGTAATATCCGGCGCTTACCTCGCCTAGAACTGTATTTCAACGATCCTGGTTTATTTACTAGGCGGGGTTTTAAGATCTGTCCAATCTTTATAGAGTTTCGTCCATCGATAAAATAAATGCAACCGTGCGAGAGATATCGACAGTAATTCGAAAGGTATCATTCAAGATGATGGAGGTGGGGGACTTTCGTAAAAAGTTGCTTGATAGACGAACAGTTCATTGAAGTATAATTGACTCTTGGCTGACTACGACCCTGTGCAAACTGTCCGTGAAGAAATTAGAAATGTCATTAAGTGTTCATGATACATCATTAGTGGCTCATCATCATCGTGTCAGTACGCCCGCGCATCTCTCAACAAGCTCATTTGCAGCCCCCGGCCACATCGATACCTCGAGATGGGAGATTCACCAAATATTCCTGTCGTGAGAAGCAGCTGAGCGCCGCGCCAGATCCGAATGACCTGGAAAGGAACGCGGAAAAAAAAAAAAGAAATGGTAACTAAAATATAAACCCAAGTCTCCATCCATATCCAGACCCATCCAATCAATGTCCAAAATACGCTGCAGAACATGAGGGCCTTCCAAGCCCTGGAGACCAACCAGACCAAACCAAATATAACAGACTCCTTTCCAATATCCTAAACCAAAAACCAATTCTCAGATCCCATCCAACCGATAATATGATCAGGAAAATAGAGTACACGAACCAGAACCAAGGGAAAGCGGAGAAAGAAAGGAAAAAAAAGAAAGAAAAAGGGAGAAGGGAAGGGGACTCGAATCCATCCGTCAATGGAATCACAGCACTACGATCAGCTCACATGACATACGAATCATACTCAGACGGCAAAGGCTGCGAGTCAAGATAAAACGGCGTATCGAGAGTGGCATCCAAGTCAAACGACGCGGAAACCGGATACGCCTCAAAGCCATGCATGAGCGTTGACTCCATGCCCAGCGACGCATGCATATCCGCCTCGCTCAGCGAAGTCGCACTCATACCTCCCGCAGCAGCCCGTTTCATCGCAGTCGCATCAGAAGAGAGATCGGGCAACGGCAACGAAGCCGGGTATCCTCCATCCTCCGCAGGGCCATCGGGAGGCATATCACACGGGGTATTCTCATTGGCCCGTTCGACCTCCTCAACCATCCAGTGTTTCAGCACGTCCATCGGCGGATGATTTCCACCGCCCTTACCACCGCGTTTCTCGCTATCTTTGCCACGACCGCCACGGCCACGCTGGCATGGGTTGAAATGCGTGCGGCGCAGATGCGCTGCGGCGTTATAGTTTGCGCCGTATCGTTTACCGTTGCGGCAGGCTTTGCAGTTCGCGAGGAAATTCCCGTCAGGCGAGATATCTACACAGACCCAGACCTTACGGACGGGCGCGTGGACGCGGTCGATATGGCGGCGTAGTTCGTGCTCACCGTGGAAGCCTTCTGGTTGGTCGTTGCAGATGTGGCAGTATGTCTTTATGCGGGGTGGGCGTTGCACTGAGGCCTTCGGGATGGCGGCGACTTCTTTGGCTGTGCCGTCGGTGGAGGATATGCGGAGCATTCTGTGCGTGTTGCTGTCTCTATGTTCTGGTTGGCTGTTGATACTGTCGTGTGAGTCTCGCTTGGGGGCGATGGGTCGTGCTGCATGCGCGACTTGTTCTTGGGTTCGGCGGATCGCGCGCGAAGGTGGCATGATTTCGTCCGAGTCGGAGCTCGAGCTTGATAACGAGGGTCTCATCTCCGCCGCTTCGGTGACAAATGTGGGTGGCACTGGTGGCCGAAAGGTAGTGGTGGGCGCAGAGGTGGAGAAAAGGGTGGAATTGGGGTAGGAGAATGGGTATGAGGTGGTAGGATCTAAGTCAGGATAGAGGGATGAAGGAAAAGAGTCTTGATACGAGATACCAGAGGTGGCCGTGGGCACCCACTCCGGCGGGATGGAGTACGTCTGGTCCAGATCCGCGCGCGGTCCTGTCGAGTTGAACCGAAACATGTCAAAGCTGTCGATAATGGTATCGGTGGTTCCGCTCCGAGTCATTTCAACGGCCGTCGAAGACGGATCAGCCGTGGGGGATGCCTGTCCAGAATGGTATACACCAGATGTCGCTGCTGCTGCTGCGGCTGCCGGAGATGGAGTCGGTCCAGTCGATCCAGTCGCCAGCCCCAGAGACAGAGCGGATCTGTAGGGCTGGGGCTGGTTGTCGGGGTTATCCAAGTGCTTTGCATATTCAGATGGCGAATATTCATCGACATGATCGAGACGTTTCATTTGGCCCGGCCCGAAGGATTGTCGCTTGCCCATAGTCACCCCAGCCGGCGGGTGCCGGTAGGAGACAGGGATCTGCTGGCTCTGCGAGCGCACCATGGGCGTGTGTCGATAAGAGGAGCCTTGGCCTGGGCCCGAGAGCGGCGCACCCTCTCGGGGCGCATCCCGGGGGGGATGATTGTGAAAGGGCGCGCCGCAGCTCGTGGGTCACCGGGAGATCCGGGCTCTGCCAATTGTCAATCCTGGGCTGGCGATGGGGGGGGGAATATGAAGTGCAGGAGAGGGCGGGATAGTGGAGGAGTAGGAAGAGGAGGAGCAAGAGACCTAGGTCACACATACGGTGGCTCGCCGTTTGGCCTCTGGAGGACCAGAACCAGGGAGGGTCCGCGGAGTGGCATCCTGTCGAGTCCGTTTGCCGGGTTTCCCAGGTTTCCCAGGCGCAGCATCTTCGCGGTCGACGGGGATGAACTGGCTGAGTTGCTGGCTCCAGAGCCTATTGCGCTCGGATTCCGGAAGGTGGGAGTGTCGAACCAAAAATGCATCGCGATACCCAGAGATGGCACTCTTGAATAGTTCCTCGTCGGCCTGGAGAGCCATGTCGCGAGGATTGGAGGGGCCTCTGATCGTTCGGGGGACTGTTTATCAGTAATGCAAAGGACGGGGTTGGAACCAGGGTAAAGGTAGTATCTATATGCATGGTTAGTGCATGAGAACGGCCCGCGAGCTTTTGCGCTCTGCACTGGACAGCTGGGACAAACCTAGGAGATGGTCTTGAAACCGATCTTATCGAGATATGCGACGATAGATCGGCGGGTCGATAAGATGAACGGGGGACGATGGAGGCGGAGCGCGGGTTAAAAGAGATGGATCATGGATCTCACATCACAGCACATATAGAAGGGCCAGATTGGGCAGCATATGGGAAGGGAAGAAAAAAAAGAAGAAGAAGCAGAAGATGGGAAGGATTGATGCAAAAGTCCCGGGAGCAAATCCCCCAAGCACCGGGCCCCTAAGGACGTTCTTAGGATCTCCACACTACTATACGAAGAAGGGTTTCTCTCGAAGACCAAGACGGCATGGGGGGACGTCAATCCTCGAGTGGGCCAGAGGTCTGGACCCCGGGGGCGCGGCCTACCAATACGATCTGACCATCACGAGAGACCAGTGGCTCCATCTCCCAAGTGGCTCATTCTGCATTTTGTCCGGTCCTGATGGATGGTGTACTCTGCACTCCGTACTCTGTAACCATAACCGGCACTGGGGGGTGACAGGACCGTTCGCTGACTATTCCCTGATTCTGGTTGCATCCTGCGCGACTGGTTGGTCGATGTGAAGCTGCAGCGACGGGCGGTGACGGGAACAAAACAGTCAAAGTGAGGCAGCGAACCGGATCGCCCCGAGGACAACCCGGCTGGTGTGTTTGGGGGTCGGGGGGGGGCGCAGACGAATGACAGAAGCCCCTGAGCTGCGGCGTTGAGACTCCGACAATGCAGCCCCCGAAGCGCCTACTGCGGGAGCACTCCATCGCCTACCATAGTTATGGCCTTGCCCCCCATGTCGAGTATCCCATCCCTCCCCTGATACTGAGAAATTTGCTTTGGCTGTCCATGGCTGTCCATGGCTGTCGGTGGCTTCCTGGAGTGGCCGATGGGGCTGACGGAGTTTACATCCACCATCTCGTGGAGCACATCCCCCCCCCAGTGTTCCCACCGTCTCTTCGACTGCCACGTCGTCCTGCAGCTGGTCCATCAGTCGGGCCCTGCAGGTGACGAGGGTGCCCTGCGCCCAACTGCCCGGGCAAAGAACCGTTGTCCGTGGCTATGGGAAATGTCTCCAGCACCGCGGGACGGGTCTGCACGAGGTACGACTGTCCGCCTTAGATACATAGCTACATAGCCAACATTACATACATGCAACACGGAAACTGCGCGTGCGGATCGGTATAATCGATGGTCTCTATCTGTGTGACTTAACCAGAGCCCACTTGAGTACAATAGTTAACTAGTTAACTAGTTAGTGTGAAACGCTAACCACTACCTCTGTGACCAAGAGTCCCGCCGGTCTCAATCTCAGGGGGTTGAGGCCCGGCCGATCGCACACTAGTGACAGTCCAATGGAGCGACGAACACATCGTCTTCAGTCTCCATGATGACGGCGACTCCATCGTGGTCACCATGAGCACATCCACTGCGGAATCCTTTCTTTCATTTCGAAGTTGGGTCCATGTCGCAACTTTCCAAGGAAACTTTTTGGAGAACGCGATTGCCGCTGCGTTTCACCCAGGCTGCCAAAGCGGCTCCTCATAGGCGGCGGAAGTGCGAAAAGCCTCGCGACGGATCGACGCGGTTTCAACCCAACCACAGTGATCACGTCGATCCTCCAGAAGTGGAGCAGTAAGCAAAGTCAGGACCGAATAAGGGTGACTGTTATCTGTCAATTTTGATGTGTCATGTTCGGGGAGCTCTCGTGCGCTTTTGCTCATCCCGAGGAGTCAGCGAGAAAGCTCGATCCCTCGCAACGGTGATCAGTACAGCTTATGGGGGAGAGAGTTTCAGCTTGACACTTCGCATCGGACATTCATACTGTTTTGACCTCTCCGAGTGAAGGCTGGACACGGCTGATTTCGTCATTGAGCGCCGAAGAGACACGATGTATCCATTCAGTGAAGGTGGAATACCTAGTGAGGTTACTATTGGTGGCATGGTGGTATGCCTTTCCAGCCAGTTGTCTTAGTATACGCTGCAGCGAGATGGCACGCTCATCTGAGCATGGGGTGTTTGTCAGCCTCTTGGCTCTCGAGGCTAAGTATAGGCAAGCTCTACAGCGTACGGCGGACGGAGCACCTTGATGACAGTCGGGTAAATTCAATTCTTCAAGGTTCTTTTCTTAGTGTCTCTCGACCCAACTGTTGAGTCTAGGCTAGTCTGGAAGCCACGCTGCGGTGGTTTGCTGCTAACTATACCATCACTACCACGCCATCTCGCACTCGCTAAGTCTCAGCATACTATATCAGAACATGATATACCCAACCCAACCCTCCATCCCATACGCACAAACGCACGCACGACCGGCAATAATCAGGCCGCGACAGCCTAACCCTCGCCTCTTGCTTGTGACGCGCATTGAATTTCCCCCTCCGCAAGGCCTCAATCAACCTCGAACACTGTCTATTATTATCTGCAAGTTGGTCAAGCTGAGACCAGGCAATTCAAGCCCAACCCAGGTGAAAGTAAGTCGAAGGCCAGTGAGCGAGCCCCCTCTTTATCGAGGTGCAGCCCGTCATATCACGGGTCCATGTACCAAAATTCCGACTGGGCCATAGACGCATATCGCGTTGCAATAGGAGCCCTTGGAACTAGGCCTGGCTCGGCTTTAATTTCGGGGGGACCTGGTCGTTGTACTTGGCCTCTTGGGCGGATTTCCAAGCCTGCTACTCCTGCATGGTCATCGGTTGAAGGCCAGGCGACTTGATCGCGTGGGCTTTGCCGCGTAGGTTGTCGCTAGCGCGTACGACTAGCGCTTTGCCTTTGCCTTTCGTTATTGTTTTCTTTTCCCCTTTACCTGCTTGTTCTAGATCTTACTTTGCGTATAGTCTTCGTAGAGACTAACATATCCAGTGTACATGATTCTTCAGGATCGTAGACCTTTTTTCATTGAATATTGAATGTAGAATCATTTTAGCTTGTTGCTTCAAGTTCGATTTTCTGCAATTACAGGAAGTGTAGGGCAGGAATCATGTTTTCCACCAGTGTGAACTTGATGGTGCCCCAAGTTTTCATTATCAAGCTTTTCCAGCTGAATCGCTGGCGTAGCGGGTGCGCTTAAGAAATGCCCTGCAACAGAGAGTTTGATCCCTTCGCCAGGTGCGAAAGCCATACCCATCGGCCAAAGTGTGATTTCCAGGGGAACGATACTCCCCCGTGGAACCGTTTCCTCCTGTTCATGTCTATAGAAAACTTCTTGCCCATCAGCACTGGTCCGTGACGCATCACGAGATATTATGGAAGAGGCCCGAAGATGCCCCTGAGGTCTATAGAGCTTCACGGTTTCGCCTTCCGGTGCCTCACTTTCCGGTGCAGGACATGGGAAATGAATTTCTTTTAAAGGTTTTCCAGAGCTGTCAATCTTCCATAGTTGGACGACAACGTCCATATCGTCTCTTTCCTCGCACGACATCTATTGCCGCACTTTTGTATACCCGGCAATCTCGGGGTATTCATCGAAATTAATAGTGAAGTCCTTTGAGTTCCGTTGTTAGCTGACAGACGCAAGTAGATATCAGCTACGGGATAAACATACTGAAGACGCATTCAAGTCTTGACTATCGTAAGACGCAACAGCCTCATCGGGCGGAAGAAGCGACGTCAATCTCTTAACACTGGCATCTAGATAATATTTCCTCAACTGCTGGCGTTGCAGTGGGAACCCGATTTCCGATCTTTCAGCAATATTTGGCACTGTTCCAAAACCATGAAGGGATAGGCGCAGTGATGGTGTATCTGTTTCCCAGCCATTCATGATCCCCTTGGCATACCGATCGTAGAATCGCTGCAAATCGTCGATGGGTTTGGGCTCGTACATTTCATACCACTCAAAACGAGCGTGAACTCGCATCCACTTGTGGGTAGATTTCGCGCGTCGAAATGTATCAAATGACCCGTAAACATGGAACGAATTACCAAAAGATCCCAATACATAGATTGGGACATCGATATTCAAGACTTCGTCATATTTCTGAGTCCAATAATCGTCGAACAAGGGATGTGTCTTCACCATTTGCGCAACATCCTCAACGCCCTCTCCTCCAGCTACCCCCCCTTGGTATTGCGCAGCAAAGACATTGTTCATTGAAAATTCACCACGGAGGTACAATTGTCGATAGATATCTGTAAAACCCTCCCAAGGAGCAAGTGCCTTCAATGCAGGATGAGACTACCTAGAGGCAAAGCATGAGTTCCCGCCCATACAGACAGACCCGTTGCACCATGGCTGCTTAGACAAATAGTCGATCGTGTCGTAAATATTTTTTCGCCTCGGACTCTTGATCACCCCAGAAAAAGTATGTACCCTCTGAGAATTGCGCCCCGCGAGCGTCAACATTCACGATTGCGTATCCTCGGCGGGTCCATTCTGCAGGATCGAGATCCTCAAATGTCTCATAACCAGAAATCCAACCCTTGGGGACTCCTGCGCGATGCCAAATCATATCAAGACTAATACTGGTCTTTCTATACGGGCTCCAGCAAATGACAGCAGGGACGGGATGCTCATCAGAAGTGACCGGCCGGAAAATATCAGCGTACTCATGGACTCCATCTCGTAGTTTGATTGGAGTGTCGCTATTCAATAGGGTATCTGCAAGAACCTTTTTGCGGCCATCCTCTTTGAGATGACCTTTGGGAAGCACGGTGCGCTTGTTTGGACTGAACTTGATGCCGAATTTTTCATACCTTGGGTGTTTGTCCACGGGCAGTGGCTTCACAAAGTTGAGATCAGGGAAACGGGATTTGAGTTTCTCAGTTGCAGTCATTTTATTGATTTATGCGCTATAGAATCCCGCGAATATAGCGTGGGACTTCTTGGGTCTCTGGAAACATGCAAAATCTTCAATATCTCGCTTCAATGCTTTCTGCCTTTAAACCAATATCCAACGGAGATTCGGTCAAGAAATTTGCCGTGATTCATTGACCTTGTTGCTGGTACATCTTGAAACGCCGAAGTTATGTAGAGGAAGCGGCTTCTAATGGGGCACGGATATACAATTAATGCAATTGCAGGGTCTGAGGGTCTAACCTTGGAGAGTCCCGACGTTGTACTATTTCCGGGCGAGCATAGCCGCGTTTAATGTTTCTATATAATTTTGTGTTTTAATAAGTAATAATAGTAAACGCCCAGCTTTCTTCTTTTCTTTCTTGTGCTACATTTTGTCGCTACATTATTTGATTCAAATCAGAAGAACGCAGTGCTAAATATAACGAATTACCATCAGTATTTAAGTATAGCTATCCAACGCGTTGAGGTTTCTAAGGCAATGGATAACACAATGTCTAAGGACCTGGAGTCTTGGATATATTTTACATCATGCCCAGGTGATCAGTATTATAGATAGTTACCTAGTAAGAATTGAATGTGTGTTCAAGCCCATGGTAAACAATCAGTCTCTACTCCACGCCAGAGAAATTCCCCATTGCGATCATATGAGCACTTTTCCAACTTTCATATCGTAGCTAGCGAATATATCGCAATAAGCGGATTGAGGCCGATCACTAGCAGTGCAGTTCTGACTGGAGCTGCCGAGATGGAGCCAAGACATCATGATATCAAAAGAGACGAACTGGCCCGGAATAACACGTCTGCAAGTGAGAGGTTGCTGCTCAAAAGGTCGCTACTCAGAGCGGTGGGTACATAGATGAGAATGAGCCATTTGGACCATATATCGCGTGTTACGCTGCAAGAAGAGGGCCTGGGGGCCAGATTATCGAAGAAATCATCAAAGTGTTGATAGTATTTATCTCTGAGGCTCAAACGTACTCTCTCACCGAAAGTTCAGAGAAGCTAGATCGGGAGCGGGTTAGAATTTTGAGACGATGGGGTTTCTTTTAGAGAGAGCTAGGCCTATTCTTGTCCATGTAGCTCGGGAGCTCGAACCAAGGGACCATAGTATTAGCTGTACTAGTAGCCCGCCACCTTCGTACGGGATTGCCGTTAATTTCCCTGCGACAAAACTGGTACATGGACCCCAACAGTCTATGCAGTCTTATTGTATGAATTTTAAAGCATGTTGGTAGTTTAGGAAAGACCATTACGTTGAGCTTTTGGCGGTCGGCTCAAAACAATATTGAAGTCATCTGGAAGGACGGAACAGAAGAGGTAATCCGGTTGAGTAGGTAGATCGGAAAAGTCGCGGAGCAGTCCCATATTTGCCTTCAAGAGGTTGTGTTCTTGGACAATTAGAAGCCCCAACCTGTTCGTTGTATTGGTTAGCATTGCCCGAGAGGAGAGTGTTAAGAGCCGCAATGTAAAGATTGCTTAGTGTCATGGCATTCTAATAAACCCTACTATAGTGGAGCGGGACAATCGCAGTGGTCTATAGATAACTATAGCTTGGCCGTTGAGTACTTAAGCAATTCTTCAAGAATAATTGTCTGCAATCACATCGAGGAAACAAGCCTATGCAAGAAATCCTCCTTGTCGTCACTCTTCAAAGTATCTAGTTTGGGTTGTAGTCCCATCCAACCAGAGTAATGTCAACAATAGGGCGATCCAGGGTCATCGGGACGGGCTGACGTAAAAATCGCCACGCTGTGGCATTTCCCAGTGTAGCATAATAGGGTAATTTCTTTGAACCATGGAGGTAAGATGCTTAAATGGAGCTTGACTACGTGTCTTTGAGTGCAGGGAACTATTGCGTAGGTGGAAGCAAAGACAAACCAAAGAAAGTTGAAGCAACTAAGTAAACACGTGACCAGCCACGTCATAGGGTCCGAACGGTTTCAAGACGGTGAAGCCGTTTCTCTTCTTCCTCCATGCAATTGTGATTCTACGAGTGTTCATTTATCCTGTGGAGCACTGAGTCTCTCTCCAACTCGTTCTCCAGTTCGACCTCTACCTCTACATCTACCTCCACCTTTCAACATGTCCGACTCAACCCTTTACCTTTACACCTCCTTGACCGCGGGCTCCTCGCACATCGTCACCGCGACTGCCCGCGTGGAGACCATCCTCAAGGCCAACAAACTCCCCTTTCAAGCCATTGATGTCGCAACAGACGAAGCCGCCCGCAAACTCTGGGGTCGTCGCTCCAAGGGCAAGAAACTTCCGGGGCTAGTTAAATATGGAGATATTGTCGGAGTATGCTACCCCTCGCGTCCTCCAATCCCACCCCCCCTGGATCCCTGCATGCCCCTCTCTCCTCTCCACCACATTTCCTTCTCCGCCCCTCATCTTCAAATTTTGGATACTGCAACACCACACATAAATTTGACACACACTAACCCTTCCTCAGGACCTAGAAGAAATCGAAGAATGGAACGAGTTCGGCGAACTGCGCATGGTGGTAAACAGCGTTCAGGATATGGGCGGTATGCCCGCAACAAGCAACCCAGCTCCCGCACCCGAAACCAAGACCGAACCTGAGCCTAAAACCCCGAAACCCTCCACCATCAAGATCCAAAGCCCGCCCGCAAAGGAAGAGAAGAAGGACGAGATGGTCGTCCTAGCTCTCCGCCAAGCTAGCCAGGAAGCTGCCTCGCAGGCGAAGACTAAGGCCGATGAGAAGAAAATACCCAACACCGAAGAACCAACATCTACGTCACCCACAGTCAAAGCTCACCGAGGCTCCGTCGCGCCAGAACTCCCTGATACCGCGCCCGACTCGCCCAAGAGTGTCAAGAGGCCCACGATGGTGGTTCCCGAGGATGCGGCGATGTCGTCGGCGAACTTCCACGTTGCGAATGCGGAGATGTTGGGACTTGTGCAGCATCATCGGGGCTCGATTATTTCTGCTAACGATGAGCGGGAGCAGGATAAGGTTGTCAAGGAGATTCGGCAATCTATCTCGGGGGATCACCGGCCTGGTGATGTGGAGGCTTTGCGAAAGGAGGCGGCCCTGAAGCAGTTTTCGGAGGATCCGGTTGTTGAGGTTGAGGAGAAGGAGGGTGTTGAAGATGAGAAGTCTACTGAGGTTGAGGGTGGGGAGTCTAAGGAGACGGGCGAGGTAGAGAAGAATGCAGAAAAGGCAGAGGAAAAGGAGAAGGCACAAGATGAGGAAAAGGAAGATGACAAGAAAGACGACCTCAAGGAGGATAAGAAGGAGGACAAGGACGCTGCAGAGGAAGAGTCCAAGACCGAGGCTGTGTCTGCTAGCAAGGAGTAGGACGGCGCCGTTAACGACTGATGAAACTGTACATGAGGCAATGTACCATTTGCCTACCATTAGTGAGATACCAATTTGAGAGTCCTGGCGATCGCTCAACCCCGTGTCAATTGTAGGATCTAGTCAACCATTCCATTGCATTGCGTTGTATTGCATTACCCTTCGTAGCTCATGATTACAATCACATAGATCCCAGTTCAGCACAGTAAAAGTAGATAAAATAATGGGAAAAAAGACCGAGCCAAATAGAAAGATCAAACCCAACCGCGACCAATATCGCAAATCAAAACACCCAAACCCCTTTTGCGTAAATGTTTATGAGCATGCAATGCGCAACCCCGCGTCAATTCGGGGACTACTGCATGGAAAAGAGCCTCCAGGCAAATCAAATCGCAAAGTAGAATAGGATAGAAACAGAGCTCAATCAGAGCGCAGATCTATGCCTCAATCCCCCGGCGTTTTTGCACAGCATCGCGCAATTTAGCAATGACATCGGCCGGGTCAGCAGCACCGAAGATCGCAGAGCCCGCCACGATAACATTCGCGCCAGCCTCAGCGGCCTGATCGATCGTTCCCAGGCCCAAACCACCGTCGACTTCAATGTTGAGATCGGGATACCGGGCGCGCAAAGCGGAGACCTTGGGCAATTCCGAGGCCATGAATTTCTGGCCGCCGAAACCGGGGTGGACGGTCATGACGAGGACCATCTGGAATTCGGAAGAATGTTAGCGGGAGCTGCGGAGGATAATATCATTGGGGAAGTGGGGAGAAGGAGTAACTCACGTCTGGTCGCTCATTCAGGTCGGGGCTGTCGAGGATATCCCAGAGCACATCAACCGGGGTATCGGGCTTGATGGCGACACCGGCTTGCATGCCCTCCTCGTGGATGTATTTGATCAATTCGCGTGGAGAGGTGCGGGCGGTGGTGGTTTTGTCGGTGGGATCGGTCGCGGCGACGGAGGAGACGGCGGCTTCGTAGTGGAAGCAGTAGAGGTCACAGCCGGCCTTTTTAAACTCGTGGACCCATTTGTGAGGCTGTTGAATTGATGGTGGTTAGCATGGAGAGCTACTGATAGCGGGGCTGACCTGCTGAACTCCTGGAGCTACTCACCTCCATGATCATCATGTGGCAGTCAAAGGTGCCGCGAGCGCAGGGTTCAAGGGGTCGGTCGACGCAGCCACGGATCTGAGACACGACGGGGCATCCGATGGTCATGTTAGGGACGAAGTGACCGTCCATGATATCGACGTGCAGCCAGTCGGCGCCTTGCTCCATCTTACGGGAGCAGTCATGACCGAGGTTGGAGAAGTCGGCGCTCAGGATGGAGGGCGCGATAATGGCGGGGGGTGTCATTTTGGAGGGGAGGGGAGGGCAGTTGGATGTGAATGGGGGTATGTGGAGGAGGAAGAAGGATGAGGAGGGGTGATGATGTCGTGGTCAAGCTCTGTTTACATTGGGGTGCGGTGGCAACCCGAGGTGGATATCCTTTTGACTGTACTCCGTCTTGTACACCGTAGACACCTGACATTAATCCTACATACTATCTAATACACACTCCATACTACATATGATTACCTTGAATTGTGTCCTTGTTTTAGCTATTTCCCCAATCGCCGCATCCGGGCATTTCCAGCATTTCCCTCTGAATCAAAATTTGCAATGATGCAACCGGTGATAAGGGCTCCGAGCCTCACGTGCGGCATTGTCAATGTCAGTGACAATCATCCCGCGTTAGCTTTGCTGCAATCACCCCACCAGGTGGATTCGACAGTCGGTTCACCTCCATTTATTGTCCTCAGATTGGACTTGCCTTGGTCCACCTGCTGGATTGCCCATTTCGGTGATTCCGTAGTCCATAATACTTCAAACTTGATATACGAGCAAGTATTGTATAAGACCCCTTCCCCAACCAAGCTCTCTCACCAACTTGGTTTAGTCTTTAAAACTCCGCATGTCGGCTGACCATCGACAGGGGTGCGTCGATCTAAGATGATTGGGGGAATCGCCTGGAATCCGCGTCGAACCTTGGAAGTCGGCGCAGGGCCGACCTCCGACCCGCCAATCGACATGGAAGTATACCAAATATTAGGTCCAATAGATCAATTGACTACCCGTATGTCGTACAGAGTACATTTACTAGTACTCTCGTTGTATACATATTTGCCACAAAGTACATTTCCAAGGATAAACAAGGAATAATCTTGAAATTCACACCCCAACTCACCCCAACTCACCCCGGTACCTAGCGAACGGATAATCGGAAATCCAGCGAACGGAAATCTGTGCCCAACCTAAATAAAAATCTACTAGCTGCAGTGTTGTCCCTCACTAATCCTCTTCCAGACACCCCAGGGACAACCCACGATCTTCAATAGCCGGCATAACCGCTCCTTTGCCTACCCAAACCAGAGCGGGGACGACCTCGGCGCACTGTAGTCCGGCCCTACTCTTCCCACCAACATGACGCGCCCCCAGACCAGACCAGACCTGATCTCCCAACCGTTTGAAAAGAGACTTCTTCCGATGCACAATTGCTCGAAAGAACTTGGGATCGTCACCTGCACTGCACTGCACGTGTTGAGATCATCGATAGATCATTTTCTCGGCTTCTCCTATCTGGGATGACCCTGCCGCGACCAGATGTGTACATAGTAAAATACTAGTAGACGTATGTACTCGTAGATCTGTTTAGAATATTTACTAGTACTTCAAGTTTGTAATACATATTGGCCAAGTTTCATGACTTGGTGACTTCATTAACACTGTGAATACAATTCTCAAAGAAAAATCAGTGAAAGAACCCTGTGAAACCCCCAGGTCCTCTGCGATCGGACTTCGCCAACAGCTTCCAAATTGTCTCTTCAAGCCATTCTCGTTGAGATTGCGCCACCACACGCCTTGGAGAGGGGTAATGATAGTAATCGCCTCAGAGCGACCATCAGCAACACCCAATTGCTGGCAAGTCGGGACGTGCAATAGGACATGTAAAATACCGACCAAGCCTCGAATTCATATTCCTAAAGGATCTCTCATTACTTCGATTTCCCCCCTGGCTCCCGTGGTTGCAGAATTCTATAGATCGCCCAAATCGCCCAAATCGCCCGCGTAGCTTCTAGATCGCGCCGCAGACCATGCTCTTATTAAGCTTAGCCCACCTGCAGGACCGACAATCTGCTACCAAATCTTCGAGAACGACTCACCTTTGCATGCATCTTATGCAGATCTTGAGCAACTGCGCCGAAATAAGGCGACTTCTTCCGACCGGCTTAACTAGACAATGGCCCTATGCCACGCTACACCTGCCGTTGGAAGATATGAGATCTCCATCATGAGGTATTGCAGATCTCTTGGCTTTGACATCGTGAGATTTTGAATTATGCCCCGGTGCATTTCTTCAGAATCGAGTCTGGGAAATGCCAAGAGGGTTAGTTGATTGCTAGTCCGGTGCGAGTAGCGTAGAGAGTTGGCATTGCTGACTATGACGCGGGCGAGATGTGGAACACTATGAACACTAAACAGAGACGTGGAATTTAGACTGCATTGTGGTAGTCTGACAGACCTCGAATATTGATGTACTGATCGTGCGAGACCTCCGCCAAAGAAATTATTACATTAGCTCCAGCTGGATCTCTGATTTAAGATCTGGCGCCACATCGACATGAACATGTATAGCCCCGTGATGATTCCATCTGGGCTCCTGGGACTGAAGTTAGATTGCAGAAAATAGGGATCTATTTACAGAGTAACTCACCTACGCTGGATACAGTTGATATAGAACTTAAATTTGGCATCTCTCATCTCGCATTACATTAGGCGGCCACCTGGGCACAAGTAGCTAGGGTATCAACATCCATGAATCGTTCACCTCACCTTAGTGGTGAGAGATACGTTTCCGCTTCGGCTTCATAGCCCATCCAGATAAACAGGTCCAGCCTGCACCATTCTTCCGCCCTTCATCGAACATAGCCCCGATCCCCTCCAACAACTTGGGTCGATCACGACCCATCTCCATCCGCAACTGAACAAGCCACTGCTCCCACATCCATCCGCCCAAAACACCGGTAATACTCGCAACATCCCCAGTACTACCAACCGGACCCTGCACAGCTTCATACTCCTCGATCTGACTCAGTACACGCGGGGCAGGGGCTTCGCGCGGAATTTGCGGTTCGCTGGGCTCCATGCCCATGGGTAGGTACATCCATGCGCGCTTGATGTCAACGAAGCCGCCGTCACGCAGTCGGGAAAGGAAGCTCTTCGATGCTGCGGGATCGTAGCCGCGAGTGCGGAGGTTGAAAGCAAACTCGACCGAGGATGCCGCGGCTAGTGGACCCGGATGGGATATCTCTGCGTCCAAGAGCATGAATTCAAGGTATCCGCCGGGTTTGAGGCATCGACGGCACTCCTTCAAGACCAAGTCGTATTCATCTCGGTCAAGGCCAGTGGGACACTCTGTCTTCAGAAGAGCGTGCAAGGAGCGTGTGCTGATGACATCGAATTGGCTATTCTTGAATGGGAGTTCCCAAAGCTTCGCTACCGCGACTGTCCGGTGGTTGCGAGGGCCCTTAATGCCACTGTTCACGACCTGATTCTCTGTAACGGCAGAGTAGACTTTCGCATGGGGGAATTCATGTGCAGCATGCCAGGCCCACTCGCAAGAGGAATGACCACCGAGGTCTAGGATGCGAATGGCTCGTCGCTTCTGTCCATCAGTGGTCTTCGACGGCCGACGACTTCGATTGACTTGTTTCGCCGCAGGGCTGGTGAGTAGCTTCCCACCATTGAGACAACGCATAGCATCGATCGCCCACATTGGTTGACAGAGTTGGGCCAGAACGAGCTGCTCCTTCTCAAGCTTTGAAAATTGTGCCTTCTCAGCGAGGACGGTGGTGATGATTGAGTTACGAGGCGCCTTTGAGAATGGGCCCTTGTATGCTGGTCGCTCAGCGCGGACGAGCTCATATTTGCCTGTCAGACAATTTATGTGCATGTCGACCAATCCCAAACGGAATGATTGGATCGCATCAAAGCGCATGTTGCGATGGAGGAAGCCATCCATCTTGTCTGCTCGTTGCCGAATGGACTGGAACCCTCGCCAGTAGATCGAATCCTTGCTAGATAGGATAGGTGGCCGAGGGCTGATAGCTTCTGGTATACCTTCCACGAAACGAACTGCTTTCTTGGGGCCGGCTTCGGGATCGCGTAGGACCTCTTCATATTCGGTATCCGGAGTCTCCTCGGCAGATTCGATCTCATTGACAGGGTTGGTTTCGTTCAAGGCAGACATGTAGGTTGCTTGAGCCGCGAGCCAAACACTGGTGCGGTCAATATTGTCGGCAGCACGGTCCTGCAGGTCTCTGTCGTAACACTCATCGTACTCATACGCATTTGCTGAGCGAGGGATCTCTTGAACTGCCTCGAATGTTGCACTGATTGGGCTATCGCGAGGATGAGCTTGTTGAGCCTGAGTCGGCGTGTCGCAGGGAACCCGGATGGCAGTAAGAGGATCATCGCGGATGGCAGTGTCTGGATCATCTTCCTCAGGACGGTCGGGCCAATCAACCACCTGTTCGACAATTTGACCTTGCTCCTGACGCCATGGCAGATTATAAAAACCCTCGGCAGTAGCGGAAGTCGGTGGATGATTGTGATTCGGGATCGACCAAGTGTGACGGGCACGTGGGGCAAGCGAAGCAAAGAATCCTCCTGGGGAAGGGATACTCAGTTCACTGAAGCTGTACGACGACAACTCCGACGCTGGGGTAGCTCCCTCGGCACTGCGTGGTCTACTGGGCGGTGCTTGAAGCTGCCACATTTCATCGTTACTTGATGACGTCTCAGACCATGCCTCCGGTGTGCCATTGAGAGGAATATGCTGAAGCATAGCCAGCGCACTATCAGGTAGGAATAGTCCGCCATCCGACGGAGTTGGCTCTCGAGACGGCTCCTCTATCGCATCATTTCCCAAAGTCGAAGGTATTTGAGGGAACTGGCCGAGAACATTCCTCCAGTCCTGATGGGGACTCTCAAGGGCAATTGGGACCTCCTCAAGGTTAGGACTGGAGCCTTCACTTTGTAGGTCACCACGCTCACTTCCATCCAGATCAGGTCGAACGTGGATATCATGCACATCCCAGTTCGTGTCCGGAAGCGAGTGGGTGTCCGGGGTAGCGAGTGCACTCAGATTAGACTCCTGATCGGAGGATATACTGCCATCAAGCGAGGGCGTGGCATGCGAAGCAGGGACTGATCGAGCGAGCATCGAGAGTGCCGCGGGCGAAACTGGAATCTTTGGCGGGGGAGTCGGAGGAATGGGGGAGTTCAACTTGCAAGTCGCGTTAACGGAGTGCCATGCCGACGGCGACGATGGGATATCGAGAGTCAGCGCGCGTTTGCGGTTACTCCCCGTTGAGGTCACGGAATTCCGGGTAATTGGTGTCACCAAGCTGGAGGGCCTAGTTCCTGGCGCGGAAAAGCAGCTGTCACTGACACTAATATCGGTGGAGTGGTCGTCCTCCATATCTTCTTCATCTGTTGCATCATATAGATCGTCGAAGCCCTGCATCTGTTCTTGCCATTCCGTATCGGAGCATGAGGAAGTTGTGTCCGCTGAAAGAGGCGACATTAAACGTGCGAGTCGAGCGTGTGTCGGGACGGAGAGTCCTTTGGTCCTCAGCGTCAACTTGGGGCTGATCGCTGGCTTGGCTGTGTGAGGAGGGCTGCCAGCGCCCTTTTCACCGAGGATCTCGCGAGTATCTTCGATTATAGTATTAAGTACCGTCCCCCGGGCCTGCCGGACGGGCGGAAATCGAGGTGGGCGAACAAATTCTGTCATTCTGTGTATCCACCTGGATATTTAGTTGAATGTCGAGACGAAAATATAAAAAAAAACAAGGGAGTAAGAAAAGCCGTAGGAGTGAGTGCGGGTACCGCGAGAGGCTCTAATGGGTATCTTCAAATAGTAGGAAAATGCATCGACACCGATCAACGGTTCAAAAAGGTTCAAAACAAGTGGTAAGAAAATGCTACAGCTACCAGAGCATGAAGCACACGAATGAATATGACGAAAAGAAAGACGCGAACTCCTATCAAGTGCCCGGGCCGTCAGAAAGGTCTATATAATCGAGTGGGCGCGTATCCGGCTCCGCGGGGATGTGCATGACGAAAAGTCGATCCTTGTTCATAGTAGCCAGGTGGAGCTACTGCAGGCTTGGGCACCACTAGCTCGTCTTGGATGATGATTGAGGGCCGAAAATGCGACCAGAAAGCGTGTTAATTGGTGCAAATGGGGAATGGGCGCGTCGCCCAGTGTCAACTCCTGGTCGGGGAATCGAATGCCCAGCAAATTTGCTCTGCTAGGAACAGCGGGGCTGGGTTCATTTGGGAGGACTTAACTTGACTCACCACAAATCAGAGGAGGTGTTGATGTGACGAATCGCTCGGGCCACAGGGAGGGTGTGAAGGGGCCAGTGATTGGCGGTCTCTAAGCGCCCACTTTTACTATCTTTAGTGACTTGGGGTGACTTAGCTTGCCCACTCGACCGAACTAATGTCTGTGCACTATCAATATCACCTCTTTGGGCACACGCGCTGAACAAAAGCTGTGCTAATTATCTCGCGTGACGCAAATTCCCTGCAAAAAAGGGGGTCCAGAAAGAGGGGTGATGTCGCATTCCTCCAATCATAGGGTCAATTTGCTGGAAAACCACTGCTGGGGTTGCATGTTTAATAGATATTAATTTTAGAAATCAATACTAATTCATGCCGAATGCAATGCAAACGAGAATTACTACCCTCAATTACAGATTCTGCTCGTGGCTACATCATCTCACCGCGACTTGAGGGTACTGACAGAGACCCGGGCGCATCGAGCGCGATTAGGATTGGCTATAAAGAAGGTATTTTAGCTACTCCGTACAAGGCCGCCATATTATTAAAGTGATAAATTTGTTGCCGAGAAATGTAGGACCCTGGAGCAAATCCATCGACAGTTTATAGCAAAAACACAAAGGATTGGAACGAGGTCTTGGGAATGCTATGAGTAGACTGGGAGCTTGTTGGCCAACTTGCAAGCTAAAGTGTGGATGGAATGGCCCCTGGAGCAGGTCATGTTACTTTTCTCCCCATGGTCTACTGGATCCAGTAGAGGCCATCTATAAAATTCCATGCCTTAATGCATCACTATTCTGAAGCTGGGCCACCTATATCACATGTGACATGCTACCATCCGCTAGGCCGATGGATAGACGTTATTGGCCCTGCATAGCTCTTTCTGTCCTTTTTCCTTCCCTCTATTTTTTTTCCTCCTGTATTTAGTTTCTACTGAGGCCGTTGGCCTCAGGCCTAGCGGCATAGCCAGCTCACACTTCATGTATCATGCATGCAGGACCAGGATCTATATCCCTGTCCACATTGCATCGGTTTCTATTAGTTTCCATCGGCCGTTGCACCCATTGCACGCCGTTTGTCATTAGATTGGTAGATATAGCGTAGATTTCCTCCATTGCATAGATCTCCCATCATGGTTTCCCATTCCATCCTTTCGTCTCTCCCTAGTAGTTTCCTCGCTAATACTAAATTTGGTGAGAAATCTATCTTGGTTGAGCTCGGAATGGCAACCATTTACGATGCACTACTGTCGTATTTAAGATAGGTTCCTAAATGTAATTTTGTCACTAGAATTATTCTCTGAATGAAGGTGGTTATTGATAGGTGTCGCCCCGGTATGAAATTAGCAATAGCTCCAAGTCTCTTAAGACGTTCAAGTTCCATTTTTTCACAACATCTACGACTAATATAGTCATCTGATAAACAACTTGAACTGAGAGCAAGCAAACTATTTTAAGGTACCGAGTGGTAGGGGTGAGCTCCAACCAGAGATAGTTCCTTGAACATCCGGATCACTAGAGCGAGGAACCAAACCATTCAACATGCTCTTTGTGCAAAGAGTTATTGTGGCTTTGTGCTAAAACCAGCTCAACTAAACTTTCGTGCTCAAACGCCAAGCTCGAGCAGCTTTGTTTTAGCTTGGCCAATTTAGTGGCTTGAAAATGGCGGGGAGTAAAACTCGGGCGTATTCGAGAACGATTCATCGTTAAACTTGCTAGCTTTAACTGGTATGCGAAGTACTATGAAGCCGAAACAGCCCTAAACATACAGTATAGTTAGGGTTGCCGTCCCTCACGTATTTAGGTCGTCTCTCATATTCTCCCTTTCTTACTTTCTCTATCTTTAGTTGCTTCGTTCAATGCTACTATGTTGGTTGATGTCTGTCTCTTTGTACCTGACTAAAAGGCAATCAATTGTACTTAATTTGACCATATCTGTCTCTGCCACCGGATTCTTGATTTTCAGTCATAGATCGCTGGCTGTAAAACTGTGACACTGTCTAATTTGGTCCTCTGTATTTACCTCGGTGTTAAGTTTCGAGATGTGGTGGCCTAATTGTACGCCCCATTTTAACGCCGCAATCTCCGAGTCCGACTACCCTATATCTACCGTGGACACCCTCGTCGCCATATTGTTTGCCAATCAAACAATTGACAGAATTTTCACATCTCATTTGTATTATCACACCATGAAAGAAGCATTTATCGACAAACACCTTTCGGTGACCATCCGCGACACCGAAATCCCCGTTCCCGAAGCCGGTCAGGTTCTAATCCGCGTGGTCGTGTCGGGATCTAATCCGAAAGACTGGAAAATGGCTCTTAGCTGGCCCCCGGATGGCGCGCTCTTTAACCAGGGTGACGATATTGCCGGACATATCGAGGCCGTAGGCGATGGCGTCCTAGGATTTCACAAAGGGGATAAGGTTGCCGCATTTCACCAGGTGATGAAACCACATGGAAGCTGGGCAGAATATGCGATCGCCCCTAGTGGTTCGACTTTTCATATCCCTGAAAAAACATCCTTCGAAGGTGAGTAGTAGTTTCGACGATGTTCAACTGAGAAACGTTCAAGTTTCTAAACCACGGCCAGAGGCGTCAACAATCCCACTGGCTGCAATGACTGCGGCTGTCGGAATGTTCCAGCGATCAAACTTGCCTCTCCCCTGGAAGCCTACAAGCGAGCCACTTCCCTATGTAATTTACGGTGGAGCGACTGCGGTCGGAGCTTTCACCATCAAATTCGCTCAACTATCCAACATTCACCCGTTGATCGTCGTCGCGGGCAGAGGCAGCGCATTTGTCGAGACTTTGATTGACCGCAAGAAAGGCGATACAATCATCGATTACCGCCAAGGCGATGATATTATAAGAGAAAAGATCAAGGCTGCGGCGGGCGAAAGACCTATTCATCACGCGCTCGATGCAGTGTCGGAGAAAGACAGCTGGTTGAATATTGGCCCTGCCATGACCGCACCCGGGCATCTCACTCTTATGATGCCTGGTATCCATTATCAGCCCGAGGGAATTTCAGTCACTCACGCGATTGTTGGGTACATTCACTTCCCACCATCCCCAGGGAAGACAATTGAAGATACGGAGTTTGCAGCTGCTTTCTATCAGCTCATGGGCCGGGGTTTAGCACAGGGATGGTTCTCAGGCCATCCGTATGAAGTACGTCCTGGCGGATTGGCTGGGCTTCAGGGAGCAATGCTGGATTTGCAGGCTGGAAAGGCATCTGCAGTCAAGTATGTAGTGCGAATTGGTGAGACTGATGGGGTGGAGCAATAGTGGAAACATGTTGGATTCTGGGACCTCCAGGAAACTCCCTTAGAGTTCTTTCTAGAGGGGTCCGTCCTAAATTAATTCCTTGGCGAATATATTTGCGTTCATGAATATCGGCACAATTCCCTTCTCATCGGAATATCCGGAAACCCCTCTTCCAATTTGTGTGTTAACATGCTCCTGAGATCATTTGTGATTTGAGAATTGAATACTGTTTGACAGGCGAAGATACGAGGTCTGGCTTTATAAATCATCCAGAATAGCAGACACGGTTCATTCGCTAAGTCAGTGTTATTACTTCGAAATTGTCTCTCCACTTAATTTGTACCCCTCATATCAATAGTTACATCACGATTCCCGGCTAATCTGACATCACGCAACATTGTTGGATCAGGCCAGGTACCGAAAAGTGGAGGCTCTGCAGCTGCGGAGATGCGGAGAAAGCAGGCTCATTTTACCCATCAATCACAACTTGAACACTTCCCCAACGGGACCTGCAGGCTATTTCTCTCGCATGGGGCTGACGAAAATCATTGGTAGCATTATCACACACCAATAGCTCACGATAACTGCCGCCTCTCCCATGTAACTTCAATCCGACCCTCGACCTCGGCCCTTTCCTCACATCTAATAGTACGCACGTAACCAAACATGAATTCCCGGAGCGCACAGGGATCACACTTAGCGTGCTGCACTAACTAGTTCTGCCGATGTTTCCCCATACTTAGAGGGGTTTCACGGCGGCCGGGGCACTCCTCACGGAAATCTACCCGATGCGGATAATTCAACGTCGGCAATTCTCAACTAGCAGCAGAGCTTTGTTTTGTCTTCGGAAATGATCGTCTCCAATGCTACTTGCCCCCTCCCAGATCATGATCTCGGACTATGAGGGGGTGGGCTTAGCCTCAAGCAAGGGTAAATTGTCCCGCAGAATAGGCATTTCTCGTGGCTGGGAATCGACAGGCATAAATACTCGCGATGCGACCTCCTCGTGTTAATGTGTCTGCGGTTCATTCTGGGTAGGATCAGCGCGGTTTGCATCTGTCCTCACTTCTGATTGAGTCATGTTACAACGATATCTCCTCTTTCCCCTGCTGGCTTCCTGCAGCGCGGCTGTTACTATCTCGGTTGCGAAGTCGGGCGGTAACGCTACTACCAATTTGCAATATGGAGCAATGGAAGAGGTACGTTAACTTGTGTGAAACAGTCTAGCTCATGCTGACCAAGCTTTTTCCAGGAAATTAACCATTGCGGCGAAGGTGGCCTGTACGCAGAGCTGATCCGTAACAGAGCATTCCAAGGCAGTGCGAAGTTCCCATCTTCTCTGGATGCTTGGACAGCCGTTGGCGGATCGTCGTTGTCTCTGCAGAATCTCAGTGATCCACTGTCCTCTGCTCTCCCCACCTCCGTGCGGGTCAAGGGGAGAGGCACTGCAGGACTCAGCAATGTGGGATTCTGGGGAATCGATGTACGACCTCAAAAATATTCGGGGTCTTTCTATGTAAAGGGTTCCTACTCTGGCTCTTTTACTGCGTCTCTTGCTTCATCCAGCGGAAAAACACTGGCTAGCACTAAGGTGAAGTCTAAGAGTGTCGCTGGCAAATGGGTGCAACATGAGTTTACTATTACGGCAAAGACCATGGCATCTGATACTAACAACACCTTCTCGGTATCATTTGACGGATCGGTGAGACTCATGAATACGGATTATCTATGAAAAATGACTAACCATAAACCTGAATAGAAAGCAAAGGCTGGATATCTTGACTTCAACTTGATCAGTCTGTTCCCGCCGACCTGGAATAATCGTCCCAATGGCATGCGACGCGACCTGATGCAGGCATTGAAGGACCTTGGCCCTGTGAGTCATTTTAATATCTTGATGCCATTATCCATCTACAATTGCTTATGTCGACGATAGAAATTTCTCCGATTCCCGGGCGGAAACAACCTGGAAGGAGATACCATCGAGGGCCGCTGGAAGTGGAATGAGACTATCGGTCCTCTTAAGGACCGCCCTGGCCGTGCCACGACCTGGCAATACGAAGAGACCAGCGGCTTTGGTCTGGTTGAGTATATGGAATGGTGTGATGACCTTGGCATGGAGCCCAGTAAGCTATATATTCTACTAGTGACAGGAAGGAGCTAACCAGTATGAATTTAGTCCTTGCTGTTTGGGCCGGTATGGCTCTAAATGGAGACTTGATTCCCGAGGATGAGCTCGACTTCTACGTGCAAGATGCATTGGATGAGATAGAATTCCTAACTGGATCGGTGGATACAACATATGGTGCTCTGCGTGCTAAATACGGACACCCCGAGCCATGGACGATCAAATACGTCGAAGTCGGAAACGAGGATAATCTCAACAGTGGACTGGACTCTTACAAGTCCTACCGATTTGCCGCGTTTTACGATGCCATCACGGAGAAGTATCCCCACATCCAGGTTCTGGCTTCAACTATCGACATGACCCTCGAGGGCAATGCTGGTGGTGATTACCACTTGTACGATATTCCGGACAACTTTGTCACCAAGTTCGATATGTTCGACAGTTACAGTCCCGATCACCCTATTCTTCTTGGTGAGATTGCCGCCACTGAATTCAACAACGGTGAAGGTATCGACTGGAGCGACACCAACTTCTCTTTGTATCCATGGTGGATTGCCTCTGTCTCAGAGGCAGTTTTTCTTTTGGGAGCTGAGCGAAACGCAGACAAGATTATTGGAACAACCTATGTGAGAAATCTCGGCGGAAAAAAATTCGCATTAAGAAATCTCACTAACAACTCCTAGGCTCCATTCCTGATGAACCTGGATGCCTACCAATGGTCCCCGACTATGATCTCCTTCAATGCCAACCCTGATGATACCGCCAGGTCAACCAGCTTCCACGTCTATGACGTACGTCTAGTCAAACATCCTTCACGCAAGACACATATACTAACTGAGTACATTAGCTCTTCAACAAGAACCACATGACAAACACACTCCCAGCCACCTCCGAGGATGCCTTTGGTCCGCTATACTACGCCACTGGTCTGGACAGCGAGAGCAATTCGCGCATCTTCAAGGCTGCCGTTTACAACAGCACCGAGGATGTTCCGGTATCACTGACCTTCTCAGGTGTCGGACGAGGTACCAAGGCGGACTTGACGATCTTGACCGCACCGAACGCCCTCTCCATGAATGAAGTGGGTGGCGCGAACATCGTGAAGAGCAAGACGACCACGATCAAGGCCGGCAAAAAGGGAGAATTCAGCTTCAAGCTGCCTAACCTTAGCGTGGCGGTGCTCACGACCAATTGAGAGATAGATGGTGAATTCCTTTGCTTGGTTCAAGTTGGGGTATGCCTACCTCAGTATCTAGAAGTACATACTAGTTAGTACTATTACTAGTACCAACAAATGCAAACGAAGAACTTTGACTCTTTTAAATCAATGGATCCTAGTATCCGAGTCTCCAGTCAACTGATAACTAGTATGTACGTGCTAAATTCCAAGGTTACTTAACCCATGGCCCATCCACATAGATCATTCTACTTACCAGAAATAGCTAACCCATACTAGTATTTGCACTTCTAGGGCCTTGCTGCCCATACTATACTGCCATGAAAAAGCACAGCAACTTATGCGCAGGCTTACCTGAATCAGAAACAACGAGTCTAGAAGTCAGATTCACAAAGCTGGTCCTATAAATCAATCTTTTTCATTCGCCAAGTGGATCCTCATCCCAGCTTCGCCTCTCCAGCCTCGCGGGGAGGAAGACTGGGGCGAAAACCACTCTGTTTCACCATCTAAATACTCTAAATCCAATCTATCAATCTAGTACCCCTTGACTACCTGCCACTTCGAGACCCTCCCGCCGAACCAGACTTAAGTCATTATCGACATAAACGGCACTCCGGCTTCTCCGACTCCACCTCGCTAAGTCATGCAAGAGCAGACCCACGCGTATTGGGAGCCTCATACCTACTTACCGAAACACCTACTAAGGGGCCATTCCTCACCGTGAAAGACCCGCTGAAGGAATGCATGATGCTCGTAGAAGAGCAACATCTCACACACTCTAGTTTCCAGCAGCTCGCTCCAGGCCCTTCCCACGGGTGAACAGGGCAGCGAAGGTAGCAATGAAGCCGAAACAAGCGGATGCGCCGAACGACAGGCGAATTCCGCGATAGTAGACAAGGCGCACGGCCATTTGTGCGTCTGGGGGTAGATCATGGATTGCCGAGACAGAGTGACGGATTTCGTCGATCACCTAGTAAAAAGAGAAAAAAGGAATTGTGGTCAGCGGGGTTCCTTCATCACACGGTTGTCATTCTCATAGTGGTTCGTGGAAGGAATTGTACTTTCCATTTATCTGGTATTTCACTCAAGGCCTCGGCGAGGCCTGAGCTCAGTGTATTCTGAATAATGGCGGAGGTAATGGCTACGCCCCAAACTGTTCCGAGGGAGCGGATGAGGTAGACGGTTGAGGCGGAGACGGCGTGGTCTGGTGGATGTTAGTTAGTCTCTAGTATCTTCACGAGACGCACCACTCGCGACTCGTGATTCACGGGGTGGTGGTGATAATGGTCGACGTACCGGAATGGTCAAATGCAGCTAAGAAAGTGAACAAGATTCCCGGGTAAACGATGCCTTGTCCGAGGTTGGCCGGGATGATATACGCGAAGTACTTCCACTGCGAATCGTCGAAACGGAGTAGCGTGACGAGGAGATTACCGATAAACATCAGCCCTGCGCCGGTGCGTACGAGCCAGGCCAATTTTCCCCAGCGTGACATCACGATTCCGGAAATCAGGCCGCCGAGAGGGGTGGCGAGAGATGGAATGACGAGTCGCGCACCGGCTTTCGTGGGACTGTCTAGCAAAATGACTTGGAAAAGTAGCGGGATGGTGAAGAGGAACTATCATCGGAGAAGTTAGCCACAAGCGACACAAATATTCTTCAGCCACAGCGAGAACTAACAGCATACGCAGCCATTCCCACGCAGACATTTGCAAT